GTATCGATTTAAAAGTATCAATATCTTATTCTAAATGATATTAATCCTTAGTTTATTCCAATAACTCTTGCATAGATTGTACTCTTGAGAGTGCAGTCAAGCACAACAATGACATCACCAATGATAGATATTTCATTATTTTAATATTTATCTTTGAAGTAATCTATTACCCATTTATATAGTGCTTAATCTGTGGTTAACTTTGTATTTAAAGACAATATTCCATAAAATTGATTATATATAATGATGAATCCACACATTAGGAAGCTAGACATGTAAGTCTACTTTCACCCCTTAAAAATTCAATAAGCAAGAAAAATTTAAAAACTGACATCTTCATCCTATTTCTCTTACAAGAAATCCTTTTTTTGCTTGATTGTGTGAGGATGTTGATAGCGCTAATATGTACAAATACTGCAAACAATGGATGGATTGAGTGAATATTTTGAGATTTTGTTTTTGGAATTATGTTTGGAGAATGGGTTTGTAAATTTGATGAAAACGTACATTGTATATTATATATGTACAAAACAAGATATTTAAACGAGGTGAATATACTTACCCCTTAGTTAAATACCCTTACCCCTTAGCTAAATATGTATCCGTTATAAAGATACAAGAACAGAATTTAGGATCTGAAATTTGTAATTTAAAATTCTAGTGAAAACAATCGGTACAATGAAAATGCTTTGCGATTGATGGTCTAATTCAATGAGATATTCGAGATTAGGCAATGTTCATATTTATAGAGATTAATCAATAATAAACCCTGTTTTGTAATATATGCTATATAAAAATGAGACCCAATCTATGGATGCTTATTGTTATATCTACCTAAATAAAGTATTTTACAAATGAAAAATTTTTTTAAGTATGAAAATATCCTAATTACATGAATGTACAAGAAATTTTAAAATTAAGCAATTAAGTTTATTAATTAGAGTTTATAAAAATTATAAATATAATGAATATAGAATCAAATTTGCGGAATAAATAGTTGACTGTAGAATAGAGAGAATTAGGTGGAAAAAGTTAAACCTATAAAAATAAGCATCAATATTTAAGCATTTTATCTTTTTAACTTTTATCTTCTAATTTATAATAATTAGCTTACCTTTTTGTAATTCTTTATCTAATTAATTATTATAAGATTACCAAGTGAATTCTAATTATTCAGTTGAAAATTTGATTTGCAGCTAAAATGATATCAAAAAATCTCTAATGATTCATTATCCCTACATATAATTGATATAATGATCCATAAATAATCATTAAAAGTAATCAATAAGGTACAATTAAATAATTTGGGTTCTTCTATTTCCAAAGAGATATATTAAAGTATATGTGGTTTTGATAGCTTTGATTGAAATCGTAATTATATTATCTCCATAAACTTACAATCAGTAAGGACTATCTTTGAAAAACCTTATATAAAAAATTCAGAATTAGAAGTTAATTAAACAATAACAAGTGCTGAATAAGAATTAATTATTATTATAAAATAATTTTTCGTAAATGTTAATTTAAGTATCTCATCTATAGATAATCAATGCATCAATTTTCTACTATTCCCTCTTTAAAAAAAATTTAATGACCAAATATTAAATTGAATATCAAACAATAAAAGTCTCATGAATCTGTAAAATATAAATCAATCAAAATATTTGTAAGGTTGGATATTTATGAGGAAAATTTAATTTATTTACTATCTTATTAAATGCAAAAGAGGATTAAATAGAAGTAGCAGAAATGAATTTAGGATCAAACATCAAATGAAGATTATAAATGAAGTTTTCATAGCTTGAAAATTTGTAAGTTGAACTTTTTGTTTGTGCTTTATTCAGTATTGATTTTAAGAATTTTATATATAATCATTAAATAGAAAAAAATATCAAGAACTAACAAATGTTATACAATTTTAAATATTATTAATTTCTCCATCCTTCAAGAACTAAAATTATATTATTTCATATTATCTTGCTTCTTATATAATCCTTTACAATTTGCTAAAATTATGTAAAGGTTTAGATTATTTCTGTATCGGCAGCTATTGTAATTAGTAATATATTGCAATGTACAACAATTTAATTTAAACTATAATGCTATCAGAATATAAATATTGATATATTTTAGTTTATGGAAATTTATATGAGAAATTGCTCCCACTAATGAACTTTATCATTTTAAAATAATAATAAAAATTGTGATGTCAATTCTTAGTAGCTTTTTCTTTTTCTATTTTTTTGATCATCAAATTTAAATAGTTCTTTAAAATTGGTTAACCTTTTGCATTTTTCTAAGTAAAAACTTTTTTAATTTATTTTCTTTCCTTTTTTTTGTTTATATTTTTCTTAATCTCTAAACTATTTTGCTTTTGATTTTAATTAGGCTTAATTTCTTAATTTTCTTGACTTTGATTGTTGTCTTACTCAAAAAGCTTGATTGCTAATTTGAATTATATACCTCTTTATAAAATGATTGTTTTTTTTCAGCCAAAATGTCCTTTTCAAGTTTTTCATTCAATTCTTAATTAAAGTATTTTTCTTTTTGTCTAAATTTCCTTTATAATGTACACTCTCTGATTTTTTCCTTTTGAATTCCTAATTTACTTTAATAATTACTTAATCGCTTCCTTTCCTAAAGAATTGCATTGACATCCATTAATATAAAAATTATTAATTCAATTAAAATTTATTTCACATTTATTTAAAGGCCTTCCTGAAAGTGTTTTTAAACCACTACCCAATATTTCAACTTCGACAAAATCTCCAATAGCATAGATATTATTATCATTCTGGAATACGACACCTTTGTTGGAATCTGTTCGACCTTTGAGTTGATTAGGTTTATTCCCTAATTATTCAACTAAAACGATATGTTTCCTAAATTATAAAATTCAATTACTTTCCAATCTCAAGTGAATTCTTATAATTCATTATTTTGTGTTATTGTTCAATCAGCTTTTCAAGACGACTTGATTTGACACTTTCAGGTACATTATCTTATAAGTTTCTATACGCGTGTGTTTTTTCCCTCATCGAATAAGCAAACATAAACGCCTAATGAAATGCATATCTTACATTTTCAAATTAAACAAGTTATAACAAACTTAATGTTTATTCAAAATCGTACTCAGTCTCATCACAAAAACCAACAATTACATCGGTTGACAAGGTTACATTAGGAATTAATGTTCTTGCTTCATTACATAAATCCACAATTGCCCCTCTTGTGTAATTTCTTCTCATTTTTTTCAATATTTCATCTGAACCTGATTGTATAGGTATGTGGATACTAAATTACAAAATCTGTACTTCTTGCAAATATTTGGGTGTTTTGCAATTACTTCTAAAACTTTCTTTGGAAAATTCTTTGGATGAGGTGAAGTAAATCTAATTCTCGTTTTTGGAAATTTAACTGCAATTTCATCCAAGAGTTAATCAAATCTTAAGCCATTTCCAGATCTCAATTTATATAGTTCTGTAAAGCCAACTGTGTTTTCATGTTAACTTGATATTTTTTCATCTTGAAAAAAGTAACTATTTACATTTTAACCAAGGAGAGTGACTTCCTTTATTCCTTTTTAGGTTAAAATTTGTATTTCTTCTAAAATACTTTCAGGATTTCTGCTCCTTTCTCTTCCTCTTGTGAAAGGAACAACACAAAATGAACACATATTATTGCATCCTCTCATTATAGAAACATATGTTGTGATGCTATCAGTAGGATTAATTGGAAGAATATCGTCGTAAGTTTCTGTTAATGAAAGATTTGTGTCAATTTATTTATCTCTTGTTAATTGAAAAGAGTTTAACAGTGTAGGTAGGGATTTATAACTATCTGGGCCTACAATAATGTTTGCTCCTTAGACGAATAACTGTTCTTTAAGTCTTTCTGCCATACATCCTAAAATGCCTAAAACTTTATTTTAAGATTTTAATTCTGACATTCTTTGAAACACTTTTTTCTCAGCATTTGCTCTTATTGAACAAGTATTTAAGAATATGATATCAGCTTCAGAGATGTCGTTTGTATTAGAATACCCCTCACTTGATAAAATTGATTACACAATTTAAGAATCATTTGCATTCATTTAACACCCATATGTTTCAATAAAAAATTTAGGCCCATTATTAGTGTTATTGACTTAAGGGTCTTACTACTTCATGAATTCAGATAAAGAGGGAATTTCATTGATGCTTCTTTTAGAAGTTGAAAAGTAATTTCTGGGAAACCTTTGAATTAATTTTCTGAACATATAATTATTTTATTTCAAGACTTATTAATTGTAAAAACATAGTTACTTATTTGTTATTTGATATTTTTAATAAATAATGTAATACACACAAACGCAGCTAGAAATCAGCTTAGCTAGTTTTAAGGATATAAGAAACAATTTGAAGGATGAATTTTAAGATTACATTCTACAAAATAACTCAAAAGACAAGGAGACACCTAACAATTTTGGAATTATCTTAAAGGAGTTAAAAAATAAGAATCAATAAAAGCAATAGTAACTAGCTATGAATTCCCCTCCTGATTTTTCATAAGCGTCTACTTATTCATAAAATGTAATTGATCGTGGCATTTATTTAGTATTAATTTTCAAAATCAGGTGATGAAACCGAAAGATTAACAAAAGAGTTGGAAGTTCAAAAGTCTTTAATTTAAAGCGAAGTAGAACTTAAAAAATCTATCAATTTCATCAAAAAGCAAATTTATCCTTTACAAGAATATGCTAATCAGCTGTCTCTATAGTAAAAGTAGGCAGAAAGTGAATGCAAAACAGCTGAGTCTGAATCTGTATGATTATATATTAAATTAGAAAGAATAGAATAAAAAAAACAATTGGCGAACTATAATCTTCCATTGCTAGGTTAAAGTATTAAAGATAATAATATCGTGATTTTATCTATGAGCAAAGTATGAAAGTAGAACAAAATCTAAAATAAGAACAAAGCACCCTTGAATAATAAAATGAAGCAGTTGAGAATTTGGTCTAAACAATAGCCAAATAGAAGGCTTAAATTGAAGATCTAATAAAATAATAATATGAAAAAATGGAAAAAAGCGAATAATAAAGAATTACAATATAGAACTACTTGGCACTAACAAAATTATATGAATTTTGCACTAACTAGATAGAATAATTAAATGTGAATGATAATACATAAAGAATCAGCAGCGAATCTGAATCTTCAGGCAGAGATGATTTATACTCAGATTAAGAGGACTCAATAATCACAACCAATAATTTTTTTTAAACTCAAGTTCAAGCATCATCTTAGCCAAGATCAAAACAGCGAATACCAACACCAAAGAAAAAAAAGAAGGAAAAAAAGAAATTAACTTATCCATAATTAATGGAGAAGTTTTAGAAATCAAAGGAATTACTTTCAAAAATTAAAAATGATGTCGATATCAATATCATGGAATAATTTATTTTGAATCATTATTAAGAAGAATCTGAAATACAAAGATAATTAGCAGATCAACATTAGGTTTTATAAGAATCAAAAGATGAGTATTTACATGAAATTTAGATGCTAAACGATAAAGTATTACCAATTATGTTATTTTAGCTAAATCTGACAGATGATGTAAGAGAAAAATTAGTAAGATGTCAAGAACCCACATCTGAAAACTTTAATTAGAAAATCTTAACTCATAAAATTGCTAATACAAGTAATGAGAATGAATTGCAGATCATAAAATAAACTGATAAATTGATTAAGTTGGAGGCGTTGTTCTTTACTTTGAATACTAGAGCCATGTCACTTTTAAGAAGAATATGTTCTATTTTATAGAATATATAATAGATAAGTGAGAAGTTAGATAATCGAATAATTAATGTTTATTAAAATGCAGTGCTAACTGTTGGCCTACTAAGATCAAATAATGAGCTAGACTTGAATCAATTTCCCAAATTTAAGAAACTTTTAAAAGGAAATAATCTTACTTTGATTTACTGTGATTAACAAGTATTTTAAGAGTTCTGTGAAAAAGTTGAAAATTTAACTGATGATGGCTTATCTACAAACTTTTAATTATTAATTGAAATGTGTATGACAAGAATAGCTGGAGAAACTTAATGTATTTATGAATAGATTTCAACTATTTGTAATTGTCTCAAAGATGAAGTAAGAAGATTATGCAATTATGGAAGTCTAAGATCTTTTAGAGACTTAACGAGTTTGCCAATAACAAATTTAGCTAATTCATATAATGCCCCTACTATGAGAAAATTAAAAGAATATTCAGACTCTAAATAATCAGAAGTCACTAGCAAGAAATCAATGGAGAGATTTGAGTAATATTTTTCAAATTATAAGGAAAAAATCATTATTGGCAGATGAGTTTAAATTTGTTATTGAATAAAACGAAAAAAGCTTAAACGAAGACGACATAGATGAATTCTATTATCAAATAAAAAAAGAAATAGAAGCCAAGCCATCAACTAAAACAACAAGAATTGAGACAGCCAATCTAACAAAAACAACATTGGTTTACGATTAACCTTAAAAAAGTAAAATGACAGAATTTTTTAGATCAAATTCTAAGGTTTCTTAATCCTTAAGGAGAATTTAATCATGTAAAGTTAATATTAAACTATTAGAAGGATAATTTATAGACGCTTAATCAAAGAACTTTAGGTAGTTTCTTGAGAAAGAGTAAAAACATATAGAGCTATTGTCAAGAATGAATCGTACTGGGAGCACATCTGCATTTTAACCTACAACATTAAGACCGAAGTCTCAGGAGAAAACTCGAGTTCTAAATATCTTACCAAGAACAATCAGCACATCATAATAATAAAGATCTGCAAGAAAAAAAATTGTTGCTTTACAACTTGAAAAGGATATGAAACGATTGAATGATCAAGTAGGTAGATTTACAAAACTAAAGTTGAATTGATTGGGATTGTAATTAATAATTTTATTTATGTTATAATCGAATCTAATCATTTCTTCGATGATTTTGTTCCTGATTTAACTGATTTAGCAACTGGATTAGACTTTTATGACTATGAATCTTTAGGAGCTTATTGTGACTATTGTTAGGACTGCTGTTGAATTTCGTTCGATTTTTTGACGCTTTAAACAGTGGGGAGTTCTTATTGTGCTTTGGAGTTTATTACAGATTCGGGCATTTTCCAAATGAATATGGCTCCTTCTGCACCTACAGAAATAATGGATTTTTGATCTGGACTGATTGTAATCTAAGAATTATCGCAAATAGTACTCTAGTGATTGAACCAGAATGACCTTATCCTTTAAAATAGCAGATTCCTTCATCATAACCCCACAGCTTAACTTCTTTATCTTCTCCTCCAGAAACAAAATGCTCTCCTTCTTTAGTTATAGCAAGTGCATTGACTTCTCCTTCTTCTGATCCATCCAACATTCTGATTGCCTAACCATCGAAGGTTTCCCAATAAGTAATCTATAGATTTAGTAATAATACAAATATTTACTTTTCTATCACTTCCGGTTGTGAGTAATTGACTTTCTTCTGGATGATAAAGTACCATTTTAAATAAAGTGCTTTCGAAAAGACACATAACTCTGGTAAATGATTTGAGATCCCAAATAATGCAAGAACCATCTGCACTGGCACTGACAGCTTATTCATTATTTCTTCTAACTTGAATTGACCATACTCTTCCTCTGTGTTCTTTCATGGATGACTTCATAACTTAAGTTTGTTTGCCTATTTCCCAAACTCTAACTTCTCCTTCAGATCCTCCAGAGATGATTCTTTGGCAATCTGAAGTGCAGGTCAAAGATGTGCATCCATGAATATGTGCATCATTTATGACATACATCAATCTACCTGATTGAGGCAAGAATGCTCTGATTTTACCATCACTCCATCCACTCACTATACTTTTGCCGTCATTCATAAATGCAACTGCCCAGCATTCTAAATTAGGGACTTAGATTCTTAATAATTCTTATCTATTTTTAGCATTCCAAACTCTGATGTCATTCAAAGAACTAGTGGCGAAGACATCTGAATAGTTATGAGGAAAAGCAACATCATTAATTCTTTCATAATGACAAGTGTTTCTTAACTCAGGAATTAATCGCTCTGTGTCCAACCAATAAATATTGCTCTATACTGTTCCAGTAAAAAAATGAGTATAATCATTTGTGAATGTAATTGAAGTTACTCCTCCTAAAAGTTCGCTGCTTGCTACTATTTGCATTGTTTAGAATGACACTTTAGCTATCATACCATCACCAGCACCAACAATAATATCACCATTAGGTAATAAACCCAAACAATTAACTCCTTGACTGAATAACTTCTTTACTGGAGCTAGTCTTTTATATATGGCCATATCCATTTGAATTTCAAACACATCTCCTGTTTTAGTACCACAATAGCAATATTTGTCATTTTTATCTATAGCAACACATGTGAATGTACGTTTTACGTTACCAAAGCTCACGTCAACAGATTAAATCTTTCTTATAGATTTATACTATACCTTTTTATTTTATTTATCAATTGTTAAAATTTAAACTCCAGTATTTAAAACTGCTATCATTTTTTCATCTGATTAGTTGTAGAACTAAACTTGATTGACTGGATCTCTATTAGGAGTACCGTACAAGGCTTTTCCTGCTTTGATATCCCAAACAATCAACATATTTTTATCATCAATTCCTCCTAATGAGGCTAAGTATAATTCATTGTAAGAAAAACTGAGCGATTGAATCAATACTTTATGTAATTTCAATCTGTGAATCATGCTTCTTTCCTTGAAATCCCAAATTATTATATCAGCTTAGAATCCCATGTAAGTCCTTTATCCAGAAGCAACATAATCACCTGAACGAGAAACTGTTATCACAGAGATCTAATTATCATGTCCTCTAAACAAGATTAATGTTAAAATATACCTTAAAAATGTTTAAGCTCTACTAATTATATGTCGAACAACAATAGTGGAACCTAATGGATAGATAATATGCTTTTGATGATTATTCAAACAATACCTCATTATCTGGATGCAATATCAAGCCCTAAGTAATTTTACCTGAAATGATTATGTTGTCAATATACCTGTAAATCCAATAACTGCTTGTATTTCAAGTTCTGATAACATTATTTGTATTTTTATTTTTCAAATTATATACTTCAATATTTTAATTAAAAACTGTTGTATTTTAGACATAAATTTATAAATCTTATGAAAATTAATTAATCAAACAGTCCAGAACTCTTCATTTTCTTATTTTTCTAATCTTACTCTTATGTCTCTATTCACATTTTCAAGAACCTAATTTAAATCTCAATATTAATTTACTATTTTCCATAAATTAGATGAAAATTCGTCTTAATAAAATGATTTAACATCGTTCTTCTCCTTCTGTAGATTGATCTTTTTGCGCTCGTAAACCACAGTTTGAATTATGGAATTAGAAATGCTGTCTGCTATCATTCTTTCTTTGGCAATTTGAACTTCATTAGAAATTTTATTTGACTTTGATTCGGAAAATAGGTTTGCTTATATTTAGTAAAGCAAAAGGGCAAAGGCTATAATACTCAAAAAAACTAGTATCTTAAACAAAACAAATTTAGTTTTTTATTAATTATTAAATGTCCTCTTCAACATTTTAGACTTACGATCATCATAATCGGATGAACTGAGTCTGGGAGTCGAAGTAAATGAAGTAATACTACTTTTTGGGGTTATGATATTGTTTTTTGAGGATTTGAGTTCTTAAATAGTTGATTTTGCAGTCTCAAAGTGTTGGGGAAATACGACTGAATTTTGAGCAAAAGGTTTTGATATGCTGTCATTTTATTTAGTTGATAACTTATTAAAAGTTAGTTTTCTGTTAGAAATATTTGAAAGAGGTCTTTGAATTGGGGAATTACTTCGATTCATTATGAATTCAAATTTTTAATTTATTTATTTATCGTTAATGTTAATTCTAAAAAAGAGATATTATCCATTTTCGTGGTTATTAGGAATTTTGCTAATTCTTTCGATATTCTATCAAGAATATCAAAGTCTTTCTTACACATCATAAATGATTGTATTACTCTTAAAATCACATTATGAAGGTTTTAGATTGAATATTTTCTTTTATGCTCTAAGTTTACTACTAGATGTGTGTAGATTGAAGATACTAAGTCTTGGAGCAATAATTCTCTATTTTTATTTGACTCACAAGTTAAACAACTACTATCTGCCAGATGGAGGAAGTCCTGTAGGTCATTTATATTTGAAAGGAGGCATACTTAATGACTACAAACACATTCCAGAAATGGCAATCTATTATCCTGCATCGATTGAAGATTGCAAAAAGCGTAAAAAAGGGTTCAAGTGGCTAAAAGTTAAGGATTACGCAAAAAAAATGGATGATACTGCTAAAAAGGACGTACGCAGAAAAAGGAGGGTTCCCTATCTCTTTTTTAAAATTGTAGTTTCACAATTCTATAAGTTTATGATAAATGTGTATGAAAACGCATAAATTGACATAAATTTTGCAGAAACATCAACCAATCTTGCTAAATTTTCAGTGATAGTATTAAGTCATGGATTGGCTTCACATTGTGATGGATACTCTGTTGTGGCTAGATATTTGGCCTAGTAAGGTCATATTGTCTTTGTTCCAGAACATATCGAGAATATTCGGAATATTTACTTAACTAATGAAGAAAATAGAGAATATAGAAAATTGTAATTAGTAGATAGGTAACGAATTACATCATTCTAACCCTTAGAATAAATGCAGTAAAGCAGGTCTTAGATATAATATACAATCAAAAACTCTTCTCGGAACTTTTCAAGCATCCTGACAAAAAGATACAACCAGATTATGATTAAATTTCGATCATCGGCCATTCTTTTGGTGGATCGACTGCATATGCAATAGCTCAAACTGAGAAGAGAATCACAGGAGCTTGCATTCTATATGATCCAGTATTTATTGATTTTATAACTTAGTGTCTGTATATTTTCGACTTTGAAGAAAAGGTAAAATTGCACATTCCGTTGATGAGCATAAATGCCGATGATTTCTATAGAAGATTGTATTCATTTATGGAGAACGACGAAAGATTGGAGAAGGCATTCCAATTGATCGATGTAATGATATGATCTATTGAAGGGACCTATTTCAGATCATTGTGCTAATATTTATATCAAGGACCAATAACATGCAGATTTCTCTGATATCCCAATTATTTGGAATGGTGAAAGTGGACTTTATAGTATATCTAAAAATGTTCATGAAGTGCATTTGAGATTTGGAATGATTTTGCTATTGACGAAGATATTTTTAGAAGAATCGAAATAATATCATAAAATTAAACATAATAAACAGATGATAAATGGCAATGAGGAATTAAAATCCATAATACTAAAAGAGGTGGAGAAGAGTTTTGGTGCTCAAAGATTAAAATTGTTGAGATGGAAAGCCGTTCAAAATGAATGATTAATATAATTAAAAATAATATTATAATGAGCAATATTGATTAACTTTTAAGAAGTCGACCAAAGATTTTAAAAGGGAGCCAAACTTTGATACAGAACAAACCTACAAATGAGTTTAGTCTTAATTTAGACAAAGCCTTATTTACAATGTAGCCAGCTCCGAGATTGATAGTACCAAAGGAAGTCAATGTGAATAAGTAGAAATATGAGGGATAAGTAGATCAAGTTGACATGTATTCATGATTGATTACTAGAACTGAATAAGAGTTTGAGAAACTAATTCCGAAGAAGCAAAAGGATCATCCCATCACTAATAAGAAAATTGTTAATGATAAATAAGAAATGCCCACTTACATATTGGAGGAAGAGAAGACCAAATAAGTATGTACATCAAATAAATCAGTTTGTTATGGAAGCATTGAGTGAAGAGTTGGCAAGATTGGATTCAAACACAGAAAATCTATTGAAGACTTTGGATTAAGAAAAGGAGAAGATGGGATTGATGAAGCAGTAGAACGATGAGATAGAGCAGCAAGTAAAGATAATGGTTCAAAATAAAAGATTAGAGAATAGGATCTCGTAGTTGGAAGACTAATTGAAGTAATTAATTTAGGATAATTTAAAGTGTTCCAAAAGAAATTAAATTAGATCTATTGAATGCTGATTGGAATGTGGCAAATGAGAAAATCGAATAGATGTTTAAAGAAAATTAAGAGCTATTCAATGAAGCAGATCAAATTGCGCATGAATTCGCTAAATAATAATTGGAATGTGAAAATGATTGATATTTTTATAAATTATATTTATAAATTTAGTTAACAAGCTCGACGTAGAATTTAAAAATGAATAAACCAATGTAATAAAGTGATGGAGATGAAATATTCATTCATATTTAAAACAACGCAGATCAATATAACATTCAATCGTCAGATGAAAAAAATTAAAATTAAATTATGATCCCAGATCAAGTCATAGAGGCTAAGACCGCAAATCCAAAACCAATGACTTTTGATCAAATTAGATTGGTTTCATCCACATAAGTGAGTGGTGATGGACATGCTAAATCAGTTAGAGTGCAATGTCCATAATGCAAATAAAAAGTATTACAATTAGTATCCTAGGTTGATACTGTGATTATTCGTAAACCAGGAACCTAAACATATCTTGCCTCATGTATTCTTTTGCTTTGTTCTTTTGGTTTAGTCTGCATTTCTTGTTTACCTTGTATCATTGATGATTGTAAGGATGTTCTACATTCTTGTCCTAAATGCAAAATTCCTTTAGGAAAGACATAATTCAAGATTTTAGATTGATCCATTTATATAGACACTTTATTAAAATTAAATTACAAATTAAAAACTGTTGTTTTTCATTACATATTATTTAAATAAATATTGTATATGAAATAATTTCCAATATAATAAGCAAGAAATCTTGTGAATGAGTTCTTTGACTTTGTTGCTAAAGCAGTAAGTCCATTTCACGTCACATCTCTATGTAAAGAGAGATTGGCCAAGTCAGGATTCACCGAATTGAATGAGACAGAAAATTGGAAATTGGAAAAGGGTGGTAAGTATTTCTTCACAAGAAATCTCACAACTCTTGTTGCTTTCACTGTTGGCTAAAAGTTTGACCCAAATAATACAGGATTTAAAATCATAGGTGCTCACACAGACAGTCCATGTTTACGATTAGCACCAGTCTCTAAACTAGATTCTAATGGATTCTTATAAACATGTGTTTCTACTTACGGTGGCGGTTTGTGGCATACTTGGTTTGACAGAGAATTGACATTGGGAGGTCGAATTGTTTTTAAAAAAGATAATGTTTATTAGAGTTAGTTATTCCATTATCAAAAACCACTATTAAAGATCCCTAATCTGGCTATTCATCTAACAACTGATAGAAATAGCTTTGCTCCAAACAGTAAATATTTATATACAAAATTAGATGAATCAAATTTAAGACCTGTGTTTGCCTAAGAAGCCTATCAGACATTGACTGGAATTGAAAAACCCAGCAGTGAAGGATAAACTAGTTTTGAAAATAAGCACTATAAATATTTGCTTAATTTAATTACAGAATAGACTGGCATCCCAACAGCCGATATTTTAGATATTGATTTATACTTCTCAGATTGCCAACCACCTTCATATTTTGGCTTAAATCAAGAGTTCATTTCTGCTGCCAGAATTGATAACTTATTTTCAAGTTTCTTCTCACTTTTAGCCATTACAAATCCAGAAAGCTTCACAGAGGACTAAGCATTCATTAACATGGTCTGTCTTTATGATCACGAAGAAGTTGGTTCATAAAGTGCCCAAGGAGCTGATTCTTCATTACTATCCAATAACATGAAGAGGATTTATGATATCCTATCCAATTCTAATTAGGCCTCAACTGATAGTTTTTACAAGGCTATTCAAAAGAGTTTCTTGATTTCTTCGGATATGGCTCATTCAATTCATCCAAATTATTCAGACAAGCACCAACAAAATCATAGAGTCAAGATGAATGAAGGCATTGTTATTAAAGTTAATCATAATCAAAGATATGCTACTGACGGTGTTTCATCAGCAATTCTAAGAGTGATTGCTTAATAGGCTGATGTCCCAATCTAAGACTTTATTGTTAGAAATGATTCCCCTTGTGGTTCAACAATAGGCCCTTTATAAGGTTTAAATCATATTGATAATTTTAGCTTCGAATACAGGCATCAAAACTATTGATATTGGAGCAGCCTAGTGGGGCATGCATTCCATTAGAGAAACTGCCGGAGTAGTTGATGGTTATTATTTGGAAAAACTATTTGTTGAATTTTTCAAACAATACGAAAAAATAGATCATAAGTTGCTTGGAATTTGAGTATTATGATTATTGCAATAATAAGAATTCCATATACATACACCTAATTCAAAGATAACGAAAGTTGTTATTTGGGCTATTCTATTTATTCAAAACTTAATTAATAAATCTATGTTTTGTTTGATATTTACTTATAAAAATAATATTGAATAGTTCTATTTTTGATCCTCTTCAAATATTTCCAAAGTATTTTAAAGGCTATCTAAATAAGATACATTATTTCCGCATTTAAGATGCTATTGGCAGTTTTTAATAGATATTAAGTGGAAATCTGCTAGGATGTCATCAAAGTCAGCCATTAATTTATCTAATAATTAAAGAAATTCATTAATTGCTAAAATTGTAAATTACATAAAGAAACGAAATTTAATTTCATTACTTTATTATTATATTTAATTGAAGAATGAATAATAATGAGAAATTTATAAAAAACCTCACATAGCTATATAAATAAAATTATAAACACTTCACTTCTTGATATTCATATTATTTTGATGACCTTGTTAGTTATTTTGATTTTGAATATTCTAATTCTTGTTTTGAAGTTATAATTTGTTTTTGTATTTTTTTTATTTTAGTTAATATTATTTTATTTTTTATTTGTATTTTTATCGATTCAAAATATTTATAAAATTTAAAGCTATGCTGAATTACTTTTCTGTATTTTCACATTGAAATTTAATTTCAATTTGACTTTTTTCCTCACCAGTATCTTTGATTTAATATAAATTTTTGGGATAAATTTGCTATCGAGAGTGTTTTTCAAATGGTTAGTCTTAAATACTATATGTAACATTTGTGTAAAATAAGCATCCTAAAATTCCTAAAAATATATATCCTGAATAATTATTATAAGCCTCGATGGCAAAAAATATATAAAACACAATTGCATTGGTCAATAATAATTAAGCCAGTTATTATTTCCGTGCTAATTAAACTTGTGGTAAATATTTTTTACTGTTAATATTCTAAATTTACCAAAAATATGTCAAAAATGAAAATTTATAAGTGTATGTTAATAAATTATTTCGTTAATTACACCATTCTCTTTTGATTACAATAAAAGCTAAGAGTATTATGAGACTTTTATAAACTACAGAATAATCCCAAAGATGTTTTCCATATGAAAATATTAGATTGAAAAAGGTAGATAAAAATACAGCAAAATCGAATATTTTTTAAATGTTGATTAAACGCATAATTATTGTATTTATTTCTAAAGTCTAAGATAAGGTCCACTTCAAAATATATTCTCGATTGTTTTCATCATTTATAGAAAAGCTTTTTTTAAGTTCCAAAGATATGTCATCTTTTTGAATTTTAATTTTACAATTAAGTTAGCTGTTTATTTAAGAAAAATCTTCTTAAAATTAGAAATCAGAATTGTTGCGGCTTGATTTAAATTCAATTTCATTTAATTCGTTATAATTCAAAACATAAAATATTTGATCTTTATTTTCCAATTCTATTTTATCTTAGAAGTTGAATATGATAGAAATTAGTATAAATACAAAAACATTGAAAGAATAACAAATAGGGATTAGCATTGCTAAAAAAGTATAAAGAGAAGACTATTTTAAAGTATTATAAATCAGCTGGTATGGACTATAAAAAGCAAAAAAAAAACCTAATTAAATTTTAAATAATTTACAAACTGAAATTGCAAAGTATCCTGATATGAATTAAAGTTTGCAGACAGCATTTTAAAAACTAACCTAAAGGTAGATTTTCCAATTAGAAGTGATTAATTCATAATTTTGCATTTGATAATGAATGTTCTATCTTGCTTCAACGAAATGATCTATTAATGTCTTTTCTGGTAATTGGTTAATACTTAAAGTTAATACCGGCTTACTTAAGTGATGCAATTCTAATTATTTTTGTTGTGTTAACATTAACATAGGTAAAATTGAATTTAGTCCCAGCACTCCAATATTTGTTTTTTAGGCTTTTTATAATAGGGAATAATATTCTACCATCTAATTTGAAATAAGACTCCATTTGTAAATGCATTATAGAGGGTTATGAAATTACTTTATTTTAAATTTAGAATGAAAACCAATAATACTTTTAGGAATCTGTATATAATAGGATAATTGTTTCAAACTTTCATCTTCAACTAATAATTGTTCACCCAATTAAATACCAAATATTGTTTGCTCTTAACAAAATAGAGAAAAAAGATCTGTGATTCGAAATTTTAATATAAAGTCGCTCTTTAATATCACAACATATTCTGGATCAATGAAACTCAATATTCCAAGATAAATCCATCGAATTAATTACAATGTGTCAAGTTACATAAAGAAAGAAAAATAATATTCGAATTTGCCATTTTCATCTTATTTCTCTAAGAAAAAGGAATGATCTGTAGAAAAGGAGTATTTTATATACATATTAAAGTAATCTTTGTAGATGTCATCTTCCTAAAACAACTATTAGAAATGCTTTTTACAATTAATTAATATAATTGGAATTATTTTAAGACCTTTAAAGTAAGATATTGTCTCATTTAGATCATGCTCTGATTCCCCTTAATATATAAGAATAGCCACGTTTGATTTATTAATTTTTTATTGATTAGGATTATCACTTTATTTTTGGGTTTTTTCATCTTTCTCTTCTTCTACTTTCTCTTTTTTTTCTTTAATCTTAGAATAGTAATTGTAACTTGATAAAATTTTCTTGAAAGTACGTCCTCCAATCAACAAATCACTGAAAGATTGAATAAAATATTTCTTTTCGTAATTTTCTTCAAATTTATTTACATCTTGATTTTTTTCAAATGTATTTAAATATGTGGTGGTCTCCTCCATAAAAAGTAAACATGCCTCGAACGTTTTAATTTCCTCTTTTAATTGCTCTTTTCTAGTATCAGAAATATGTTTCACTAATGTAGTTCTCTCATCAGAAAAGGGTTAGGGTATTTAGAATTTACTCTTATCGTCCTCAACTAATATCATTAAAGGTATCCTGTCATCCTCTTATAATTCAATTAGTAAATATTTAAACATTTATTATAAAAATTTGGAAAATTATTTCACCAAATATGAAAGTAGAAAATATATTCTATTACCAAATTTTGATTCTAAGATTATAAAGAAATATTGGGTAACTGAGATATGGTGATTGAAAGCATAAATAATTAAAAATGGTTATAATTATTGATTTTACTATTCTAGAAATATTAATCTATTATTTCAAATATAAATGTCAGACTTCGAAAAGATCTGTTCTAGGGAAGGCACTTTTCTCTACATTTCTTAAAGGAAGAAACCAATACTTAATTTCAGGACCAAAGACTTCTTTAAAGTTATCGATAATTCTGGGCTTTCTGAAAGGGTTCTAATTTAATAAATTTGATGTGAAATACATTGGCTTTTATTTCATTTATGTGGTATTCGACAGTAGTAATGTTTTGGGCAGTATGGTAGATATGAAATCCCAATAGAAATCCCATAACCAATACTAAGGAAAAGCAGGTTACATCACAAATTGTCAATATAAACTATTAATTTTTGGTCAGTTCCTAAAAGATGTTAACATAAGCATACTTGTAACACAAGCTTATCATTAACAAATAAATCATAAGAAATAAATAATGTACATTGGATCATGCACAAGAGAGCATAGAAATTGAATTGGCAGAAATACCTATGATTTTTCAAACCTACACAATTATTAACCCATGGACAATGATGGTCCTAATTAATTAAAATAATTAATAAAACAATTACCATTCTCAATATACATTTATTGCATTCTTTACAATGATGAGTTCTGGGTAATTTTATATTATCACATTTAAAACAGTATGAAACTAATTATAATGCTTGAATAATATCGCTAGAACCATATAATTAAATTATTTTATTACAATTTCATCATCATGCTCATCGTGCATCTCAATATGGTTTTGCATCCTTCGTTACCTATGCTTATTAATTTTTTCAGTCATTTTTTTTGTTCTTTATTTAATGTCTTCCAAAGTTCTTTCATGATAATGTTTAGCCTAAGTGTCATAAGAGCAAATACTAAGTCTTTCGGAGGATATCCAGGCTTGGTATATTGGATCATAATGTAGGCTAAATTCAAGAAGATGAATATGATGGTAAATTCAATTCCAATCAAATAAGTAATACTTCCATGCTAATAATGTATTAGTGAAAAACGAATTACTTTATTAAGAAATGCAGGTAGGAAGATAAAAACAAAAGCATAATATTCGCTGAAGATTATCCCATAAACAAGTATCACGGCGATGAAATCAGGTAGTTGATGTTACCCCTTTAGCATTAATTACTATATTTATTTAATTTTAAATTATATATATTCCTTTTGCAAAATTAGAATTTTCTATGCAATATTCTTGAAATTGTGAGAGTGGTGGAGAAAAAGGGAAGGATATGAGAATTTTATAATGAATCTTTAGTAAATTTCAATGATTTTAAAATTTGAAAATGAAATAGAATACTTGAAATTACGGAGAATTAAATGGATTATTTAATATATCTTGGTTAAAAGTAATGTAGGATTGAGATTGCATATATATATATTATTTAATATTTGAAAAATAATGGAACCTGAATAATTGATAGATTAATTAAATGATATATTGTTGGCAGACCATTTCAGATTTATAGAGGTTATAGGAAGAGGCAGTTTTGGTGTAGTAGTGGCTGCGTTTTGTAGTAATCTAGATCGAGTGGTGGCAATAAAAGTTAATTCTCATATTAGAATTATAATAGATAACATCGAACGTTGATCAAGAGAACGAAGCCAATTTGCTTAAAGCTTGTTGCCATTATAATATTGTTAAACTTTACAAGGTATGGCATTTTTTTTCATTATAGGTGTTAGTAGCTAATAATCATCTTTATCTCATAATGGAGAGACTGGTCGGTTTAACTCTGGACAAATTGATGAAACAATCTATATTGCCAGAATAAAGCGTTAGAAACTACATGACTCAAATTTTAAATGCTTTGGTGTTCCTTCATAGAAAGAATATTATCCATAGAGATCTCAAGCCAGGTTAATTTAACCTCTATAATAGAAAATATCTTTATTTGTGAAAATGCATGCGTTAAATTAATAGATCTAGGCTTAGGATAAGAGATTGTGTGTAAAGGATGTGTCTATTAATCTGTTGGTACACCCTATTTTATTGCCCCAGAAGTCATTTTAGGAAAGGATTAAAGTCAAGTATGTGATTGCTATCACTAATTTAGGCTGTTGATATTTTCAGTTTAGGAATTATCTTCTATATGATGATCAACAATTTGTAACATCCATTATGGGATGGACAAATGAGAAAAAGACATTATTACTAATTGATTTCAAATGAATTTTCAATTAACTTCCCCAAAACTATGCCTGAGTATTCTCTAAATATGATATTTAATAGGATGGCAAAAGATTTTGTGTTGAACACCGTTTAATTCAGGGCAGAAAACAGGATGACTGCCTCGTAATGCTTAGAACATCCGTGGATAAAAGGAAAAGCAGTTAAAACTCATCCCATGACAACAAGAGAAATCATGTTAAGATACAACATTTAATAAAAGCTTTAACATGTAAACCTCATTAATTAATTAGGTAATTAAATCATTGATGTTTATAAAAACTCTTCAATAAACATGCGAAGAAGAGATTCACTACATCAAAACTAACACTTCCCCTTAGAGAGATGAGTAGGAAGAGGATCGAATCTCTCCTGAAAATGACTAGTAGATCACTGCGAGATTAAGTGTTGAATTAACCAACAAAAAATAAAAATCATTTAAATTGCATGCTATTCCTCTTAAAAAAGTAAGTTCATATAAAGATCTAGTGACTTTAAGGGAAAAGTAAACAAATCAAAAGAAATATCAATGTATTAACATGTATTTTAATAAGATATGATATCAAGGTTTAGAGAGAAATTGACTATAGGCAATCAACTCAACACCAACGGGCATCATAAATTTGATTCTCCAATGAGTCATCGAAAATTAACTACTCTACCTTCAATTAATACTAATAGGTTATAAAGATAATCAACTTTTAATTTTAAAATTTTGTGAAGTGCTTTTTATAAATTATCAAATAAGAAATCAATTTTACTTTAATCTATTCATAATTTCATCTGCTTCTTAAGCCTTGGTTTCATCATAAGGAATATAATAGTTAGATAATCTGGATTATGGATTGCTCATTGGTTTGCTCTATTCTCTGAAGATGTTTATTGATTTAATGATCTCCTCATTATCCATCTCAATTTATTATATCATTTTCTTGATATCATTATTTATAAAGAACAATTCAGTGTTGTCTTATTTCAACAGTTTGAAATTGGCTTGCATCTTTGCATTCTCTAATTTCAATTTATCGATTTACTATTATAATTCATTATGCTTATGATTATCAACTCGTAAATTTAAATTAGAAATCTCAGAAATCAAATTATCCACATTGTTTCTAACTATCTAATATTACTGATAAACTTCCTACGGTTATTATTACACTTAGTTAGTTTATTATATTGTCTTTATGGCAGATTTCAACTAGATTGAGGAATCTTCTTTCTTGCTCTATTAGAATGACTGATTCTAACTCTAATCCTCCTTAATTCTAGGAACTTTCGAAATTAATTCTTTGAATTATTCATCTGAATTGTATATTTTCTCATTTTGAATCAATACTTTACTAATATTCAACTTCAAGGTGTCCAATTTATCCTGTTCATTCAAACTTAACTAATTTCCTTCTTCTAATCGTTTAATTATTATTTCCAATTATTTTCCATCTTATTCTAATCGTTATTTATTCTTATCAATCATTTATATAATCGTTGTTGACTTTCCTTTGTCCAAACACATCTTAAGTATTTCAATTTCTGCCTTAAGCTACAATTTTAATCTTGTTAGAGATTATAGCATTTATTCAAAAATCAATTATTTATAACAATAATTAATACTCCTTATTATTACTTCATATGAATTCCAGCATTTTCATAAGACTCACTATCTAATTTGAAAAAATCTCAGATACATATTAATCTTAACAGTTGACTAGTCTATTTATTTATTTTCTCATTTATTTGTTGGTCTAAGAATCAAAATATAAATATATTTTAATCAAAACTCATAATTCTTATATTCAATATTGACATCACGCAATGATAATTTGTATATATAAATGCAATTAATTAAATAACATAAATATATAAATACAAACAAAGAGTAAATGTTTTCAAAGTTCAATTTCAAACTATGCTAATTAAATTGTTCTCGTAGGTTTCCTGAATTTACTAATGAAATTATTTCCTAATGTTTAGACAAAAGGTATAAATATTAGCAAAAAGAGAGCATAATTAATATAGTAAATATGCTCAAAGATTAAAGTAATCATTAGGCGAGGAACCCCTTTCTCAAACAATTTAATTATGTATCTCTATTACTCTTGTATTAAATAACAAAAGAAGTATAATGTTAATTTTATTATGTTGCCTTTGGAGAGCCAAAGTCTCAATGGACTTTTATTAGGTTGTTCAGGTGGTTGCTCGTAGAGTACAAATAAGTATAAAGGAAAAAAGATTATTGAGATATATTAAACATCTGAAGTTTCAAATTTCTTTTCGTAACTATAATGCCCCTTATGAAGACAGGTATCTTGTCTGAGTATCAACTTCTTCCATTCTTCTTTCTCATCTAGTATCTATTAGGAATAGTGTCTAAAGTAACAAATTATCAATGTTATCAAGTAAAGTAAGGATAGCATAATACCCAAATTGATATACTTAGCGATTTTGGTACATGTCTTCTCATCTTTAATTCTTTTGGCCTCAACGTAAAGAGAATGAATAAATTGTTCTAGTCCACAGTAATAATAAAGGTATAACAGATACATTCCTAAGATCCATCCAAGGATTATTTGATTTAAAAAATGAACTCCAAAATATAAACGACCAATTCCAATCAAAAAAATAAATACTCCTAAAAAAAATTAGCATTGCTTAAAACTAATTGGAGAATTCGGATATAACAACTTAAATCTCTTATTACTAACATAGAAATATAAGATTTTACCATGATATTGACTATTCCGTCTATGTCAGTTAAGATTAATTATCTTTATAAAATTAGTTATCGTCAATAAGCTATTTTTGATCTGGTTTATACTTTTTGCAAACTATTGTCTCTAAGAGTATCACATAAAACACGAATGGCCTTAAAGAGTGACCACTCGGATCCCCATATCCAGTATAGCAAAAATCCAATTTTATTTAATCATCAATGTAGAAAGGTCTTGGTTAAGCAGCTATCATTTTAACCAAATTTCCCAATGATGAGGCCAAAGCATTCATTGTAAAAATCTTTAAAGCTTGTTCTTTGTTGGTAGCTTTGAACCATATTAGAATTGCTAGGATATTCGTTACAATAGCATCTCCTGCAGTTGAGAATATCAACAAAAAGTATTCTATAAATATTTTATATGGATACCAAATGTTCCTTACTCTTAACCATATTCAAATTTATTTTATAAAAACTTAGTAATGCTATTACTAAATTCATAAGTATATTTGCTAAAAAAGACATCCGAAACCAAAATCAGGGTTGCTAAAATTGTTGAAAATGTGACTTTGTTCATAAAAAAGGTATATTTAATATTAAATTTAGAAGTCTAAGTGAATGAAATTTAAAATTCCATTCCGATATTCCTAAAATAATAATTCCAGAATTCCCAAAAATATTCATATATATTTATTTAAGTATTTAAATATTTCTAAATAATGAAATCAATTAAATTGTAGTTTTTAATTATTTTTATAATCATATAAATTCAATTTGAGTATCTAAACATAAATTAATTTTGAACAAGTTTTAAAAATCCCTATCAATAAATTTTATAAATTTAATTGAATATAACAAATTTACAATATTATTTTATTAATCTTATAAAAAATATTGAAGTGAAAAAACTACGATTGGATTACCAAAATAACAAGCAATTTAACTTTGTTTATCTTCAGAAAGTTAGATTTCCCATAATATCATATTAGAAGCTTATTGTAACTTTACCTCATTGCTGATCTATTTGTAAATCATTAGATTTATAAAGAATAAAAATAACAATTAGATGAAATAGCCCTATGGAACATTAAGTTGACTTTATAATATATTGTTATTAATTTAATCATTTAAGTTCATAGCATTTTTTGATTTCACTTTAAATAGTTTGCAACATTTATTTTTTCAGAATTTAAATGCTTTATTAATCAAATTAGTTTAATTAAACAACTTTCACTTTGTTTTGATTTAATTCACTATTTATTATTGCAGAAATTTCAGTTAAATGTTCTGACAAAGTAACCAATATAATAACAGTAGGTAAAATTAGTTCTATTAATTACTGGGATATTAATACTATGTTATAGAAACTATTTAAAATTATCGATGTCATTAATTTAATCTAAAATTAAGATTATGCCAACAGTGAAATCAGGTTTGAAGATTTCTGTTTGTTTAATTATTTCAAAACAGCAAGGAGTTAATTAAAAGTTATCTTGTAATTCAATATATTTAGAACATTTTGAATAATCTTCGCAGATCTATTGAATCCCATTTTATTAGTTTGAAATTATAAAACTAGTCAATATAGAAAAGGAGAAATTACAAATCTTTATTTTATTAATTGAGTTTTCCACCAAACCCATACAATGAGGCTGTATTTTATTTATTATATTGAATTAGAATGGATCCTATAATAATAAGAAACTATTAAAATATATTTAATTGGTTGTGAGATTTAACATGCATATTCATGGAACTTTTGCTAAATTCCATGAAAATTAAAATTTAAATTTGTTTACTTTAAAGCCAAGAATAAAAATTTAATTCATGCTTAATCTGACATGACAATAATTTTAAATGTCCACAGTTTTTCTAAAATTTATAATCAGAGTTACATGTTCTGGATTAATTAACGCAAATTGTTTACTTGGAGATAACATAATATCATGATATGATAATTCAATAAACCCAATAAATTTGTGTTTTGGAGGATTCTTTTACGAGTGATCCCAACATTCAATTTTAAAGTTTTTGTAATCATCATAGAAATTTAAAAGGCCCATGTCAATTGAAAATGGAACCCAAGTAGGATTTAAATTATCTTCAATAAATTCAGTTACATAAGCAAGTTTCCATTCATCATCATCCCATTAAAAAAACTGCAAAAAAGGGTCTGATTTGTTGAAAATTCCATCTGTATTTAATAGCTTTTCTCCAGCCCAATGTTGGAACAATAGAGTTCCTTTTTGTAACAAATTTGCCTCTAGCTTTATAGTAAAGTGATTATTTGTTTTGATTTAAGTGCCATTTTTTATTAATTCTCCCAATTAAAACTATTATCCTAATATAGATGAATACTTAAATGTAGCCAATAGATTTATCCTCATCTACACTTATATCGAGACGATAGCTTTAGTACTTATGAAATTCGAATACTGCGTTGTAACTAGTTATCCATTAATCATCTTATTTATTCATGAGTATTGACTGATTTTTTATTTTATATATTTATTCATTTGAATCCTTATATGATAATTGGACTTCAACTTATTTAGGTTAGAGTTCTTTGATGCTAAGTTGAACTTCAATCTTGACGTTCTTAAATTTATAATCTTAGATTTGCATAATAATAATTATAATATTAATAAACGATTATCAATTGTCTCTAATTTAAATAAGCTATTAGAAATTGATCGAAGAAACAATGAAAATTAGTATGATATTAGTAAGATGAGAATAATATATATCTCCCACATAGATAAATAATAAAATACTTGGTTACTTAGTAATTTCAATATCTATTATTATTCAAATCCATGCAAGTTGCTTATATCCACAAGGCTAAGAATTATTATAGTGAAGAGATTGTTTGTAATTCATAGAGTTTAAGAATTGTTGATATTCTTACTCTGTATTCTTCCTATTGAAATAATCTATTTAATTTTAATAAAGCCTTTGAGGATTGAGCAATTACGACTTTAAGGGTTCTTCCAGTTTGAAAATTCTAAATTCAATGAACACAATTTAATTAGGATTAACTTAAGTTCTTTTAAACATTTATTTTTGTTCAATTCTACACTTATATTATGCACCCTCATAAGTATTGATATATTGATCAAAGTGTGACACCCCTGAGAGTGAACTCAAAGTAACATCACACCATAATTTTAAGGATGTTCCTACATCAAAAATGGATGGTAGAGTTTTAGTTTCATGAAGATGATGTGAAACCATTTCTCTAGTTACGCCCATGAGAGCGTAAAATTATTCATTAACTATTCTTTACGATAATGAACTATTGTCTTTGTTTACTTTTTGGATTATACAGTGATATGGGTAACCTTAAGCTAATTGTTCTACTTCTAACAATTCTTCATTTGAAATGTAATAATGTTGAGTATACTCATTGAGGATATTGAATCTTTGATGTACTAATTCAACTGCTAATTAAGCATATTGATCTTCTTATTTTAGTAGTAGATTAACTATCTAATCAATTGAGTAGTTAGGTTGATCAAGTAGTTCGAGAGTGTAAAAATACACATCATCTAGTTGATCGGTTCGCGTTACTCTATAATTGTAAGTGCAGGGTGTTTCTTTAAGATTGCCTAAACAATGTTCAGGAATATAATTGATAGCTAATTTAAGTTCCACTTCTGATTTTATGTAAACACGTTCTTTCAACTATTTTGGCACTGAAACTATACAAATTAATTGTTTGGTTGAGTTATGCTTGAGATTTTGTTTTCCTAATTGATTACATGGATATAAATAATTACTCCTTTTGTTAACACTCTTCGAATAATTTGAAAGACTTGTGGACTCATCATGCATGCTTACTCGTTATTTGACTATTTTACTCATTTTGTATTGAGATTAATAAATATAAAAATACTATGAAAGATAAGAAATTTAGTGACATACATTAAGTTGCTAATTATTTACATTAAGTTATTATAATTATTGTTATAATTACACTTATTATTATAGTATATATATATATATTATCAATTATTTTGGTTTTAATTCATGGGATACAGTGTTAGTTCAATTATATGATATGAATAGGGTTAATAAACGATATTTAATGATTAAAGCTATTTAATTTTTTTCTCATTTTTGATTGGCCGATTATAAATGAAAAAAGATTAATTGGGATTTATATTTGCAATAAGGCGGGTTTGAAACATTAATAAATTAATCAAAAATCAAATGTCATCAGGAGGAAAAGGAAAAGCAGGAAAGGGAGGCAAAGCCGCAGGAGCTCATAAATCAGTTTCCAGATCACACAAAGCTGGTTTGTAATTCCCAGTCGGAAGAGTTTCAAGATATTTGAAATAAGGAAGATACACAGAAAGAGTTGGTGCTGGTGCTCCAGTTTATCTTTCAGCTGTTTTGGAATATTTGGCTGCTGAAGTTTTGGAACTTGCTGGAAATGCCGCTAAAGATAACAAGAAAAACAGAATCAATCCAAGACACATTCTTTTAGCCATCAGAAACGACGATGAATTAAACAAATTAATGGCCAACACTACAATCGCTGACGGTGGTGTTTTACCAAGCATTCATCCATAATTATACCCATCAAAGGAAGACCCAAGTTAAGCAGTTTGAAATGTTTAATTTGTTTTACAATTAACATATACAAATTTATTTTAATATTTCTAGTCTCCAAAACATTATAAACACATAAATAAATGAACTTGAATATTGATAAATCAATTCTTCTTTGATGTGTGTGCAATTTTAACAGACTTTTATGCTGCATCATCTAAATCTGTTGCAGTTGTAATTGATACTTTAGTCTATGATTTGGCAAATTCATCCAACATCTTGGCGCCTTTTAATTATTCTCAATTTATTACCTTATTATGAATTTGTTCCTGTTAATCTAACAACTAATGGTGTCTTTAAATCAACCAATTAAGCTGCTTTGATAATACCTTCAGCAATAATGTTGCATTTCATAATACCACCAAAAATATTAATAAGGATTGTCTCTACCCTTGGGTGTGAGTTCAAGATTTCAAAAGCTGTCTTAACTTATTCAACATTAGCACCACCTCCGACATCTAAGAAATTGGCAGGTTCTCCACCATATAATTTAATAATGTCCATTGTAGCCATTGCCAAACCAGCTCCATTCACCATACAACCAATATTTCCATCTAATGCAACATAGTTCAATCCTGCTGCCAAAGCCAACTCTTCATGTGGATCCACTTATTCTGATGCAACTGATGTTTTTCTCAATTCTACCAACTCCTTTTATCTAAATTTAGCATTGTCATCAACATTAATTTTAGCATCAATGCAGAATAATTGATTTTTTGGATCTGTTGCTTGCCATGGGTTGATTTCTACTTAAGTAGCATCCAAGGAAATAAACATCTTATAAAGATTTCTCAATTATTCAACTGCTTATTATCTAACAGATTATAATTGAAGAGTGTCAACAACCTTATTGGCAATTTGATCTGTCAATCCTGTGTTTACATCAATTGGTAAGACAATAATACTATTTGGATCTGTCTTTGCTACTTCTTCGATTTCCATTCCACCATTAATTGATGCAACAATAGCTGGCTTTTATGAATTTCTATCCAGAATAAATGCTAAATATAATTGACGTACTATGTCGACACCTTCGTGTACAAGGACTGCATTCACTTACAAACCCTAATTTAGTAAATATTAATGAGTACTTCTTTTGGTGTCTAATGTGTTACCAATTTATATCCAATCATTTATTTTGTATAGTTGGCTACTTCCTCTGGAGTTTTGCAGATCTTGACTCCTCCCTTCAAACCACTTGATAGTGTTCCTTGAATTAAGCATTATTCATACCCTTTCCTCTTCCACCAGCATGAACTTGAGATTTAAGGATCAAACCACCACTTGGATCTAATGTCTTTGCTACTTTGGCAGCATCATCAGCATTCAAAGCAATTGCTCCTTTTTACACTCTGACATTGAATCCTCTCATCAAGTCTTTACTTTGGTATTCATGAAGATCAAAGCATTTAACAACTTTGTGTTACAATGCAGCCAACCTTGTAATGCGATTGAACATTTATTTTAAATCTTTTTATTTAATCAAAGCACAATAACTAATCACTTAAAAAATAAACTATTTTTAGGATCCATTAAAGCAATCTATACACACTCCTCTTAGAAATCAGATTAATATAAATAATAATTACAAAAGAAAAATGTAAAATGTAAAATCAATCAATTAATCAAAAACTATTTTCAAGTCCTTTTCTTGAAATCATTTGATCGTAAAAATGATTTTTAGATTGGATTCTTGAAGTTGAAGTAAACTGATTTGAAATGTAGTAGATTGTATTTTATTTCTAAATCTTGATTCTCTCTTTCCATTAATTGCTATTCAGCTTTCAAAGTCATACTCGGGTCATTTTCGACTATACCTTCAAAAGTAGAAATTTGAGCAATTTAAATGTTTTGTTGATTTATTCTTAGTCCTTCATGCAAATCGCTTAAGGAATATCCCACTCCAATACTCTTTATACTGCCTTAATTGGTCATTGCACTGTATTATTATGCGCTGCTCCCATTATCCGATGTTCCGACTAATTCATCTTAAGCACCAAAGGTTTTAACATTTTGAGGTTACAAATTCTCTCCTAAAAATTCTCTTAATAATATTAGTTATTTAATTACCTTCTTATCGTACCACAACTTTAATAATTTGGATTTTATGTGTTTTTCAATTTTTTGTGACCTTTTTACTTATGAGATTTGCTTTTCTAAAGAGTCCAATCCAATCCTTAATCTGAAATATTGTGTAAAGTTGTAAGGAAAAGGCCTCGGAGCATAGTATACGATGGGCTTTATTAGGGGGACAATGCTTTAACATATCTCATGTATCTTAATTTAATGGGATGATTACTTTAAAATAGAATTTGGGCATTCTGAACACAATTCTTCAATTTTTGTTTCCTATTTTAATTTTCCAATTTTTTCTAATCTCTGTGTATCATTTTTATCGATATTCATCCATGGCAAACGTTATTATAATAAGTATATTAACAAGTAGCCTAAAGATTCTAAGTCGTCCTTTGCTGTCTAATCTATCCCTTAATGAGCAGCCAAACTTGCGTATCTACTAGTACCAATAAAGGATATCTTCTTTTTTTTCTTGGTTTTTTAATTTATATTTCGCGATATTCCAAAATCAATGAGAAAGATCTTGTCGCTATCGGCTTTGCTTAATATATTTTCAGGTTTGAGATCTCTATGTATTATATTCCTATTAATTATTTATTAATTAACCTTTTGTGTATTTGTTCTAAAATCCATAGCAATTAGAAAGCGATATTGTACACACATTAGGTTGAAAACTTCTAATATAGCTTTTAAAAATAAGTTAAATCGTGTCCAAGCAATCTTGTTATCATAACGTTGCATTTCTTGAATTGACCATACCAATATAATTCAGGAATCTAAGAAACTCCTTCCAATAACGTCAATATTTCAATCTAATTTGACAAACTCTAATACTTCTTTATTTAAACTACTATAACTTGCCATTTCCTGCTTTTCCACCTTTATTGCAACATTTTTGTTTCTTTTCATACATCTCCCAAAATACACTATTCCAAATGAACCTTATGATATTTTTTTAATTATTTCATATTGATTGTCAATGACATCTCCTTATTAAATTTGGTTCATAAATTTATTAATAGAAAGAATGATGATGTATTTTAAATCAATTCTTAAAAATAATAATTAATTATGATGGACTTTTAATTTACTCAATTGCCTTTTCTTAATGATATCAAAAATAATGATAATGTATTCAACATAAAGAAACATTTTATTTATAAATAATACCAAAAATCTTTGGCTTATTTTATCATTTATCAATTATTGATAAATTGTAAATAAAAGTTGATTTAAAAAATAAAAATCGTTGAATTGCTTTTTTATAATAATATATTTTACAATTTCATAAAAAACCAAAGTTGAGGAGAAGGATATTTTAATCGTCATTAAATAATATATTCAGTTAAAATAATTTGTTAAATTATAAAATAAATATATTTAATTGAATGTTTTAAGGGCAGTACCAAAATCTGATGATCAATTAAAAGGATCTTCTTAATTTGAATTTTGAATGTATAGACTGAAAAATTGATTAAATTAGAGAATTACATCAAGATTGGAAGCGGCTATTAAGCAGTTAGAAGAATTTTCAACAATGTGCAGTACGATTAGTTTGAAAAATAGCAGTTGAAGGAGTTAAAGGGATTTATGGATTCAATTCCTATATAGTATTTAAAGGAGTATGTTAAGTGATAATATTTGAGGGTTTAGAACGATTCTGTATTATTGCGATTTTTATATGCTCATAAATTCATGAAGGAGGAGACAGTTAATTATTTTGTTGATCACTTAGACTGGCTCAATAATCCAGAAACAACAATAATAGATGACCTTCCTCAATACGATAAAATCATATAAATTATAGGTAGGGATGAAATGCTAAGACCTGTATTACACATAAATTTATGTCAACCTTTGGATAATTATTTTATCAAGGCCATAACCAACAAATTAATATTGATGGAAGATTACATGTTTGCTCCAAGCAAAGTGGAAAGTTGGATAATAATTATTGATATGAGTTAATTCAATCCAAATGTTTAGAAGGAGTATATTGAATAAGCAGTTAAACATTTTATCACAAACTTCCCAATGTCATTGGAACATATCTATTTTTTGGATGCAAGCCAAATTTTAAGATAAGTAGGTGAAAATTTGTTGAGCTAGAAAGAATTTAAGATATTTGATTTGGATGACAAAATTTCTATTATGAATAAAGCTGAATTTAAGAAGGATAAGCTATAGTTGCTATCTCCTGAATATAACACTTTATTTGTAGTTGAAGACCCATTATTTTAATAGGCATCTCAAAAGTCTTTATCTTAATTAATTATCAATTAACCACAGCCTACATTATATGGCTAAACATAGAAGGGCTAATAAAATGCTGATCTAATTGGACCCTTATATCCTTTGGTTGTCTATGCAGTGTCATAACCTTAACCTTATGTTCCTGAGATCCATGATAAAGAATTACAATGCTACACAAACTAAAAATAGATTCCCACCTTCTTTTTAGACACTCAGAATTAATTTTGCCAAAATTATCAGCCTTTTAAATATAATAATACAAGTGGGCCTCAAAATCAATAGCAGACTGATCCTATTCCTTAATAGTAAACTAACAAAAGAATTGTAACTCAGTTGCAATCCCAAATGACTTTTCAAAATACAGAATATTCTATGTATTAATAAGATAATTATATGTAGGAGAACAAAATACGATGACATTATTGATTAGTACAATTGGAATAAGTATGGTATTGCCTAGTAATAGCCTATAGCAGACACAGAGAAAATAATATATGATGCAACATATCATGATTCATCATAACATCAAATCAATACACCATATATTTAATAAACTCCAACGCTACCAGGAACAGAACAAACTATAAAGAAATTTGATATCCATAATAATCAAGATATTCATTCAACTGGGGGATTTTTTGAAGATCCTATTCTTCCTTAACATGATAATAATAATGTTCAGCCTTCTTTTTACAGTGATCAAAAACACTTGCCAATCAAACATTTTGATTTTGAAAACAACTCTCCATAATTAACTTAACCATAGAGGAATATCTATGCAGATCCACGATCTCCACTTGAGATCGATCAATACCCTCCAATACATTAGTAAATAGAAAAAAAATTTGATTTTGGTCCAATTCCAGTAAGACCATCTGAATAATCTTATACACCATCTTATATAGCTTCAGATAAACCATATGTTCCAGAAAGGATTTCAGATATTCCAACGTATCAAAACAATTATTTATAACAGCAGCGATTTCACAATATTCCAACATCATCTCTACCTCAAACTTCTGGATATTCACCTTATCTGCCATAAACACCCTTTAGTCCTCTTCCAAGTAGTACTAATTTATATGTTGCTCCAACTTATCCATTAACAACTACAAACAAATCCTACTTATATAACTCAACCTAACCTAAAATAATCGAATAAGATGGAATCAAATTTCAGGATGAAACCATGGTTATTGGAGACCCTGACCACAGACCAACCAAAAATTCAAATAGAGATCCTGCACTTGATTAATAATAATGTTAAATTTTTTGATTTCAAATATTCTGAATTTATTATTCTGAATGATTTTTCTTGTTGAAAAGTAAATATTTCAAGAATTGAAGTATTTATTTCTAAAGGTGCAAAAAATACTATTCAAAATTATATATTTAATCTAGATTAATAATAATTTTTATTAATAAGTTTCTAAACTCATTATTAGGAGTAGTTGAATTTTTGACATCCAATATATTTATTATATTTTAGGCTATCAATATTCAAATTTAAGTGTATTTGATCTCTAAATAAACAATATCATTTTTACTTAATCCATATTATTTTAGATAAAATATAAATATTATTTAATGAAAGTTATATTCGTTGTTTAATCAAATTGCAAATCTTGCCTTGAACCACGTATTAGATTAGTTTTTCAATATATTTATCAATTTATTTTGTTTTTACTATAGATTAAAATATGGAATATAATTTATTTAACATTTACTGACATCATCTTCAAATGCTATTTAAAGTCGATTCATAACTTTTAATTAATAAAATTAATCTAATGGGTTGTGTCCAAAACAAAGCCAAACTATCCATGTCTTAAAGAATTATTCATTTATAAGAAAAGTCTGCTTCAATTGCAATTCATCATTAATAATTTCAGATCAAAGATCAATAATACAATATACTCAAAAATCCCATTATTAGGAGGAGAGAATAAAAGAAAAGCAAAATCTCTTACACCAGTGCATGTACTCCCATCATGAATGACTGAAAATTTTAAAGCTTAATGTTCATAATATAATATTTATTTCGTATTTTCAACTTGTTCAACCTATGCTGATCTGCATGTCCCTTTCATTTCCTGTCAATCTTCATCTTTAATTTTTAATTATTTTGCATACTCATATTGTACCGATAAACCAATTATAAATAAATCAAAAAATTAATCATAGTTATTATTTCAAGAATGTTTTGTATATAATTTTTGACAAAATTTATGTATTATCTGAATGCTTTTGTTTAGTTTCTCTTTTGTAAACTACACAGCCTTAACTTTCTTATTCTCAAGTCTTTTCTCATTCGATGACAAAAGCTAAGACGATATACTACTATTGTAATTATATCAATAACAAATTTTATTCGTTAAATTCTAACCTAGTCGATAGCAATTGTATCTTCTCTTTCTCTACCATCCATTTTGAAAAATTAATAAAAGTTTAAGTAATTATACGTGAAGAGATAAATATAAAAATAGATCAAGAGAATTATCTTTACACATATGAATTCTAAGCTTCCACTTTATTCTAATCGTTGATTAAACTTGGTGTTGAAGTGTGAGCTCTCCTTTTAACTATAGGATTCTTTTATATTTTGTATTTTTCTAAACAAAAATGATTAAAAATTTCTCTTTCGACCTCATCTTCCTCAATTTGTTTTGAAGTTATTTGAGAAGCCAACTATACAGATTGAAGTTTGTCAATTTTATTCTTGGATGTCAATGAACAACCCATTTAAAAATAATTAATTAGTTTTGATCGTCGTGTTTAATATTATGAAAATAACAAATCTAATTTCTAAATAACATCTATTAACTATGCTGATTATTGTTATTCATATACATTGTTCACTTAGCTAACTATTTTAGCTGTCATATCTACTCATCTCCTCCAATCAGAAAACTTTTTTAATCTGAACATTAAATATATATAATCTAATTTTAAATTGGACACATATTAATTTTATGCAATTTAGAGATATCGTTTTTTAATAGCAATTAGATAATTTAATCATTCCTTTCACTTTCATCTCATCAATATCAATATGAATTAATTTTACATCATTATTCGAATCAGCTCATGAAACAAAAATTGGATACGGATTGGCAATTTTGTTAATTAGTTTAAGATTATTTTTTAGATGTTTATTCATTAAATGGATGATAATATTATTATATTAAAATCTAATAAAATACTATTGGGGTCAAATATGGAAGTGATATTGATTAAGATTTAGGTTTAAGGAGAAAATCATTGATTGAATTTTGAATTGCACATTATAAATAGGTATAAAACTATTTTTTAAATTCTGTTCATATATCAGTTTTAAGATGTTTCTTTAACATAATACGCTATGAATTCAACTTAGATGATAAATAATGATTCTGGGTTATTCTTATCGATTAAATGAATCTATTTAAATTTAGAAAGTTAAATAAAAATATTTTTATCAAAAAATAAAAATGAAAAATTCCTATCCCCCTTCTGGTCTTAATTTATTCTTCAATAATGCTATATCGTGATAAAATTAATAACATGATTTTATTTAAATATTGAATAAATTCAATTTTAGTTACAAAAAATATATATTTTATGATCAAGTAAATAATTTATCTATGTTTTACTTATTTGATTCTCATTTTACTTTTCCAAAGATAAAACACTTAGAGAAGTCTTAATTGAAAGTATATATTTTTTTTCAATATCCTTTATATTAAGCTTAGAGTCAATTTAAAATCAATACCTAAAAAAATACGATAAGTGAATCGATTATTAAATAGATTTATTATATATTCATAGTAATTATGCATTAACAATCAACCTCTCCTTTTCCCAATAAAGGTGCTATGAGTAATAACTAAGGCTATATCTAAAAATTAATATAATTTTACATTATTAAGTAAGATATAAATTATTAAAGTAATCTTATAGTTTTTCTAGTCTTTATCTTAATATTTTATACGCTTTTTCATTGTAAATTCCGAAAATTAACATTTCGAATTGTGTTTCATTGCAAGCATCAGTGTTTATTTGGATGTAGATTTAATTTGATATATTGCACTCAAAAATTTCGATTAAAATAAGAAACAATGCCTCTTTGTACCCCAAGAAACTAATATCTAGAAGATTTTTTGACAAAATAATCTATTTTTACGAATACAACAATTTTAAATTAGAAAAGACTTTGCTTAAATTTACTTACTTGATTTACTTCTATTCTAACTTTTCTTATAAATAGTGATATATAATCAATTTAAATAATCCTTTTAAATTTGATGTTTTATGAATAAGGATTCTTTTAAATTATTGATATATACTTTTTAATAAGAGTCGATATTTAAATTGGAATTGCTATTCTATCATTAAATTTTGTTGTTCTCCTATGATTCTGTTACATTTGCATTGGTCAATTTTTATCAAAATTATAGGATTGGTTCCTGAGAATATTGAATATGTTATTTCTTATGCTTTCTAATTCAATTCAATGATAAGGGATTGGTTAATGATATTATCATCCTACTTGTCGAATTTATCTATTTATTTAAATAGAAAATTTTCTAAATTGATTTTCCTATGAAAGGTTAATTTCGATTTCCTCAAGAAATTCTTCAATTCCTCATTAGTGTCACAGTTGACAATGAAAGAAAAGGATCCCTTTACAATAAAAGTGTGCCTTAATTGATCAAAATTAAAGATTACGCAAGGCTCTGTTACCATGCTTAATAGAATCTTGTCCCATTATTCGTTTAAGAGTGTAAGTTAAAATTTAGATCTTTCTGCAGCAACATTTTAATATAATGAAAATAGAAGTAGGAAGCTAATCAAAAATGCCGATAAAACAAATGCTTAGGAAAAGTTAGGCTGGTAAATTATAAAATAAGCTAAGTAAATTGAAAAAATTGATAAGACCTAAACCAATGCATCTATAAATTCTCCAGAAGCAATGATTACAAATTAAAATGCCACTATCAAGGCAGCTGCTAATTAATAATGAAATTAATTTTTGCTATCATCAACTCTCAAATAAGGGATCATTATTACATAAGTAACAAGTATTAAAGCATAGCGACAGTAATGAGGCTTCATTATTAGTATTGCAATTAGACATAAATCACTAATAAAATAGCCTATTGTTCCATAAATTTCATCAAGGCTTTAGGTAATTATAGAAAAAGTCCCTTTGACTAAAACAACAAGAAATGTTAAATATATTATTTTTTTAACTAAAGGCTTTCTTTTTTCCCTTAATTAAATCTCCTAATACTTTTCCTCTAATTTTTAATCCTTAAATTGCAAGGTGTATCTGTTTATCATAAATTTGTGAAAATATATTATTATTTAATTTCATCGATTAAGAAAACACCATAATAAGATAATGAATTAATTAACAATTAATGATATAAGGTCACGTATAACTAATTTAAGAAGTTGATGACATTTTTGAGAGAATAGAAAAATTGGAAAAAATAGAAAAGTAATTAATTTTGTAAATTTAATATTCTTTAGCTGTTGCTCAGAAATTGTTTTTGTTTTGTATAAACTAGAAACGATATCAAATTAAACTTATGGGTAATAATTAAATTAAAACATCAAAAATATGTTACACGAAAACAACCTAAGAGTCATATTTCATATTCAATTACCAATAATGTTTAGATCTTATTATAATTTTTTTAATTAAGCTAACTTACAATTAATAAAATGTTACTCCTTTAAAATTATACTTTCTGAATGTGTAAACAGTCTGAATTGCGTTTTTTCAACTAATTTTCAATGAAAAATGCGTTTGATATAAAGTAATAATTGATTTTCAAATAAATCAATCCTATTTGTCTTAAATAACTAATACTAGGAATATATAGTTAAACTAAAACTTTTTAAAATAAAAAAAGAAATTTAACATGCATTAAAAACAAATTTATTATATATTTATTATTTATATAATTATAAAATAATTCAAATTTCAAAGTGATGCAGCCAGCGAAATAATAATAATAGTAGTTATCAGTTTAAGCATAAAAGGAGAGGGGTAATAAATGAAATGATAGTTAGATCGATTAAAAGCTTAGCGAGAAGGGCAATTGAATAAAAAAGAACAAGCTCTAAACAAATTAAGTGATGAGGAAGTGATAGTCTAATTAAAGGCAAAGGGATTAGGAGTTTATGGAACAAAATAAGAGAAATTAGATAGATTGAAGAAGGCTAATGGTATAATTGTAATGAATATAAAGGGATTGAAATTAGTAATAAGCAAGAACAAGTTCCTTAATAATAATAATAACAATAACAATAGTAACAAGCACAATAAATAGCTGCATAATAATAAGCACAACAACAGAAAGGATCAGTTGTTGATAATATCAAAAAGATGGAATAACAAAGAGAAGAACGTCGTAAAAATATGTAAGAAATGAAAAGAGAGAAAGCAGAGAGAGAAGAATAGAATTAAATATTGGGTAAAAATGTTGATGTAGAATTTGAAATCATGATTGATAAAACAAGACTCAAAGGAGGACTAATACAAGAACATTAGACTACATAAAATATCAAATTATGTGTGTGTGTTAGAAAGAGACCAATCTTTAAAAAGGAAGAAGTCGGTGGGGAAATCGATGCTATCAGTTGTGCAAATCCTATGATTAGAGTGCATGAACCTAAATTAAAAGTAGATGGTATTACCAAATATGTTGAAAATCATGATTTCCAATTTGATAATACTTTCAGTGAGGTAGAATAAGGCAAGGACATTTACGATGTTAGTCTGGCTCCATTGATGGACTTATTGGTAAATTAAGGAGTTGTAACATGTTTTGCTTATGGACAAACAGGTTCTGGTAAGACATACACAATGAAAAGCATTTAGGAGTTATTGGCCTCTGATTTGTATAAGTTAATCAGTACAACTCCTTCGTATAAGATATTTGTATCATTCTTTGAGATTTATGGTGGAAAATGCTATGATTTATTGAATGCCAAGGCACCTTTGCAAATAATGGAAGACAAAAATAATAACATATAGATACAAGGATTAGTTGAAAAGCCTAGTGAATCAGAACAGGAGTTATTCTAATTAATGGAATTGGCTAACTCAGTTAGGACAACTCATGCAACTGTTGCAAATGATACATCTTCGAGGTCTCATTCTATCTGTTAAATTGCAATCAGATAAGGGTATTCAGATATTGGTAAATTAATCTTGGTTGATTTGGCCGGATCAGAGAGAGCATAAGATACTTAATCAAACAATAGGTAGAGGAGGTTAGAAGGAGCAGAAATCAATAAAAGTTTATTGGCTTTGAAAGAATGCATTAGGGCTATGGATTCAGGATAAGGACACGTTCCTTTCAGAGCATCTAAACTTACATTGGTTTTGAGAGACTCATTTACTGCTAAATCGAATAAGTCTAGAATTATAATGATTGCTTGCATCAGTCCTGGTAGTTCATCTGCTGATCATTCACTAAATACTTTGAGATACGCGGATAGATTGAAGGATAAATCAAATTAAGCTAAAGTTTAATTGGAAGAAAGGGAAGTCACAAATGAAGAATTATTGTATAGATAATAGTAAGGATAGGATAGGTAATCTGATAAGAATCTAGAAAATAATAATAAACAATAAGATAAGTAGAACCCTCCTTTACAATTACCAAAGATAAATGATCCAAGAAATCAGAATAATTAGAATGCTGGTAATATCAAAAAGAACTCATCTTAAGTTCCTGAAAAGGAAAAACCTAAATCTTAGCCTGTACCTCCAAAACAATAGAAAAAGATCAATACTGTGTAAGAGGATTCCGATGATGATGTGGCAGCTGAAGAATTAGTTAATAAAAAGAATGGGTAAGTTAAAGAAGATGTCAGATGCATGAAGGAAACTATGATGAAAAATGAATAAAACAATGCTAATGGAAATGGAAATGAATTCTTTGATTTTCATGAAAAAGTCAATACAATTCTGGAAGAATAAGATGAAATACTAAACATTCATATGGCTGCCATAAAAGTATTATATTGCATTTAATCTTATAGGAAGATGCTAAATTATTACAATAAGAAAGTGAGTTAATTCAGTCAATTTAGGGAGTTGGAATTGTAGATTATGATGTCGATACTTACGTTGGCAATTTAGAAGCCTTCATTAGAAAGAAACTTAAAATTTATAATTTGTTGAATAAAAAACTCTTAGTGTTTAAGTAATTTAATCAATTATATGTAATAGGACACATTTGAAAGAGGAAGAAGAAATCAGTTCTAAGATGAAGAATACCTTCTATTATTGAAAATATATCAATTAATTATATTCTAAGTTATCTTTAGATATATATACCCCCTATCAATCGGCTATATATTAAATCCCTTAGCCGTTATTTTGCAGCTCGCAGATCTTGAATATCATGTTGAATATGATAGAAGATAGAAATATAATAATTAATTAATTTATATATATAATAAAGATGGATGAACCATAAGTAGTAAAAATTATTGTAGTCGGCGAATCATATGCTGGAAAGACATCATTGTTATAGTAATATTGTTATAACGAGTTTGATCATAATCACAGTGCAACAATTGGTTGTGATTTCACTTTAAAGTGGATTACAAAAAATGGGACAAAACTGAAGTTATAGATTTGGGATGTGGCTGGTATCTATTAATTAAATTGAAAGGATAGGAGAGATTTTAAAATTTGTCTAAAATGTTTATACGATAAGCAAAGGGTTGCTTAATTATGTGTGACATTACTAATAAGAAATCCTTGGAAGCCGCTTTGTCTTGGCGTAATGTTGTTAAGGATATTGCAGATGAAGTTCCTATATTTTTAATTCAAAATAAAACTGACTTATTGTAAGGAGAAAGAGAGGAATACTAAACTGAAGAATATTTAACTCAATTTGCACAACAACACAATTTTACTCGTAGTTACTAGATAAGTGTGAAACTAAATGAGAAGGTAGATTTGATATTTTACGAGCTTGTGGAGGCTATGATTGAGAAAGGGGTCATAAAATTAGAAGACAGTGTGATCAAAAGGTATTAATTAATTAACTTTAAAGTTCCTTTGTAATTAAAAACGATAATAATGATCGAAATAAAGCAAAGAAAAAAGAATGTTGTTGAATAAATATACATCATCTATATTACTAAATTGTATAAATACTTATTAACCTAAACAGATGTAATCGATATCATCAATCATTCATAAACATCACAATATGCTTGTCTTGTTAAGATGTTCGATCTGCTAATTATTCTATTTTGAGAACAAACTATAAATGGAGCAGCTCTATCCTCAATCTTTGTAATTTCTCCATTTGTAATGATAACAATTCCTGGATCAAGAGTACCGATAATTAAGGATAATTGATCCTAATTCTCTATAATTGCAAGTTAGACAACAGCACTTTCCATTTGATATTCATAGAGCTTTGTAAATTCTGGGAATGAAGATAAAATAGCTTTGCCACTTGAATCTCCTGTTAGAATTTTATTTCCAAGAATAAAGTGATGCATTATTTATCCCTTATGCCCAATATCCACAATATTCTCATTGTATGATATTTGATTTCCCATAATATATAATGTATCATCATGAGATCTTAATTAAGTAACCCAAGGTTATTAGTTTTGAGTACATTTTAATTCAGCAGTGTCTAAATCGTATATTAATAATTTATCAGATGTTGTACCCACATATAGTTGATTCTTATGAACGCATATAGAAAGAGGAATCTCAGGTAATTAAGTTACTTTAGGTTCTTCATCTCCTTTATATATTTTTAAAGTTCCATTTACTGAAGCAATGATGTGATAGTCATCATGAATCAGAGCATCTGCAATTGCATATTCATTTCCTTCTTTCTTGTATAATAATTTCAAAGATTCCAAGTCCCACACTGATAAATCGTGATCATTGCCAACACTAACAAAGGCATTTAATTTTGGATGTTTATCGAACTTGAAGAGAGTACCATGCAATGAAATATCAATTAATTCAGAATGAACTCTTTTTCCTTTAAACATCAAATTATATAAATAACAAAACTTTTATAAAATATATTCTTAATCAAAAAGAACGTATTGAATTTCTAGAAATACATTTTTTATTGGGTAGCAATACTTGAAACCTGAAAATTTCTGCTGCTTGAGATGACTGTAAAATAAGTGTAATCATCCTAGTTAGTTAAGTGGTGAATGGATTGCATTACTTACATAAGTGTATGATCATTTGCAAAGATATCAAATTGCATAGGATGAAAGTAAGATTATCTTAGAAGGAAAAATTTAAAATAATGATCTAGGCGTTTGTAAACATAAATAATAAAAGCTCGGAATTCTAGATTGCTCAATAATAATTATAATGTCAGGAATCTCAATAATATATACTTAAACTAAATTAATAATGGATATTTGAATGGGAATAGCGCTAGTTCTTTAGATACTATAATTCAATCAAATTCAATAAGCGTATGGTATTTTGTGATTGATCGCTATATTAGAATTAAAAAGGAATAAGTTTATTATATTGTAAAATGAAGAAATTAGAGATATTATATGATAGTGAAAATAAAATGAGTAAATAAATTTATTATAAAATGGAGTTTTGTTAGAATTTAATAAATTAAGAACAAAAAATAAACTCAGCCTTTGAAATTAGTTCAAAACATATTTATTTTATTTACAAAATTTACCAAATAACTACAAATAATTACAAACTATTTTTAATATTATTTTGACCATGAAGAACAACATTGAAATTAGAAACAATTTTCAGGGATCATGCAAATTCTCATCACTAAGGTTCCTATATATTAATTAAGAGTTTAACTTGAAATTGGGTTAATTTACAGAATTTTAATAAATAAGATACGAATCTCTTAATTCTATTAAAAAAGTATTGAAAATGAATTGATAGAATTGAAAATATTCATTTCTAATATCATTTTTTGATTAATGGAAACTGTTTAAATAATAGAGCCTGTTTAAATAATAGAGCCAGGTTATGCTGTCACGCATAAAGCTGTTAGTCAGTACAGTGAAAGCTACAAATTGGGATACATTAATTATGGATGCCAAGGCATTAAAGAAGAGACTTGTGCTGTGAAAACCTATAAGTTAGAGAGCATGGTAATGTATAATTTCTAAAGTAGGAAGACTTTATTAACGCTTAAAGAGAGAAAGAAGTGCTGATGAGTCTGAACCATGAGAATATTGCCAAAACATACAAAATTATTGAGAAGGACAATAAGATGTACATTTTTAGGGAATATGACGCGCAAATCACTTTGAAAACTATATTCGACAGATTATAAGCCACTTAATAAGTAATTGATAAAAGTAAGAAGTTCAATTATCATAATAGAAAATATATTGAGTTTAGGAGCTTAAATGATCGATTGTCTCAATTACATGGAATCATTGTAGCTTACAAATAGAGATTTGAATCCGAGCAATATTTTCCTTAGTTAGGAGATGAATTTTAAACTTTTTGATTTCGGATAATCCAGAATCATAGAAGAAGATGCAATCGGACAATCTATGGTTGTTGGAGTTAATGAAGTATAGAATCTAAAAATATCTATAGTAATTTATGAGTCCTTAAATGTTGGAATTAGAAAAAGAGGGTGGTGTGACTATAGAAATTAATTATTACAAAAGCGACATATGGAGTTTGGGCATGATTTTATATTATTTCGGAGAAAATTAATATCCATGGAGAAGAGATTTGAAAAAGAGTTAAGTAGAGTTGGAATTAGAAATTCAAAAGATGAAGGATCCTAATTATAAACTGTAATTCAGTAGAATTAAATGTCCTGATTTAAAACGTTTGATTTCAAGAATGTTGATTTATGATTAGAACAGGAGAGCATCTGCTATGCAATTACTAGAAGAGCCTTTCATAAAACCATTTGTGAAATAGCCATCTCCATAGGTATTCTCAAATTTACCATATAATTTAGATAAGTAAATTACAATTTTTATGCGAATTGACTTAAAAATTTAATGAAATGAATAAAGCATAAGACGTTGATGAAATGTATTAAGACTTAATTTTCAATCATTTAATAAGATATTTTAGTAAAAACAGGAAGTTAATCAATAGGAGATCTAAATTTTATAAGAGTTACAAATAATTACTAGACTATCAGATGTTCAATAAAAAAGAGTTGTGGTTGACTTTTCGAATCAAATCTAAAACCAAAAGTTATCTTTTGAATTACATAAATGAATATAAAAGAAAATCTACGTTAGATGATCGTTAACGATAAGAATTATTGTTATTGTTGTAGGCTATGGATACTGAGAAGTAATTCCCAAATAATCTTTAATAATTAATTGAAGAAGTGGAGAATAATTATTTAGAAAATTGAAACCTATAAATTTAACATTTATAAAACAATTACGTTAGTTTATATTAATTTCTTAACTTATAATACTGCATCTCCAATTGAGCAAAGCATTTAAAAAGATATATAGTTCTAAGGTAGCCATTCTCCATGCAGTCTATAATTAAATAACTAATAAACATTAATTTAAAATCAAAACAATATAAATCATCATAGAAAATCTATTCATCAGATTTCGTTGTTGAGTTGTTAAGATATTTTGGATTGTTATTTTTATTTTTGAGTTTTAATCCTCTAAATCACACCCATAATGCTTCCTATTTTTAATTGATGAACTTTTAAGGGTTCATCAGGAATAATTAGTTTTTCCTTTCTCAACATCATTTCTAATTTTGTTGTTATGAGATTAGAACTTTTCTTTTTGACAAATTTGATTGCTGGCGTTGAGATCTTCCTATTGCTTTCAATAGATTATTATGACACACTTCTTAATTTCGCAATTCTATTCATAAACTCATCAATAGCTTATTTGCTACAATTGCTATCCTTCAGTCTTTAACGAATTCCTGTAATAATTGTTTGATTTTTGTCAGGTATATTCTTACGTAATGATTCGTTTAATTGTTCCATAGTACTCGCTTCAATTGAAGCCTGTTGTTTTGAATACAAATCTGCAGCACTTTGATTGTTGGAGATGATTAACTCTATCCATAATGCACAACTTTACTCTTGTGTATGATTCTGTCTGGACTTTGAGAAATGAAAGTGTTTTGATCTTTAGGTGGCGATTGTTGCTATACTAGTGTTCTCTCCGTTATTGATTTAATCTAATAATGATTCAATTTTATTATTCTTGATTTCTTCTCATCTTTCTCCTGAGTTTTCTCTCTGTATGATATTATACGAGGTTAACTGTTGCTTGTTATTTTCTTTTACATTCGTTAATCCAACAATGCAATAATCTCATCTATATTCTCTGGCTCTGCGCAATCAATTGATTTATCTTTTAAATTCATTTTTGCTATTTCTTACTGCAATTTTTTTATGTTCATTACAATCGAATGTAAATATGAAAAATAATCTTACTAGCATCTATTCGTAGTCATATACTCCAAGTAACTAATCTTCTCAAATGCCCTTTAACTTAAACCCAACCTATTCAAAGCAGTCTACGTTGCTTAAGAATCAAAATCAATTTTTTATTCTAAAATTTGTTTCATTTCATGAATTGGCATTTTATTCATATTTTAATATTATTATTGTTATTATGCATAAATCTATAATGTGTTTACATCATAAAATAACCCATAATTTAGACTTGTAATCAAAGAATAGAATGCTTAACTAGAATATCTAGAAGTAAATACTTCTTTAATTTAACGATTCACTAATTCCCACCTTAATTTCTAAATATTGATTTTAAATTCTTAAAAATTAACATTGTATATTAAGATATAAGATATTCATTATATGATCAAGATATATTGCTATATTTAATACAATTTCTTTATTCACGAATAAAATATGTGAGATGTATGAGTATTATCATAAAAAAGACAATACTCAGACAAAACTAATATTTAAATAGTTATACAACTACTAAATTTGATTATCATATATGATATTTAAATATTTAAATAAACAGCTATTCTAATTGAAAAATCTCATTCTATATAATTCAAGAACATTAAATAATTAATTCTTATTATAATTTAAGTATAACAAATATTTTAATTATATAAAATAATTAATAGATTAATATCTTCAATTCATTGTATACTCCTATCTCTCATGAGATGGTACCAATTATAATTTTGGTTTGATGTTCATTGCCAAAAGTTCTTAAAATAACAATTTACAACAATATGGCAATCTAATTTAATAAACTTTATCTGTGTTACAACCTCTACAAACAGAATCACTCTTAAACATCCCACATATTTCACACACATACACATTAAATGGATCACTTGAAATCAATAATCTCTCTATTAATAAATTAGAAGCTCCATAAGCCAAAAAGCAATCTCTCTCCATCTCTCCAATACGTTGACCACCATCTTTGGCTCTTCCTTCGACAGGCTAACGTGTAAGTTTCTCCATAGGACCTTTGGCTCTGGCATGAATCTTGTCGATGACCATATGCTTCAGTCTTTGATAGAAAATAGGTCCTTGATAGACATAGCACTCCATGTATTCCCCAGTGATCCCAGAAATCAGACAGTCTTTTCCTTAATAATGAAATCCCCTTTTCAGTAATTCTTCCCCCACCTATAGGACATTCTCTCCCCCGAAGGCAGTTCCATATTTGAATTTGCCTTCCAAAGCTCCCAATTTACCACACAATAGTTCCATTAATTTAGCAATTGTCATTCTTGATGGATAACCATGAGGATTCATGATGAGATCAGGACACCATCCTCTTTCATTGAAGGGCATGTCTTCCTAATTAACAATGAGACCAACGACACCCTTTTGACCATGACGACTTGAGAACTTATCTCCAAACTCAGGTCTTCTGATTTACCTGAAGATTGTCTTGATAGTTTTGATTTTCTCAGTTCCATCATTGGTATTATTAATAATCAAGACTCTATCTACAGTATATGGCCATTTTTCTTTGAATACAGAGGGAGTGTCTGCAATTTATATATTTTCAGTTTACGGATTATCTGGAACTTGAGGTGTCTTTTTATTCACATAAATATCTCCATGATGCAATTGGGCTCCCACCTTAGTAATGCCATCATTGTCTAAAGCATGGTATTTCTTGATAAACTTCTTTTTGGTATTATGGGTTTTGGTTGGTGGTTCATCAATTCTCTCATTGAATCTGCTTTCCTTATTCCTTTGATTGATTTCACATTCAGTCACTGATTTTTTATAGACTGCAGTTCTGCCGAATCCTCTATCCAGTGAAGACTTATTCATAATCAAAGCATCTTCGATATCATAACATGAATAACTCATCACTGCTACTTAAGCATTGTGTCCAGCTGGCAATCTGTGTTAGTTGACAGCTTCCATGGACACCGTACGAACTAAAGGAGTCTGTGGGTATATTAATTGATACAATTAAGTATCACATCTGATTTATGTATTCATTCCAATAATACCTAGAGATTGTTTACCCATCTGACATTAAAAAGTATTACGAGCACTCTGATTGTGATGTGGAAATGGTACTAAACCAGTCACACAACTAAGGATGGTCATTTAATCTATTTCCAAATGAGTAGTCTCCATGGTCACATCATTGATAGTCAATGCAATAAATGCATTATCAGATTCATTAACATCCAGATATTCGATCTTCCCATTTTTCACAAAACTAGAAAACACTGTTTTGGCATCATTCTACTTGAAATCAATCATGTCAATTTAAATTAATTGAGGTTTGCCATCTTTGACAAGAATCAATGGTCTGACTAATCTACCACTATCACCAGAGATGTTTACTACTTTCCTTAAATCATCCTTGTGAATTGAAACAAATTCATTAATCTTTCCTCTCCTTCTTAAGATTCTTAATTGATCAACAAATTCCTGTGGTCTAGCATGCATTCCCACTATAATACCATTTAAGTACACTATGTAATTCTTATGAAATTCACTTGGTTTAAAATGACATATATCTTCTACACCCATAGACAATATAATCTTATAAACACTATCTTAGATATCCTCCTAGGTGATGTGTGTCAATAAAGCCAACGTCTTAACTAGACCACAATCCTCACCATCAGGAGTATCTGCAGGACAAATCATACCAAATTGAGATCCCACCAAGGCTCTTGGCCCACTTACTTTAAGTGTCTTTTACACCTGACTTCTCATTTTGGTAAGCATACCTAAAGCAGATGTATATGATATTCTGGCTAATAATTATGTAACTCCTTGTCTATCCATGTGAAATCTTTGTATTGTCCATTTTCCAGTTTTGATAGCTCTATTCAATCCCTTTGTGATATCAACTCCAAATTCCTTCATTTTCATAGTGACATCTTTAGGAGTGAATTTGCAATTGGCTTTGCCTAATTCCTTTTTGAGAATGCTTGATATAGTTGAGTTTAATCCTTTGAATAAATCTTCGAACAACAATTCAAGAAGATTGCCTGCACATCTCATTCTTTTATTTCCATAGTAATCTTTATCATCAACAAATCGCTTGTCTTCCATTGCCAATATCAATCTTCTGACCATTTATCCTAGATATATTGCCTTGGGATAGAAATCATATTTTTTGCAATTGACATGAGCCAGAAAGACTTGGGCTAGTTTCTCTCTGGCTTGATCTGCTAGATTGGATGATTGACCACCGAATTTACTGGTAATTAACTTTCCAATATATTATAATGCATCCAATTGTGTTTTTATTTTTTCATCAGAGGAATCCTAAAAACTCATTAACAATTTCTCCACGATGCTTGGTTCAGTTCCAATCAATTCAATGATCTCTTTATCATTAACGATGCCTAAAGCCTTGAAAACGATAAAGAGAGGAGCATCTTTGAAACTTGAAGATTTCACATAAAATTTATTCTTTTTTAAAATAATCGATGCTTTGGATTTAGTTTCCAATTGATAAGATTGAACTGTCGACACATACTAATCTGTCTTATTGTCGACATCAACTATGATTCTATTATCTACGACTTGTTCTAGTATGAGAATGACCTTCTCATTGCCTTCAATGATAAAATATCCTAAAAGTCTATAGAATGACATCCTTACCTTTTGGATCGTATGGACATTCTCCATATTAGAAAATCTCAGCCTCGGTCTTGCCTGATAAATTGCACTTCTTTGATCCCAACATTATTGGCATGCGTCCAATTAAAACATCTTTCTCTTCGATTGGCTCTCTGCCCTTCATATGAATACGCACATTCACACTATTTAGATTGTAACATTGCTTACTAGATATCTCCTGCGTAAGTCTAATCGTTCAATCTACATTCGTGAGGATACAGGAGACTTTTCAAGGAGTACTTATCCCAACTGCTGGTGAATGTTGGATTTTCGACTCTGATTGATAAGTACCTATGGGATCATAATGGGAAGTATGTTACTCCAAAAGGAAGGATGAATCACTCTCACAAGTAATCCTCTGATTCAAGGGTGACTTCACTATCTATTCTAGACGCTATTCAATGAAGTAATTGAAAGAATCAATGTGTTGTTTCTGTAATCCACGAAAAGACAAATACGAAGTGATTAGTTTATCCTTCTCTGAAATCATTAATTTTATTAATTATGGGTGACAATAATCCCAACAATTCAGATGGAATGCAATTATTGAAGACTCTCCTCACTGCAGATGTACCCTAGGAAGGCTCTGTTATGCAAGCTATTCGAAATGTATTATGGTTTCTAATCAAAGAAAGTCAATTCATTGCTCAATAACAAATAATAGATATCCATCTTATAAGAATTACAATAGGCGTATGAATCATAATCTAATATCATCTTAGAAATCTTGATAACGAATTCAAGGAGATGAATGACAATACACTCATGGGACTAAATGCCATCTATTTTTCATCTGTCGTCCTCACATAATTTATGTTCACCAGAAAGGTCAGCAAAGTCGTTTTCCTTCTCAGTTGTGCTTACTTCAATTTCTACATCATCCAACCCATCGAGATCGAATACAAACTACGCAAATTGGCATTGCAAAATACTCTTGCAGGACAGGAAGTCAGAAATCTGTACAGATTCTACTTTAAGGATCATGAATTTACTAGGGAGATGACAGAAAAGTGCAAATTGTATGCATAGGCTGATGAAATTAAAAAATAAATTTATTCCAGAAAATTGTGATGTTGACTATTCTCGTGTCTTTATATTTTGACTTCATTTATAAAGATGGTAGAATTAGCCAATTTATTTACGACCACTCAAAAGGCGTTCCATATCGATATTTCAATATGAAATTCCTCGAATCGATCTACATTCATTCATTTTTGTTCTATATTTATATATTTTATAATGTGACATCATTCTATTATGGTTTATAATTATAATGTCTAACAAAGTCTTACTTGCGGATTACAATAATCATGGTAATCAGCAATTCGAGTATCCTGAACAAGACATCTATTACACAGGTACATAAGAGTGTCCATTATTTGAGGTCGTAAATTGAATCAAGATTTGAAACATGGACCCTTAGAACAAAGAGGCTGCCAAGACATCCTGTGTGTGATACTCTATTTGTCAGTTTGGGCCTTAATGATATTTTGCGCAATCAATTCGTGGGAAGCAGGAGATGCCTCCAAAATATATTTGCCATACGACAGTGTAAACTAAAGCCATAATAATAGTAATAAAGACAATGCGGAAGAGGCGATCTCAAAAGTTACTCCAACATCTACATCATAAGCTAGACGGAATCATATTGCGTCTCGGAATGTCCTGGAGAAAGTGGAGTTGGCAAAGAACTTCCATGCTATCAATGTTCTGCCCAAACAGCTCCCTATGCTAGTGCCTAATTGCTTACTCTGTGCTTCCCCACTCTCAAGGTCGACGAGAAATATAAAGAGTTGATAACCAATATTGTCGATATAAGCGGATTCCAAAGACATTATGCAGACATCGAAGAAACATGGCCAATCATTTTGGCTTGTGCTGGAATTGCATTTTTTATGGCTATCATACTAACGTTTTTGATTAGATTGGCAGCAGGATGTATAGTGTGGGGAATGATCTTGATTTATTTATTGATCTTGGGATCTATCGGAACAGTAGCATTCTTACAATCCAAAGGACATTATTAAGAGTATAGAGTTCTGGATGATGCTCAATAATTGGAAATCATCGCCTATGTATTTTGGAGTATCGGACTCTTGTCACTCTTGATAATTTTGTGTTTGGCCAAAAAGATTTCATAGGCTATTCAAGTTTTGAAAACAGCTGCTGATTTCACAAGAGAAGAGTGGCAGGCTCTATTTGTTCCTGTCGTTATTCTCATCTTAGTGTTGGCATTCTTCGCCTATTGGATAATCTTCTCAGCCATCATATATTCAACCTCAAGTGATATAAGCAAGAGTTAATACAGTCCTTATGTGGAATTACAATGGGATGCAAAGACAGGTTGGCAATTGTGTCTTTACTTTTTCGCCTTGATCTGGAATGTTTGTTTCTCATTGGCTCTTTGTCAATTTGTGATAAGCAGTTGCTGTTGCTTCTGGTATTACAGTCATCAAGGTTATCCATTGAGTAGCAGTATCCTAAAGAGTTTTTGTCGTGGATTCACTACTAATTTCGGTAGTCTCTTGTTTGGTTCCTTGATTTTGGCTATCGTTTGGACAATTAAGTTTGTGTTGGAGTTTTTGCATGTAATTTCAAGATTTAAATCAATAGAAACAATTAAAATAATCAGTGCAAGGTGACAATAATGCCATTGGATATGCTTTAAGATGTGCCAAATACTATGTCTCATGTTTCGAGAAGTTCATAAGATTTTTGAATCAAAATGCTTATACTATGATGGCTTTAACAGGGTAGAGTTTTTGCAATTCTGCTTACGATGCCTTCTATCTGATCCTGAGAAATGCTACTCGTGTAGCCATCACTCATGGATGTATGAATCAATTTCATTCTAATTCTAGTGGGTGAACTTTTTGAATTTTTGGGTGCTGTATTTATTTCAGCCTCCTCCTCCTTCATTTGCTACCTAATCATCACCAAGGCTGAAGCCTACAAAAATAATATCTTCAATCCAGTTGCTCCCACTTTGGTATGTATTATTGTTCATTACTTTTAGGCTTTCATCTTGGTCTCATATATGATTGGCAAGATGTTCATGAATTTATATGGAATGGGAGTTGACACTTTGTTGTTGTGTTTCATTGTAGATACTGAGATGAACAAAAACGAAGGAGGTGCTAAGTCAGTCCCACATTCCCTTAAATAATATGCTTCAGAATTAAATTGAATTTTATAAGCCATAATTATATACACCCTCAGATTTCCTTGAAACTCACAGGATCAACAGAGAATTCGATTTCAAAGGCCGTAGGCTTAAATCTCTCATTATAAATCAATTGGAATCTTGGCTGTCTGATTGGGAACATCTTGTAAGCATAAAGTGAATGCACATTGTAGCCCTTCTCCTTCGTCTCCTATGTAATCACTCTCAATGTGTTCAGATAATGTTTATAGCAATTGTTTGCGCATTTGTTCTACAACATCGAACCATCAAAACATGTTTCAAAGCACAACGCCACTAAATCCAGCATTATTCAAAAATACCCTACTTTCTGGATGTCATCAATTAATTCTTTCCTTTCCTCATTATTCATTTTTATAAGAGTTTTAAAATAAATATAATAACAAAAATTAATCACTCCTTCTCTTTCTATTCAAGTTTCTCACTCAATTCCAGTATCACATTGTCTCTCATTTCAATTTCATCTTACAAATTACTGAATTATGCTTCGATTGCTGCTATTCGTTCCCTCAACTTAAAATACTCTTTCAAATATTATTACTATATCATTCTCTTCAAAACAATGCTTCAATATGATTTTATGCAATTTCAGTTATTGAATAAGTGTCTATTTGTCCACGTTCTCCAATTACAACTCATCCAATGAATTTTTCACATTGTTAATTTCTGTGTTTGTAGGTACAAATTGTTTTTCAGCATTTGCACTCTTCTCCACTTTCTCCCCAAGTGTTGCTGATAGTCTATCCCCCTTGTTCACTTAAGTTACATTAGAAAAAGGTATTCTCGCAGTAGCCATTTTAATTTATATTATTAATAATTGTTAATTTTAAACCCGCGTTTTCCATTCATTAATGTCCCGCTAATTCATTTCCTTAATATTTGTAATAACATTCCGACACCCTTCAATTCCAAATTGTCATAATATTAGAATAAATAATAAATATCATTATTGAGGCAGTGAGTCTATCTCTTCCTAGAGGATGTTTTGCACACATTTTGGATATTCGTAATTTTTATATCCCCGAAATAGTGGAGTATATTCTTTCTAATTGAAATCATATCATTAAACATATATACTAAATATGCCAAGATGTTTTTAGCCATCTGATCCTTCTTTATTGTGAACGAGGGAATTATCAAATCTGGCATTGTAGGCACATTTTCCCTATTATACACTCTCAACTTATGCTCTTCGGGATCCATCCTTCCATTCCCCTTTGATATCTTATTTTTCGATGTGATGTTCAAAATGGGAGGCTTCTTCTTAAATTTCTCATTATATATCATGTTATATTACTGCAAACAACACTGGGTTTTATCTTTTTTCATACATCCTTTGAAGTGTGTGATCGTAGATCTATTCTCTCTTTTTTACTGCCTCAGAATATGAAACCTTCTCGCTGATTGATATCGGTTACTGAGCTTCGACTCTTGGTTCCTCAGATAGCAAGTCTTATTCATCCTCTTCTTGCTCTTACTCTGGCTCTTATTAATCAATTATCTAGGGGTTTGTCATAAAATCTATGGCTCTTTTTTGATCCTCCTCTTACTCGTTTAATCTCTGCATCTCTTGTTGTTCTCGCTGCAATTTCTCTTGTCTCTCCCTCTCCATCAATCTGCGATAAGCCTTAATTTTCTTGTCTATCTATTTGATTGCTTCAGGTACGGGAATTGGTTTTGGAACATACTAAAAAGAGTTAAATTTTATATTAATTACTGGATGAGCATACTGGATAGATGGCTGAGGAAGTGTAATCATCTCCTAAGTTGCCTTTGGTTTTCGACTTTCTTGATAAACAAATTGGATTACAAAAACCGTTATGCATTTCTCATCTGAGCAGGCTACTCACTTTCTTCCTTGTCGTTCAGAAACCTTGTTTTCTAATTTTAAGATTTAGCCTTGCCTTCATTTTTCTGTTTTTTTGTAATGAACTTTTCTGACATTTATTAGTTATTTTTAATATATAAATTATGTAATTTTAATTTTCAATATTTTTAGAACAATGCCCAAAAATTTAGTATTCCAAAGCGATCCTATTGATGATATCATCTAATATTCACAGTTTTACATTCTCTATATGTTCCATGCTATCATTTTTATTTGTTTTTTAATTTAACTCTTGCTTTGAGTTATTTCTTAAATCTAATTTATCCAATTCAACTATATCAATTCCATCAAGCACTCTGAATTATAGTAATTGTGATATTAAATCACCAAGTATTTAAGAAATTTGAGAAAAAGTGACATTTTTTGAGTATTCTTATAATGGAATGTGTAAACAACATCTAATAACATTATGATTGATATGATTTCATAAGTCCAATATTCTTTCAAGAACAGACATAAATTATATTAATTGAGTAATTGATTAATTTATCATATAGAGTTATTATTTAATATAATTTCTTTGTTAAAATCGAAATCATTTATAATGGTACACATTTTTAAAGATTTTATAATATCTCTCTAAGAGTTATTTAGTGTGGAGACTCACTTTAGAAATAGTTGCTTGTACATAATATGTTGGAAATCTATAGATGAGGATATGGACTAAATTGTTTATTAAGATGTCTACAAATATAGATTGAATAGTAAAATACACATCTGCTCTATATAAATACTATATTATTGCATAATCAAAATCATAAACTCATAATAAAGAGCACCACCCTTGTTTTTAGTTCTATGGATCTTCTTCAACCTTTTTGAATTATTATTTTCTTGCGTTCTCCTTTTATTGAATAATATCATTTATAAGGCCAGTAAACATCTGATTGACATTGGACCCATTTTTGGCTGAAGTCTCATAAAAGAGTGCTTTGAATTAAGCAGCCAACTACTTGCCCTCATCATAACTAATGACTCTCTCAGAACCTAAATCAGTTTTATTTCCGACAATAACAATGGAAGGTACATATTCTTATTTCTCAAACAGCTATTAAAATAACAACAGAGTATTTTTGATATCTTCAAAACTTTCTAAAGAGTTCACTGCATAAGTGAATATCAATCCTTCTTTGTCTTTCATCCATTGAGTTCTTAAGGACGTGTATGCTTCTTAACCACAGGTGTCAGAAATCTTGGTTGATGGATATACAATTTTACCTCGATTTAGCATTGCTAATCACCCACAATCACTCTTTTTGTGTATTTATCCAAAAGAGTGAGACTATAATCTTCAAAAAATTCGTTATTAACCCATCGAGTCGTCAAATTAGATTTTCCAACAGAACCCATTCCCAACAATGAAATCCTGTATTAAACTAATTATTTTGATTCGCCATAAGAATTTTAAAAATTAGAATTATAATTATTGAACTCCTCTCCCTATATTAATAACACATTTTAGCTATACACTAGATATGAAATAACTTGCTCCCATTTATATGCTATCAATGTCCATTATCTCTTTTCCTGATTGATCAAATATCCTGGATGCTCTTAGATCTAATAATTATTATGTCCAAAACCTAAAACTGCTGAGCACATTTGCAAAAACTTCCTACGATCAGTTTCCTTTCTCAAATAATGCACCTTCATTGATTTACGTGCATCTGCATTATTGTATATCTGTATTGTAACATTATTGGTATTTATCATATAATTTATTATATTTTCTTTATAATTTTCATTATTCTAAAATACACAAAATGAGGAGTGAAACAACGCATTTTTCATATAATATCATTGAATCATAACATAAAATAAAACACTGGAACCTCATTCATAATCCCAAAGGAGCATCACAACTCCTTACCTAATTATTATCTTGATTCAACTCCTCAACTAACCATCCAATCTCAATGCATACTAAAATATGATAATTATATCCATATGACCATATAATGAATAAATAATATCTGAAGTCATCTTAAGTGATTTATGTATTTTCACCTACTTTTTTTGTATTCAAACATCTTACATCGTTTTAATAATCTTAATTCCCTTACTAAATAGAATGCATGTTTGTGGGGTATAGACATTCTTTTTTTTGAATTCTTTTATGCATTTTGAGAACATTACTATAAATACATTTCTAAGATTACAATTAGATTAACAAGATGCAGTCATTAAATGGTTTTAACAGATTGTTATTTAATCTCAAGGTCTTGATTCATTCTAAAATACATTGACTATTCTCGTAGCACTTCTAACCTATTTAATTATTGTTATTCTCCCTTTGTAATCGACAGGCGTTTTTAATTTCTTTTGATAATATATTAATTAAACTCATAAATTACAAAAAATATTTATAGATGTCACAAAACAAATGTATAAATAAACTAATTTAACATACAATTAACAAGATACTATATTATTAATCAATAATCGTTAGCAGTTTAACTACTAATTCTCAAAAAGAAGCTTGCTATCAATATTTTTTCCATCAAATTAAAAAGAAAACTAAACTACCATGAATTATAGTTTGTTTAATAATTAAAAATAAGTTGAATAAATAGTTTATGTTGTTATATCTTTGTAAATAGACTGGATTGAATATGAAAATCATTTTGTTATAAAAACAATACTTCAATATTTTAAATGATTTAAAGTTGTTAATATTATAATAATATTTCGATATTATATTTTAATTATTTCAATATTTAGTTTAATCCTGATAAAAAAAGTGCAAACTAGATTATTATTAAAAATTTGGATTGAAAAATCATTCAGGTTTTGATCATATTAATCATTTTACATGATTATAATACTAATGTTTATTTGTATTACACATTTATTAATTTTGAAATGATTTATTTTCAGTAATCATGTTTAGAAGAAAAAAAGTAGGATATGCCGAAGAATTAAGCATCCCTCCAAAGTCCTAAATAGTTGGAAGATACTCTAGAACGCATAAAGGAAGTATATAAATAGATTATAAAAAGTTTCGAGAAGAATTTATGGCTTCATTGCAAGAATACTTAACAATTAGACTGTCTAATGATGATTAAGACCCTTGTGAAGAGGTATATTGATCTATAAATATGAGTAGGTGATCTAAATCATTAAAAACCTATGTATCAAACTTGTAGATAAACCTCTCTGGAATTTCAAGGAATTAGCTGCTGAGCTCGAATTGCAGCTGGAGGGACACATAGGTATAGGTTGAGTTTAAACTATGTATTTTTTTTAGACGATTATACCGTGTTTAATTAAGTCAAATAATTGATTTCCAGTTTGAATGCCCAATACTCAAACAAGTTTAATTAAATAAGTTCTTGTTATTTAAAGAGTATATAAAGTGAAAAGGCCATCCCGAAGCAACAAATAAAGAGAATATGTCATTATGATGAAGGTAAATGTAAGCCTAATAATACAAGTTTAAGAGTTGATACCAAATACACGGGATAGAGTGGAGGAAATAAACCAACATCTTTTATCATTTATCCAGTATAAACTTATTATTTCATTTGATTAGTCATGACAGCCTACTACAGGTGGATCCGTGGTGTTGTCCATTCTAATCTTCATTTGGGGTAACTTTAACAGATCAAGATATTTCATATTAGGCTAAAAAGTTGAATGTTGACATAATTTTGATTGATACTTTTGGAATCAAGTAAAATATATCCCAAAAGCTGTTTCTTCTGTTCCCAAATTATGAGACAATTTTACCCCAGTTGTCATCATCGATCAATATCAACAAAGGGAATTTATAGCAAGTAATGTCGAATTTATTTTGGATAGGCTTTATCAAACATATACGATGTATCCAATATCCTTGTGGATTGGCCTAACATACTCACATTGAAGGGGAAAGGAGTGGTCTGTTGTAACTTCGATGGGTTTGTAACCAATGAATTTATCAACTTTTATTTTGGAGAAGTTTACACTCCTCAGAGATGGTTTGAGAAGTAGACAGTTTTCAATAAGAGAATGTAGGATGGAAATAGAAAATCGGGTTTCTAAAGTCCGTATGCAGAATTCCACATCAATGATGAACTCTTAGTAAGAAAGTTAAATATAAAAAAAGTTTATTGATCCAACTAGGTATGGAAATATCGCATTACACATTTCATATTCTTGTGATCCAAATTGTAAATTTGTAACTGTTTAAATCAACTCTTCCTATTAACTTGCTATTTTTACATTGAAAAAAATTAATTATCTAGAGGAGTTGACTCTCCCCTTCCCATCCACATCAAATGACTTGTGTCTGTGTGGGTCCATCTACTGCAAAAGACTCTCACAATTAGAAGCATTCAATAATCGACTAACTCAAAATTACCCTAATTATATTCAAAGAAATGCCTTACTATTATAATCAACTATTTTTGGAAAAATCAATAATTAAACCACAATTCCTGATTGGTTGAGTAACTGGGAGAAACTGAACTCAGCCTAAGATCAAATCAACATCCTGACATGTGTGGATAAAGTTAAATTTGTACTTAATACGTTGAATGTCACTACTCCACCATTATATCTGGTTTTTGATACCTTTGATGTATTTTGGAAGAATTATGACAATAACAAACCTAAGAATGAACTGAAATAATCCATTTTCAATGAAGTCAAAACAATGTTGATGAGACATTCAGATAGGAAAGAATGTCAAGAAGGATTGGAAATCTTACAATTAATGAAATCCATAATAGAAAGTAAAGATCAATATAAAATGTAATTGACAAGACTCCTATTGCTTGTATTAAGCGAATTATTGTTGAAGATGGAGTCAGCTCCCTTTCATAACGAAGGTTTATCTACAATATTATATTTTATGTCATTCACTCATACATACTTCTCATCAACTTAATATGAGGGATTCAATGGCAAACCTTTTGAAGAAAATGAGTTTGAATACATCCCATAACCAAAAAATAAGTAGAAATTAGCCTTGTCTAAAATGTACACTCCCTAATACATATGGGGTCAATTAATCAATTGGAATAAGCAAACTCTCCAAAATCCTTAATCTTCTATGGCTCAAGAAAGAAGAGGAGTCCTGTGTTACCCTTCTTTAATACTGTCTTTTGACAATAAACATAAATTATTTCCTTATTAATGCAAAACAAGGGAAAAATTTCTAGAGTACTTCTACACTAAAAGTGATATCCAACCTGATCTATCTATTTGGTCATACAAAAATTAATATAAGTATATATTTTAAATATGAAATTTTAGTGTCTATGGAACAATATTTTTCGAACAATGTTTTTCATAATAAATAGTGGGAGAACAATTCATTACTGAGATTTCAAAGTGTGGTCTAGGATCCTTCTTAAACAAGTTTAAATTTTGGTTATAAATTGAAAGTAGATTCAAACAGGATAATCAAATGATAGAATACTTAAATTTCATATATGAAAAGTAATTGCATGTTTAGTAATATTAGATATTTTGTAAATATCAACAATTAATTACGTAAATTCAATTCAAATTCTGAATGCACAGAATAAGTAGCCAAAAAGATAAAATAAAATAATCACTCAACCATCATTGATGAAACATAATAAGGATAATTTTGATTTTCTTTTTCGTTAAATGTTTTTTCAACAAAATATTAGTTAATTTGGGAATTTTTTACGAATTTATAAATTTTATATTAAAATTATTTTTCACTTATATTATTTTAATATAACTCATAAACCTACTGCCTTAGTACTTAAATCCCATAATTATGTTTCTAATCCACATTCCCTCACTAATTTAGTTGATTTAGATAATTGGTTTTTTTAATAATATCCTTATGGCACTAATTCTTCATATGGTTATAACATTGTATACTCAGTCGTTCTTGAACCTTGCTCTTCATTTAATGAGAACTAAGACATCAAATATATAACCACTGTAGCAATGGCACTTAATATTCGATTTGATCCATTTTTAGAACCAAAGATCTCTGTTCTTACAAATCCAGGATGTAGTGATACAGCCTTTATTCTTCTATTTTCCTTGTCAAATTTCTATTATAAGGCTTAGGTGAACAAAATGTTAGCAAACTTTGTTGTGGCATAAGTACTCATTCCCATACCTATTTCTCCTTTGATTGCCTTCTGAAAGTCAGGAGCTGACCTCACGAATTCATGAGCCCCACTTGCCACATTAATTATTCTAGACTTGTCACTCATAACATCCAAAAGAAGATTTGTCAAAAGAAAATGGCCCAAGTGATTTGTGGCAAATGTGAGCTCATGGTTCAAATTGTTTTTTTATTCGTTGATAATAAATATACCAGCATTATTGATTAGGTAATCACATTAGTTGAATCTTTATTTAAATTCTTTAACGAATTATCTTACCGAATCATAATTTGGTAAATCCAAATTTATATAATGTAAATTTTTATTCTTACTTATCTTTGATATTTCATCGATAATTATTTGAGTTTTTTCCTTACTTCTACATGCAAATATCACTGTTGCACCTCTTTAAGCCAACTTCTTGGCTGTCTCCTTACCAACACCGGCAGAAGACCCTGTCACAATAGCGATCTTGCCAGTTAAATCCACGTTATAAGTTCTCTTCGGTCCTGCCTTATTCAATGAATAAATAAATCCACCCAAAATAATGGCTATTAGGATTATCACTATAATAAAAAATATCATAATTAAAATATTAAATCATATATTGAATTTAAGAAACCTTTTATAGTAGAAACAGCGTATTAAAGTAGGTATTATTATTGGAATCTAATTGATATTTGATCTTATTGCGTATTTGATCTTTGACAATTATAAAGTTTAGTATTATTTGAGAAAATAAACTTTATTCTTATTTCCTAAAAAAAGTGTTATCAAAGTTTGTAAATAAAAATTCTAAATCCTTTGCATATTCCAAAGCCCCTTCAATTTTTTGAGATTTCTTAGTGGATGGAAAGAGAGAGATGATATTTTGTTTAATAATATTATTGAAAATATGATATTTTATATAAGAAGTGGAAAATAATTAAAATAATAAAGTCTTCATCCTTTCCTAATGTTATTGCATTTAAGTAGGATTTCTTCCCAAGCGTCACTTGACTTCTTCGGTCGTCTTCTGAAATTGCTCTCTATCATTCTTTTTAGCTCTTTAGATTTATTGCTTGATGGAGTCTGAGAACTATAATCTGGATATTCTATCTAGATCTTGTAGAGAGATGGTTTAGGTTATCGGGTCTATAATTGATTCTTGGTTTGATTTTCTTTGTCGTCGTCTTCTAATTACCATCGAGAGACAGTGAGTTCTTTTTCTTGGAAGAATTCGCTTTCCGTTGATTAATTTATCATTATTTAATTTATAGAGAATCGATAATCAAAATTAGTTATATAATTGTGTTCTTTCATACTTATAAAAGTTGTGGGAGTCCTTCAAATCCTCCCTTTCCATTCTCTCTTTGGATTCGCATATCTTATACTTTTACCTGCAGAAATTGTGATTCTTCTTGAACTCTTTGAACTTGGATTAATCAAAATTGCATCTATTCAAATTACAGTAATATTTCAATTGCTTGCTAACCAAATACATTTGTAAATAAATCTCCTGGATCTGATTGACATCATGAGTGCTCGTTAATTTAGACAACAAATCAAGAGTCTGATTCTGATATGCAATGAGGTCTTTGATGATTAGATCAAAACAATAACGAAGTTTCTAATTTCTCTATCCTTCAATGATCCTTAATCCCAAGCATTAGATATTTTAGATGACGAAACAATCTATTATGGGGATTTCACAAAGCTGTTGCATGCACACTCTCTTCAAATAGATGTAATAGACTTGCAGAATCTGTTGGTAAGTTAGAGGATCCCTCAATTCTTGAAATTGGACTTTCTTGTCTGTTACACTCTTTCTGCATTCCGGTTCCTCCCTGAAATAATTTTACTCCAAAGTCTATTTGGGTGTGCTATTCCAACTGGGTGCCACATTCATACTTCTGGAAATTGTCAAGTTTAATTCAGTAGGTAATCTCTCTAAAGCAAAACTAGTATCGAGAGTTTTTGTTATCATGCCTATATTGCAATCCGCAAATATTTCCTTCGGAAGTGAACATTATTGAATCATCCAATGGAAGACACTTAAGAGTCGAATTATTTATTCAGGTTGCAATGCAGAATCAAATGGTTTTGATAGTTCTTAGAATACTTTCTACAAGCCTATCTAAATGCTATAGAAACTATACCGATACTGAGGATCTACTCCCCAGAACTCCCTATCTCCTCATTTTTCTGATTCATTATACGAATTAGAATGGTTTTAATCATTTTAATAAATAATAAATTTCAGGAAATGAATCTCCCGGTAATGGGATCCCTACAACCTAATCTATACTAAGGAATCTCAGAAGTATTGAACGACTAATGCTTCATCTCCGAAGTCGGGTTCCAATAGTCAAAAGCAGAAGCCTTTTTTATTCGCTCTTAATTTGCCTATCGATCATAACATCTCAAGCACATACTTCATGATTAGTAATGATATCATATTTCTCTGGTTTCGGATGATAAACCAATTATTTTTACGGCGGTTTGGGCTCTTGAGCAATCAATTAAGCAGTTTTATAACTCGGATGGTCATCCCCCCATCACTATTTAAGTGGCCATCAATGTGAGTTTATCTCTAATAGGCTTGGCTCTTGGAGGATTCTGATAGTCCTTATAGTTCTTGTATTCAGTATTGAAGTGAGTGTCCTTTGTGTAAGGCACATTAATATGATCAATGTGAATAGTAGGTGGATGCATATTCGCACACTAAGGTTGTATTAGCACATCTGTACATTCTCCCTTTTCACTATTTCTTTGTTTGGTTTGTAATCCACTTCGTAAACTGTTTCATTCGATTATTGCCAGGGTTTCCATCCTATGTTGTAGTGATGTTCTCTCTATTCCATGCCTATTGGTGGAGCATACATGCCCACTCCAACATCCAGATTCTCAGAAATACCTTTGAATACTCCTTTGTACCCTTAAGTCTAAGGGCCTGGATCACGGTGAATTTCTCCAATGCTCATATATATTTATCATAAAATTTGATTAAATTTTCTAATTCCCAATCTAATGAATGAGAAATGGGATTAAAAATAAGCAATAATTTTGTAAGAGCTTTCAATATAAATAAACATTAATTATTAACTTCTTATTTGATTCTAAAAATAAACATTTAAAACATCAATTAGTTATAAAATTAGTCTACTGTTGTTGTCCTAATTCCATTCTTACCTTACACATTATTGAATCAATTATATCTTAATTGTTTTCATCTTCCTTTGAGAAATACTTAATCTTCTCCTAGTGTTGAACATCCTTAAGTTTTTCTAATTGTTTCTTCTCCTTCAACTTTTACAGTTACTTTTCCTGTTTTTCTTTATCATAAAGTAAATCACGAAAACTCTTAATATTATCTCATGACTTACAATAATTGAATAGCTTTAAAATGGAGAGAAGGCTTGAACAACTTTCGGATTCACCTTGAATGGGACTCTTCGAAACTGCGATCCTCTTATTTGTCCCTTAGGCAATGATAGAATATCCTTGACATTTGGTTCAATAATCATTCTTGCGTGGATCCTTTTGGTAGAACTTATATTTGGGTTTGTAACTATGTGCAATGAAGGAAGAGAAGGTTATGATTTTTAGTGCATTCCGAAAAATAGATATAAAAATTAATTAAATAAATCACTTAACCTTATAAGAGTCCTTGTCTTTTTTCTTCTTTTCTTCATCCTTATCTTCTAAAGGAATGACGCATTTTATTAAACGGTTGGATCCATTAGAATTGTCTGTCAAATATAAATTTGTTGGTTTAATGAGAGAAAAACACATTCCAGTAATTTCTGGACTTCCTGGAATTAAAATATTCTCCAAAAGTTAACCTTAAGGATTTAACACGGATATCAAACCCATTTCATTTTCGTTACCTACTGAGAATTCGAAACGAGCAACATACAGAAAATCCGATTGGGAGATCACAAGTGCAGTAGGTCCAAATCTACCTGAGAATTGATGATAAACACTTAATGATATCAATTATCATACCTAAAAGCATAAATTCCAGCATTTGTGAGTACAAACCTAATAATACGATTCTCACAAGTTTCGCTTACAAATAGACTCTTCTCATCATGACTTAAAGCCAATCCACTTGGATGAGCTAGACATCTATATGCTAGAGCAGTTGGCTTAATTTCCTAGCCATCCAGATCAACCATAAATACAGAACCGATTGGATTTTCAACGTTTGTTTCCCCAAAAGGACCTGAATCTGTAAAAAAGACGGCGTCTAATATTATTATCATGATTTAGATTACTTAAGTTGTTATAAGAGATGACGATTTAATTAGGACCCAAGAAGGGCATTCCTTCATACTCAGTAACAAAATCCTTTGCTCCTTCTTAATTCTGATTGTTTGATTATTATTAGAGCTAATTTAATTGTCGATATGTAATAGCCTAATGTGCCATATCAGCTATGTAGATCAAAATGTGATCTCTTTCTATTGCTATTGATGATGGTTGTCCTCCCATTCTAGTATCAATGGTGAGTTCATTGTTCATTACTAAAATGTCTCCATTCTCCGATACCATATAGATGCATCCATTGACTTCATGTGGTGAAGAAAGGGGATTTGAAAAGGAACAAATTTTTTCTACAGTTACTTACATGTTGCTATAATAATAATTAAATATATATTTATAGGATAAGTGAGGTTAAATTCAATTAATAATCTCATTTAAATTATTTTATGGATATTAAACACTTGTTATTTGATGTAAGGTGTTTGGTCTATCGTTGGATAATTATTTTGACCTGTTCTCCAATAAATTCAAGTCCTCTGGGTTCAGTTACTACTCTACTTCTGATTTGTAATCAACCACTTGCCAATCAAAATCAGGTTCTCCTCTGAAAACTTCTACTATCAAATAAACCAAATAGAGGAGAAATAACAAAATGAGCAACACTATTACAGCAATCAAAGATGACATTTCCTACTATTTTTATGTGTAGTTATAAAACCAATATGACAATCCACCCAAACCACCAAGAGTAATTATTAATTTAGATGTAAACAATATGATATTGAAAAGATTGATCTTTAAAATATAAAATATGATTACAAATGTTTTTGATTTATAGATCTCCAATTGTTAAACCTTATACTATATTCCACATTACGTGCATGTGAAATTCTCTTGACTAAATTAACCTGGAGTGTTAAGTAATTTCTATTTAAAACAAGAGGCATGATAGTTAATCTATTAGGGTAAGAAAGTAATATCATACATCACACAAACATGGTTAGATAAGGTTCAAGTTATCTAGATTTTCACAACAATAACATGAAATTATCATATTGTCATCTCTGATTCTTGTTTGTTGATTGATGGAGGTTTTTCTGAGAGTTCTTGTGAAGTTTTATTTAGTTGGAGTTAAATTGTTTATTGAATTACTCATGCAATTAGAAATCATGATTTATTGATTGTTTTCAGATTCTAGGTTTCTAGATGAATCATTCTTAAAATGTTGTATTTAATTTGAGAAGTTGCTTTTTGGTGTGAAGATTTTGATTTGAGAGTCAGATCTCATGTTGGAAATCATTTTTTATATTATTGCCTTTGATGTCTTAAAATTGCCATTTTTCACTTAAAAATTGTAAAAATTATTTTAAATAATCTATACGTTGAAAATAAATCAAATAACACATTATTGATATGTAATTCTGAGAATGTTTTGATTGTTTAATTGTTTATGTATGGAATCAAGTGGAACTACAACTCTAAAGGATGAATGGTTTTGTGGGATGGAGGAAATGGAATTTGGACTACCCATTAATTAGATAGAATTTTGGGGCTTGCGGGAAGATCTGTTAATGGTTTTGGATATTCTTTTTGGATTAAACTACTAATGACATAATGAGACAATATAAATAAACAATTAGAATAAATAATTTTTCCATATGTTCTAGAATATTCAATATATATATATTTAAGAAAAGTTAAAATCAAAATTAATAATATTTATTTTTTCACACGTCACAAATTATGAAACCAATTATCCTCGTCGTACTTCTACTTGGAGCATGGGCATAGGAAAAGACAAACAAAGTTGAATGCCCTGTCATTGGTATTGATTTAGGAACAACATATTCATGTGTTGGAATTTATAAAAATGGAAACGTCGAAATCATTCCAAACGAATAAGGAAACAGAATTACACCCTCAGTCGTAGCATTCACAGATGAAGAACGTCTCATTGGAGAAGCTGCCAAAAACTAAGCAGCAATCAACCCTACTAGAACACTCTACGATGTCAAGAGATTGATTGGAAGAAAGTAAGAATCTTAATCTTATAGTATTTTAGATTCACAGATTCAACAGTCCAATATGATAGAAAGTTTATGCCATATGATATCGTTGATAAGGACACCAAACCATACATTAAAGTCACCAATATCAAGGGTCATCAATCTAAGATCTTTGCCCCCGAAGAAATTTCAGCTATGGTTTTGACCAAAATGAAAGAAATCTCAGAAACCTATTTGGGAAAGAAAGTTATTAATGCAGTTGTCACAGTGCCAGCCTATTTCAATGATGCTTAAAGACAAGCTACAAAAGATGCAGGAACCATCTCAGGTTTGAATGTTGTGAGAATTCTCAATGAACCAACAGCAGCAGCTATTGCCTATGGTCTTGATAAGAAGGATGGAGAAAAGAACATCTTAGTCTTTGATTTAGGAGGTGGTACTTTTGATGTTTCCATCTTGACTATTGATAATGGTGTCTTTGAAGTCGTTGCCACTTTCAGGAGATACTCACTTGGGAGGTGAAGATTTTGATTAAAGAATCATTGATCATTTCATCAAGGTCATCAAGAAGAAGCACAATAAAGATATCAGTGCTGACAAGAGAGCCATCCAAAAATTAAAGAGAGAAGTCGAAAAATCAAAGAGAGCTCTCTCAGCAACCCATGAAACTAAGATCGAAATTGAAGATTTAGTCGATGGTTTGGACTTCAATGAAGTACTCACCAGAGCTAAGTTTGAAGAATTGAACAATGATCTCTTCAAGAAGACCACTGGTCCCATGTAAACTGCTTTGGAAGACTCTAAATTCAAAAAGACTGAAATCCACGAAATCGTTTTGGTTGGAGGATCAAGCAGAATTCCAAAGGTTAGATAAATTGTTAAGGATTTCTTCAATGGAAAGGAAGCTAACACTGGTATCAATCCAGATGAAGCTGTTTGCTATGGTGCTGCCATCCAAGGAGGTATTATCTGCGGTGAAGAATCAAATGAAACCAAAGGATTGATCGTTATCGATGCTACTCCTTTGAGTTTGGGTATTGAAACAGTTGGTGGAGTCATGACTAAAATCATTCCAAAGGGATCTTACATTCCAACCAAAAAGTCTCAAGTCTTCACTACTTATCAAGATCAATAATAAACAGTTACCATCTCAGTTTTTGAAGGAGAAAGACCACTTGTTAAAGACAATCACAAGTTAGGAACTTTCGATTTGACAGGTATCCCACCAGCTCCAAGAGGAACTCCTTAAATTGAAGTCACTTTCGAAATTGATGCCAATGGTATCCTCCAAGTTGGTGCTCAAGATAAGGGAACAGGAGTCAAGAATCAAATTGTTATCACCAACGATTCAGGAAGATTATCAAAGGAAGAAATCGACAAGATGTTGAGAGAAGCTGAAGAGTTTGCTGATTAAGATAAAGCTGCTAAGGAAAGAATTGACGCCAAGAACTCTTTGGAAAGTTACATCTACTCAATGAAGAACCAAATTGAAGTATTATTCTATATTTATCATTTTAGGATCCAGAGAAGTTGGCTAACAAATTGTCTGACGATGACAAGGATACTATTAAGGATGCATTGAAGGACAGCTAAGATTGGTTAGATAAAAATCAAAATGCAGAGAAGGAAGACTATGAAGAGGAACTCAAAGAATTAGAAAAGTACATTATTTAATATATTCTTTAGGATCTGCAATCCAATCATTAGTAGAGTTTACTAATAATCTGGAAAACAATAATAAGCATCAGATGACGACTACGATTCCGATTTATGATTTATGTATATTTCTGTGTGTTTTGATTAATTATTCAATTAAACTTTAGAAGTCTTTAAATTTTTTATTAGCTTTAACTCATCTTGTATTATTATTTAATATTAATTATTTAATATTAATAAAAAACTCACATGTAATAAGGAAACCTCATGTGAGCATAGTTCGGTGAATAAAAGTTTGGTTTATATTAATTGTATTACTAAACATACTAATATGGTTGATATATAGTAAGTGGCTACTAGGCTAAAGAATTATAATGATGTAGTTAAAATGGCGAATTTTAATAGACATTGTTATATTAAGGAAAATTTTGGCTTTACAATGTTGATGGAGCTAAAATTATTAGGTTGTTTACATTAAAACTATACTATCGTCGGAGTCTCGTGTGCTTTTTCAAATGGTTAAGTTTGTTCTTAAATTCTTAAATTATTATTGACCTCTATTTTGATTTCTTCTCTATTTGTTGTTCCAAGTTTTAATTATTCTTGTTTGGCCATTAATTTAAGTAGGAAATCATCAATCAAATTTTATATTGGTTAATTTGGATTCTATATTATGTGTAATAGCAACTCCTTCTCCTCTTCATTCGATATCTATAATGAATGAGCAAAACTTACCTTCTCTTTTTTTAAGCTTCTCGTAATCCCATTGTATTAGTTCTTAATTTAGTTTTCGCTTCTACCTTTGATGTGATGTTGAATCAAGGACCATCGTTTTCCATATTTATAGACTAATTGTATTAAATTCAATTTCTCTTTTGAATCCCACAAACATTTTTGGATGGTTGGATTCAAGACGTTCTTCCATCTCTCTCTTATCTGTTTAGGATATCTTTGAGTCCTAGAAAGTGAGTTAAATTTGATTGTCAACTCTGTCCAATTGTTTTTATCATAAAATTATCTTCAACATAAGTACAATATGATTACTCGGCTATATCTTTCAGAATCTGGTCTTCCTCTCTAGTCCATTGGTGAATCCTGAGATTAGAATGCAGCAACGAAATCCATTTAAGTTTTATTAATTATGAATCAACTTATAACACTTTTGAAATCATATCCCAATCTTCGTCATCCTAAAGATAAACTGCTTATTTACAGGAACCAGGTTCACCCTTTGTTTCACTTAGAGCAATTTTGCTACACACCAAATCAATAGATATTTGTCCATTTAATGCCATTTTTTTCTGTCTTTTTAGCTGGTAACACTATATTTCGATGAATTAAACATATACTTTGAAAATACATTTTCGTAATAATCAATTAAGGAATCATCTGTTGGAAACTTGGTTAATTTGATTTTCACATTTTGGCCAATCTTCCCGTAATCTAACGGATTGGCATTCCTTGTATACTCAATGAATTTCTGCCATTCAGAGGATGCTCCTTCTCTCAATTACATAATAAAATTTAAATATTATAGAAAAGATTCAATACTTATTTTCTAATTAAAAATGAATAGTTTCAAGAAGATTTCTAATTTGTTCTAAATAATTACATTTATTTGAATTACATGATTTTAAGCTTTACATCTCAATTATATTATCAGGTTTTCGATTGATGTTGTATGTAAGCTTGAATTAGTAGTTTATCACATAAAATAGTAATTTTCCCTGAAAAAGACTTCTAAAATTGTTAGCAATCCCCAACCTTAATTCTTAGGATCCCATCAATTTTTAAATGATAATAAGGTTGTCATCTACTCTTAATTCACATTTTCATATTTCTTTCTGGAAAATACACAATTGTTCTATTTTTATGTTTTGCAAGCATTCAATCTCTTACGTCGAATAACATAAAATAATCAATATAATATAATTGTAAGATAACTTTAAACAATGAATTTTAATATTCTTTAATATGAACATTTTCCCAATACACTCCTAACTTTCGATAAGCATTAAGACTCGAACTACAAATAACAATAAATAACGATCTTCATCATTAAACAATCAAAATCGTTCCTAACAATATATGTTGAAAAACTAGCCATATATATAGAGATATAAACTCAGAATATTATTTAATCACAACAGATAGTAAAATTTATCCATCAGGCTGTAAATTTCGAAAAAATTAGACTCCTCTATGATATTTTATAATATTTGAGAATGGGCCTTGATATCCTAAAATCAAACGAAATTAAATCATCTTTTAAAAATTCCTCATAATCATAAGTTTAAATCAGACAAAAATTTTAGAAAAAAAATAATTATAATATTATCTATATAAATATATTATAATAATAAGGTTAATATTTATTTTCTAATTTCTACAACTAAGTCCCAAATATATGTCAATTTAAATTCATTTACTCAAGGATATGAAATCAAAATAGCAATAGGTTCAATCCTTATATTTATTCTTACTGAAGTTTATCTTTTTTCACTTTTAAGCATGAACAAAAAATAAAGGTTAATCAAAACTTTTGGAAAATATTTAGATTAAGTTCCTTAAGAAAATTCTTTTATTTATGTTGATTATATGATCATAAGTTTAAATTTCCCATTTATTCCAATTTTGATAGTATATATCTTAATTTTAACTTTGCTAATTTTTTTGATTTCCTTTTTGTATTTTTTCAAAATTGTAAACAAAAAGTCTCAAAGCTGAGTATATTTGTAGATTAAAAACTCCAAATTTATAAAAGAATAAATTATTCAACATTTGACTTTCTAGGAAATCCATACATTTGTGTTGTTGTTATTATGAATGTTTATTAGTTTATTCGAAAGAATTAATAGTCAATGAGTGATTATTAGATTAATTAATTAATAATTTAAAATCAAATAATGATAAAATTCTGCCACAGATAATTAGTTTGATCAAAGAACTAAATTAATTATTTAAAATCTGTTTAGAATTTATTGAAGCCTGTGAATTATATATATGATTTGTTTTCTATCGAATATTAATTAAATTTATTAAAGGCGCCAATATTATGAGCGAATAATAGAGAGGATTGGAAGAGTTAGCAAGGCAAAAGAGATAGGCTCAATTATCAAAGAATCCTCCCGTGAAAAGAGAGAAAATAGAAGGAGATCTCGATGATTTTATAGTGAAAGACATTTAGGAGGATGAATACTATGCAAATGATGATTCCTAGGAAGAGATTAAAAAAATACCAGATAATTAACAAATGATCACTCAATATATGGGGTAGAATAGAAAGAAAAAATAAACTGGTATTAAGCTAAGCGATGATGCGGATGAGATAGAGTAGGTAATTCAATAGGTAAAAGTTGAAAAAGTAAGTTTAAATTAAGTTGTGACTAACAGTGATGAACTATATAAAGCGCAATTCAACTAACCTCTTAAGCCAAAATAAAAATAAGATTTACAAGAGGAAGATCTTGATGAAATTTTGAGTCTTTTGTAGAATCAAAAAGCAAAAGAAGAACAACAAAAATAGCAACAGCAATAGCAGTAGGTTAAAGCAATACAATCAAAATAATTGCCTGTTCATAGGTAAGTGGAAGTGAAAGTAGAACTCCCATAAATGAAGATTGATTATTCGACAATCAACATAAATTAAATTATTTCGAGAGATAGAGATGTCATGGATATTGTTGAAAAAAATGGTTCAATTCTATTTTATTGGATCGATATTTATGAAGACCAAATCAGATTTCCAGGAAGTTTATTTGTATTTGGTAAAGTAAAGAACCACAAACTGAATGTCTATGATTCATGTTCATTATATTTTGAAGATTATCGTAAAACAGCATATTTATCATATGAAAATGGGAGATATACAGAGTAGCAACTAATTTAAGAATGTTAGGCTTTAATGAAAAAGGTCTTAGGATTAGGATCAAAAGATTTTACTTATTAATTTGTTGATAGATAGTATGCATTTGAAATTGCTGATATTCCAACAAGCTAGCAATAATACTTAGAAGTGTCTTATACCCTAAAGCATGGATAACAACTGCCAGTTAGAATAGATAACCCTATTTTTAAATATGCATTGCAATCCACTTAGACATTGGTTGAATAATTTTTGATATATAATAAAATTCGAGGTCCATGTTGGCTCCAATTAAAATCATGTTAGACTATTGATACAAAAGAGTTTCATCTAAGAACATAGCATGCTCTTTAATTGCCTCAAACTGGATTTTAAGTATATGAAGGAGAATTGCCTCTTCCGAATTTGAAATTGCTAAGCTTTACATTAACTCAATGTAAGGTCGATAAAGATGAATAAATTATTGCAATTTCTTACACAGTATAGAATAACATAGATTTGAATGATGCTGAAGTGCCTGAGTAGGTAGTTTATTCAACCCTTGCTCGAATGCCCTCTGATGCTCCTCTACCTCCTGGCTATATAAAGGGATAAAACAAATAAGTGAAAGACTTTGAATCAGAATATTCAATGTTGTCTTCGTTTTTATAGGATGTAGAAGCCATAGATCCTGATGGATTAATTGGTCACGAAATCTAGAAGAAGAGTATTGAACAACTCGTTGCTCGTATTGCTAAGTTAAAGGTGAATGAATGGAACAGGATGAGTAGATTACAAAAGAGAGAATAAATACCTAAAAATATTTTTCTGAGGAGCAAATACCTTACAATTGGTAGGTTGGTCATAGATTTATGGATCCAAGCTAAAGACATGATAAAAAGTAATGATTACAGTATAACATACTTGGCCAAGGAATTCTTGAAATAGGATTGTTAGTAATTGGAGTCTGATGTAACAAAGAATTATACTGAGAATGCTCAAAGTTATTAAACTCTATTGTAATTGAGTTTAAAGGAGACCAAGTTTGTAATCTAGATAACTCAAAAACTGAATATCATATCATTGACTCGCCAGTTGACAAATATTTGTGGGAATGTTTGGAACAGATCCTTGCTCAATTAACGGGCTGAAAGGAATGAAATGTTGTTAATGCATGAATTCTTTTTGCGAGGATTTCTGTTACCAGATAAAATGAGTAAGATCAATTTATCAGATGAGGAAAAAGATCAATAGATAAAAGAGTAGGAGTCTAAGAAAACCTATGGTGGTGGTTTAGTATTTGAACCAAAAGCAGATATATATACATAATACGTTTTGCTTCTGGATTTCAATTCATTGTATCCATCCATCATTATGGAATACAATATTTGTTTCACTACTGTGTAAAGAGATAAAATTAATTTCGAAGTTGATAAAACTCAGTTGGAAGAAGAACCTACATAAACTAAGCCTTAGAAATCTAACAAGAACAAAAAGAAGAAAGATTAAACTCAAGATGAGAATGATACAAAAGAGAAAATTAAAGATTTTATTGGGTCAGTGGATCCAGATGCAGGAAGTGGAATATTACCTTAAATAATTGAGAAGTTGGTTAATATGAGAAAGTAAGCTAAGAAGGAGATGAGTAGATCTACTGGATTAATGAAATAAATTTATAATATCAAATAATTGGCAGTTAAGTTAGTTGCTAATTCTATTTATGGGTGTTTGGGATTCAGTAGTTCTAGGTTTTATGCTGTTGGAATAGCTTCATTAATCACTCAAAAGGGTAGATCAATACTTATGGATTCAAAAAATACTGTGGAGAGAAGTAATGATGTGATCTATGGTGATACCGATTCAATGATGATTTGTGCTAGATAGGAGAAGAACCTTTCAGAGATATTGGTGTTGGGTACCCAAATTGCTAAAGAAATCAATAAGAAATATAAAAAATTGGTTTTAGCTATTGATGGTGTCTTTGATACACTTTTATTAATGAAAAAGAAAAAGTACGCAGGAATTAAAATCGACAATCTAGAAGACTTAATGACAGGATAAACTGAATAACCAAAATTTAAGATGGAAGTCAAGGGTATTGATATTGTCAGAAGAGAATTTTGTGATATTTCTAAGAAAATGCAATCTCATGTCTTGGATATTCTCCTGAAAACCAAAAATCGAGATGACATCCATGGCGATTTGATCACTTTGATGCAGGAAATCAGATCAATGTTTGATGCTTTAAGTGGTAATTCAAATGCAGATCCAAAATAATTAATTGCATAAAATAGATTTATTACATATGAAATTCCAACTTCAGATTTTATTATTGTTAAATAATTAAATAAAGCTCCTCATGAATATTCTGACACTATTAGTGCTCCTCATGTTTAAGTGGCTTTAAGAATGGTAAATGAGTACGGGAGATCCGCTTAAAGTTTAGTCAATCATTTCATTCGATATGTGATCTGTGAAGACCCTACTTAGAAGAACCTATCGTTCAGAGCTTACACTGTTGATGAACTAATTAACAAGAATTTAACAATCGACTATTACTACTATCTCTCAACCTAGATATTTGATCCAATAGTTCGTCTTTGTAAAAACGTTCAAGTTATTTCCATTTCTGAGTTGGCTCAAATCTTAGGACTCAAAACATACCAATACAAAGAGTAAATTTATATTTCTAATCTTTAGCAAAGTGAATCATGAATTTATAGATTTCAAGTTAGAGGAGGAATAGAAACAAGAGTTGATTATCATTGATTCATTTAAATTCAAATGTCCAGTATGCAAAGAAGAGTAGAAATACTCTTAATTTTTTGACCAATAAAAACTATTTGTTAAGTAGTTGATTTGCCAATCTAAATAATGCTCTTATAGTGTTGAAAACTTAAAATCAATCTCCAATTAAACTAAACTCATGATCAAGAAGGATCTCTGCAATCCATATTACAAAGGATATATTTAATGCAATAAATCAAAAAACAAATTTACCAATTTCTGCAGAAAAGGAGTTTGTTTTGGCAGTTGTTGCGAAAAGGATAAGGAAAAAAAGGTTAACCATGTAATTGATGAGGAGACAATCAATACTTAAGTTAAATTCATTACATAGTTTTTAAATAAAGTATTATCCGAAATCAATAAATAAACAACCACTTTAAACCAAAATAAAGCAAGAGTATATTAAATACAAGAGGAATAATAATTCCATTAACCATTTTGCTATATTAGATTAAATGACATATTTAGAAAACTTTAAATTTGAGATTATATATTTATCATTAAACCTTTGTTAAACATATGCAATTATAATCTCTTCCTCTAAGTTCCTGGTTCTTAATATTCTCAGCTCTTAGCGATGCCGCTCTGCTAATCTTATCGACTCCTCCGAACAATCTTTATTAAGTATTCTGACTAGGATTGATAGTTTTCTTATGCATCCATTTAGAATCCATCTCGAAAGTTTGACAAGGGTATTATCCTAATTTTCTGGTATGATTGATTTGAGTCAGACTGTCATCATATTTCCTATTATCAAACTCAATGTTAGGATTGGCCCTTGAGTACTTTTCCAAGGCTGAAATCACATATATATTTGTACATTGTTATCTATTGATAGAATGAATAATTCGACTTTCTTGTTTTTACTTGAATTTCTAATGCTCTTCTTTGTACAATTCAGAATTTTCAATGGTTGGATTGTCAATTCCGATTATTCCTGATCTAATATTAAAAGTTGATCTACTTGTAAGCTTATCTGATCTTCCTATACGCTTTGTTGGCTTCGCTGAATTCTTCTCTCCATTAATGGTATCTTTACAATTAATTATAAAATTACTTCTTTTGCTATTCTTAGGTTTCTTTAAGCTCAGCCAAATATCCTGATGGTTTTTTGAGTGTTATTACTTGTGACAATGCGAGATTTTATTACTCATAATTTTTATCAGGTACTTCCAATCTTTTCGTGATAACTTCTTGTGAATGATTGACTGGATGATCAGAAACAATATGATTAATTTTGCTCATGTTCAAGTAATCAATATATTCTGGTATTATTCGAGGTTGTTGTCTACGAAAAAAGAAACTCTGATTCTAACCACTCCCAACCAATATTGCTTAGTTGTCGAGATCCTATGTTTATCTCATGCTTGAATATTTGCTATGTTTAAGGAAGGTGTCTAAGTGTTTGGCATCCCAACTGCTTCCAGTCAAAGAACTCTGATTCTCGTCAATCAAAGGCTAACTAATAAAACTCATGCAATAGATCACTTCGTTGATTTGGATAGACCTGACTGAACACTTGGCATCATTTTAACTGTTTTAGTTTGGGCTTCTTGCTCCATTCTATAAAATTCACGAAAATTGCTTCTTCCGACATCTTATATCTTCTCCTTCTATCTAAATAACATTTAATATCGTGATTTTATATTAAGCCTAACAAGTTACAATACTACTGTAATATATTTTAGTACACTCTCTCTTATATTCCTAATTAGCCAATCAAATTGCAGAATAGACACATTAAGTATTGAGTATTCAAGTTTATTTTCAAATTAATAAAAAATGGCACCATCAAAATCACCAAAGGCAGAAGCCGCAAAAAAGACAGTCAAGACAGTCAAGACCAAGAAGGGCTCAGATGACAAGAAGAAAGCAAGAAGACGATAAGAGACATTCGCTCTCTACATTTACAAAGTCTTGAGATAAGTCCACCCAGAAATTGGTGTTTCAAGAAAAGCTATGAACATTATGAACTCATTCATCAATGATATCTTCGATAGAATTGCCCTTGAAGCCAGCAAATTGGTTAGATTCAACAAGAGAAGAACCCTCAGCTCAAGGGAAATCCAAACCGCAGTCAAGTTGCTCCTCCCAGGAGAATTGGCCAGACATGCCATCTCTGAAGGAACAAAAGCCGTCACCAAATACACAAGTGGTTGACTTATAAAATTTAATTCATATCAAATTAAAAATGCCTCCATTTTCCCAATTTTCAGATTTTTAGAATCCATACCACTCCTCCTTCCAATTACTTTTTTCTCAAAATTCACACACTTTACAAGCTATATTTCCTCTTCGATATATAGCTTCTCTGTTTTTTAAGGCATACAAACAAAAAATAAATTTTAGAATTTTGTAGATAACAATCTGATGCCTATCTTGAAGATATTAATGAATTTATGCCAAAATAATAAAAGTAAAATATATAAGGAGATTTTTTTTCTTCAATTATTATTAAAAATTATGGAATTAAAATAAAAGATTGGAAGATTCGCTATTTTTATGTTCTTTGTTGGATTTGCAATTATTTAAGTACTAAATTTCACAAGAGCTATTGAAAAATCATTTGAGATAACTAGTAAGGTAATTTACTTCTTTTCAGGAGAAACAAAAAGTCTTGCTTTATTGGATGTATTTTTTTTAGTTCCTGGATTTTTGTATTGTTTTGCTCTATTAAATTTTGTTGTGGGCCTTGGATTGCTACTTAAATGGAAGTATGTAAAATTAATTGGTTCTCTCTATTTACTTTTATGTAAAATTTTTTTACTCAATCATATGTTTTCACAATCTTCTGAAGATTCATTTTTATTTTTAGGAATTCTAGGAACCATAATATTAGCATGATTTATTAAAAAATATATAATCAATTATATTTTAGTTGTTTTATAAATTTAATATATTAATGATCACATTTTATTTAATATATCTTATTTTGTTTCATCTAAAGTTGGATTGTAATCTAAAGAACTCTATTCTCTATTTATTTATACAACAATGAACTCATAATTGAATTATTCCTTATTAATATGGATTTCTTAAAAAAAATAATCATACTATTGTGTCAGTATGAATTTACATTTGTTTTGAATATTAGATGTTTCATGTAATGTGAATCATTAAAGTAAGTAATTTTCAATTCAACAAGATTTCTCTATTTTTTCCATTAATAGAACTATGGTCTATATAGTTATTACATATTTCGGTTGGGTGACTTGCAATTCAAGGATCTCTAAAAAAGAAAGGATAATACTTTGTATATTTTTAGAATTAAATTTCTCCTTGAATAATTAATAATAAATTATGAAATTAGTGAAACCGCCTCTCTAGGTTAAGGAAAAATAATGGGACAATCGTTTTTATTTGGGAAAGCTGAGTGATCACGAAATTAAGAAATAGTTTATGATTAAGAAGAAATCTGTAAGAAGACCAACATCAACGAATAAAATTGTAGTAGATGAAAAACCGCAAGCAATACGACTTTATGAATTATAATTATTGTGGGAATAATTCCGTATTCCTCAATTTCATAGGGCATACTTTCTTCAATATAATGAAAAAGATCTTGATGCTATTTTAAGGGAAACAGCTGAAATAAAGATAAAGTAATCCATAGTACAAAAGTTAATGAGTCTAATTAAAGGTAGGGAGAGATGCTTAAACTATTTAAAAACTGAAACATTTGAGGAACATAAATTCTCAGAGCTTTTATTTCATCTTCGAATTTTAACAGTCAATGTTATTGAGCAATTTAAAAAATGGAGAGATTCCCTCAATAGATGTGTTAGGTGGAGAATAGACGAAATCGATTATCTCGTTAAATTAAGAACAGACATTGATTTTCTAAAAGAATACTATTAAGATTACTAGAGAGACCCATTTATGTTGTGGTTGTATAAATTAGGTAAGTTTGACGCAGTGCATTCGAATTATCATTAACTATAGAAAGACATGATGAAAAGAATTCGTGATTGGTAATCATATAATATTATTATATTTTAGTGAAATTTTACTCATAGAGAATGATTACTTTGACATGTAAACCAACATTTTATCAAGAAAAGAAGCCTAACTGATAAATAAATATCTAAGAGAATCTACAATTCAAATGGAAGATTAACTAAAAAGTTAAGAGTTAAAACCTTTTAGTCCCAACATTAAATAGACTAAAACAGTTTAAATTTAGGATAATCTGACTATAGTTCCATAAATTGTTAGAAATAAAGATTAATTCATCAATCTATTGAATCAAGTTAAAAATGATAGCGATATTGAGAGTTCATTTCCGATGAGAGACAATTTGTTTGAAATAATTGATTTTCAGGATTGTCATATTTTAGCATTTATGTAGCATTAAAAAATTAAAGGCATTTGCATTAGTTAAAGCGATTAGTCTGAATAATATCGTAAAGTCATTATAGAATAAATTAAATTGGAAAGTTTGCAGCTGTTTCCTCAATTCATCTAATAATTAACCAATTATTTAATTGGAAATGAAATAACAATCAAATTGGTTCATTATATGTAGAATGAAAAACTAATTGACTGTGAGTATTTAAAAGTTGCATTAAAATAAGAAGGATTCAGATGGAAGTAGTAGACAAATGATTGTGAAAGAAATATCAGATATACAATTTACTATAAGAAGAAGGAATATCAAAACCAAATAATGAATCAGTTTAAATTTAATTTTCATGTTCATAGTACAAAATTAAATTAATTGATGCAATTGGTTTATAATAATATCCATGAAAGCACTGATATAGCTTAAAAATTTAAACGTTATGCTGATTCAAGGAAATTTGAACATAATCCCCCTCAAATAAAATTGAAACCACACGTCTGTGATGACAGAATAATTTTATTGGATCTAAAAATTAAATTACCAGCTTTTAAAACAGAAGTTAGAAATGAATATAAATATTACAGAATTGTATTAAAATTATTCATAATTAGATTTAAGAACCTGAAATAAGTAATATTTCTTTTATAGAAATAGATGGATAAATTATATATGCCTTATCCTTATTGGACAATGATTATAATATCCTTATTTCTAAAGATCAAATCAACCATGAAACAATTTAAATATCCTAATTTTAACCAACATAGGAAGATCTCTCAATTCCAATGTTTTGTTATAATGATGAAATAGCAGACATTTTTAATCATCACATCAAATTGCAATTTGAACACTTCATGGTAATCAATAGGAAGCCTAACACTCAACAGTAATCAATTGAAATTAAGCCTGAAACCTTTTATTTTTCCATACTATACGAAGGACATATAATAAACTCATTTAAGATTCAGCATCATCATCTGATAAAATTTAAGCCATTTAAGTCGTAACTCAAGATAAGTGAGGATGTCAATATTGATACATCTAAATTTATCTTACCTTGCTTCCCATTAATTTAGAAAACTCTTGAATCTGAGCCACTTAAAGTCATTATTAAGAATTATGAATGTATATGTGCATTAGACAATTATGCGAGTGCTAGAAAATGGGTGATTTATACAATTGTCGGATGCCAAGAGAGTCAATTCAAGGATGTGCTTGAATCCTTAATAACTTAATTGACCATAATTGACCCGAATATTTAAGAAGTTGGTATTGAGTAATTTATATGGATAATTTAGTTTTTATCATGAGATGGTGAATGGAGAATATACTGTTAATAAAAATGTTTAGAAGCAACTTACATCGCTTGGATTCAAGTGGAAAATATAGATAAATGAAGCCAATGAACACACAAGATTTACTAAATATTTATTAAAATTACAGAGAGAAACACAAGTTGTTGACAATCTAGTGGTTCAATATTTTTGTACCCAAGACTTCGCAGATGTCAACGTTTAGCCATTAATTCAATAGTTTTCAATATTTTATTAAACTTTGACTCAATCTCAATTAGTTGTAAAGAGGGTATCTCATTCAATTTATATTGATAGAACAATTTAATTCCTTTTTCAAAATATTATAATAAGGATATTCCTCCTGAATTATAGACTGATTAAATGTTAGAAACTAGAATTTCATAAATTTTATAAAATTGCAAGTACGGAACCAAGAATAACATTGATTACATCATTTTTAATGTAAGTGTAACTATTAATATGAAGAACTAAGTTATTACGAGTAATAAGCATCCTGAGTTGGGGACTATTTACTTTATTTAACTCTTTGACATCGTCCTATGTTTCTATCAATTGGAGAAAGAGATTAATACAGAACGCATAGCCAGTTTGATTTAATAAGTAAGTACTTCACATATAATAAGTCTACAAGTGATGAGAATGAATAATAGGGAAGCTTAGGTGTTGAATTCAGTCAATACAGCAAAGCGGGTAGCAACTACTCTATGGAGATAAACTTAACTATGGAGAAGCGCATCGCCATAGAGATGTAGGATTTTAAGACTATATCGAAACCTTACTTTATTGGCTTAATTGAGCCTAATTGGTATGAGAAACATAATTAGATGATAGCATCTATGATAATTTTATGAAATTTATTTTATAATGCTTATTAATGAGGAGGTTTTATTTTTATTTTGTGGGTATTTATGTATAAAATTCATTTAATTTCTTTTAAATCCAAATATTTGTAATTCCAATTATTTGATATTTGATTAATTTCTGGAACATCCTTGCATAGAATCCCAAATGTCGAAAATAAAAAGAAGGAACACAAAAAAAATGGACGAACTAATCTGATGTTCTTGCCAGAGGATAAACTATCAAAATCATGATAGAAGAGGGGGAACTCCCTAAACGTTGCTTTTACAAGTTTCCAATAATCCATAATTAATATTATTAAATTTATGAATACTTATGACAATCAATAACGAAATGTAACTTAAGTTAGATTTGGAACCGAACAATCAGTAGCCTCTTCAATTTCAGCCTTCCCAAAACGAACTCAAGTTGAATTATTTTGTTATCGTCATCCAGACAGATTTATACATTAAGGATGCACAGCGTTGAACTGTTAGAAGATGATCATGTGTCCATAATGCAACACCGATGATGATACACATTATCAAGAACACAAAGAGGATATAGTTGAATTCCCTCATTTTTTAGAAATCCTGGCATCAGAGATTAAAAAAGTCAATAGAAATGACAGCATGTAAGCATTATCCATAATTAAGGTTATACAATAAGAATGTTAAATAGCTTTTAGAAAAGGAACACACTTATTTATTAGAATATGATAATCTATGTAAAAAGTAGGTGAAATACTTTAATCAATTAATTGATGATCAAACCTCCTTAATTATGCAGCATTTCTATATCTTAAAATAAACCATTAATGCATTCTTTGACAGTAATTATTTTAACAATAAATAGTTAGAGCAATTCAATACTTTTTCAAATAATATTCATTTCTTCAAAACCCAGTACTAATAAATTAACCCTGAAGAAACCTTGGCTCGATATGGAGATGTGCCCCAAATAGTTGCTAAGTTGTATGCCAAAAATCCTTAGTAATGTTTCCACTTCTTAAATAATTTGAGAAAATCAGCCAATATGGAAGGCCAATTACTTTCAGACCTAGACTATATTTCTAATATGGTTTTGAGAAATTATGAAGATTAATCTTACTTTCTCTAAGAATTTGCCTTAAATCAATTAAAAAACTCTGTTGCTGATATGATAGATCAAACAAAAATTGCAGTCAATGACAGCTTGAAACAAATACCAAAACTTACCTAAGATGTCCATGCTAGTGTTGTGTCTTAAGCATTTATCTCTTACAATCGTCATCAAGTGAAGTTGGCTTAACCTGAATTATTTGAAAACAGAAAATTTAGATTCGCCAACGTAGCTTAGATACAAACACATCACTCAAATAGTGTTACTGCTCTCGTGGCACTTTCACATGACATACTTGCTACAAGTTCATATGATCGAACAATGAAAATCTGGAAGATTTCATCAGGTGAATTATTGAAAACAATATATGATACATGTTGCATATCTAGCATGATTAGTTTGAAAATAAAAAATGATAAAAATACTTAGGCTGATTCTTATACAGATGAAGAGAATTCACAACTACACAATCAAATACTCAAAGGTAATTTGAGTAATTCTGGATTTTATTTGATAACTGGAGGGTTTGATAAATAAATTAAAGTTTGGGATTTCGACATCATGGTTAAGGATAACTAATACGAAATGGATCGAATTGCTAAATATGAATCCTCATTGTTGAGTTAATCTTATAATCTATCAGTCTTCCCTATTCACACATTGAAAGGTCACAATAGTTGGATTACTGCTTTGCTCTCCTTTAATGACGAAAGAAACATAGCAGCAGGTGATGATTCAGGAGAAGTGATAGTGTGGGACATAATCAATCAAGTTCTATTATATCGATTGACTCATATAAGAAATCCAGGAATTGTTCCATTTCTTAGTCTCACTATTCCATTTTAATAATTTTGCTGTTCTTCTGGAACTTACTTAAGAATTTACTCATGTAATTTTTTTGAATCTCTATACTTTAGTATTTTATAAGTCCCAAGAAGAAATATATCCGAATCCAAAATTTAAAGAAAGACTGGAGGCTAAATTTGCTCCAAAAAAAAATCCTATTTAGATTGCTCCACAACTATCAAACGTTTAATTGGATAAGGAGATTGATATTTTTTGGGGAATCACAGGATGCATAAGTCCAAGTAATTATCCGAATCTCCTTATTGTATTTGGTAATCAACCAAACAAATTAAAATATGTTATACTTAATAAAAATAAAGTTGTTGAAATTAACACGGATAATGGAACTTATTGTGGGCAATTACTTCTGATTGAAAAGCATAGGATTCACGATACTCAAATGGACTAATTCTATAAGAACATAAATTTCATAATGATGGGAGATAAGAGTCTAGCAGTGTATGATGGCTATGGCACAAAAATCAGAGTATTGGAATCATAGATGGATGATCTTTATGCTAGCAACATTTTATGTTAAAGGAATATGTAGATTCTGAAACTTGAAAAAAGAAGTGTGAAAAAAACATTGAAATTTGCTTGTGTTTCACAATATGGCACTCAAGATTACAAATACAAATCAGCCAGAATAACCCTTTTTGAAATTTCTTATGATACGATATGATGTTATGATCAAAGTAGCATTTTCAATAAAATCTTTATATTATTTATAAAATTAGTAGTTTATAATAGTGCTTCATATATATATATATACTTTTATAACATTATTAACTCTAAAGAAAATGCAGTCGATGAAGTCTTAAATTTTAAATAGGGAAATATTGAATTTGATTTAATACATGATATTATAGTTTAAGATATGGAGTTATGACGAACTTATTCGTGCATATCTTTCGAGCATAATAAGGTAATTACGCAAATATAAATTAATTAAAAATCTTATGTTTTAATTGTATGAGAATGCCGAGAATTCAACCTACTCTTTTGAGTTCAAGTTGGATCTAACCTTGTTGAATGTGTTGCGATCATTCACACACAAAGATCATGAATTTCAGGAGGGTATAAAATTAATAAGATTTAAGGGTATTTGGAATCAATTTATGCATTGTTGTACTACTATCAGGGGAAGCCAGAGAGTGAGTTATTTTCAGAGTACTGTGCCTAGAAGGGAAATCACACAATCGAGGCTTTAATATTTTAGGGTAACATTAATTGAATATACGTAGTGCATTATTATATTGCATCGCTAGCAAATTTAAATTAGTTGGTGGGATTCCTGAAGGCAGACGAGAACAAAGTTATCCCATTATCGAGAAGTGACATCAACAAAACAAATATCTTGTCAGTGCATTCGATCACAGATCGAGTGGGTTCCATAAATAGCACTGTATTGGTGAGCAAGTCCTAGACTGTGAAACCAGAGTATCTTGATTTAAGAGTGAAGATATGCACCTATGAGAATAAAGAGGAAGGAGTATTTTCTATAGATTATAATGTGCTCTCATTGGCAATATAAGCCAAAGGTAAGTTGGATCCATTGGTAGGAAGTCATTTGGCCAATAAATTGAATAAGATGTTTAAATTGGAGTTGTATCACATTCTCTTGCATTTTGCCGATAAGAAAGGGTAGGTGACAGAGAATTATGATGAAAGATGCATGATCATTGTAAATGGAGTCAGCAATTTCTCATTTCACAAAAAGGAGTTCACTGATTTGAGAGACAAGTTCATTAGACTCTCATATGGAAATGTGGAGAAGAATGTCGATGAAATAACTAAGTTATTAATGGACTTAGACCAAGATGTTGGTAAATCAATTATAGCAAGAGATACAAAGAGTAATCATTATTTGGAGAAATTATTGGTTGGTTTGTTGGGAAATCCATTATAATTGATAAGAGATCAAGCAATCATTTTATTGAATATTTTATATGATGGTGTGGATTGGTAAAAGAGAGTGCCATTCAAACCCAAGATAACAAAGGTAGGATCTAAATTTGATATACAATACTTATTTGAATATGATTCATCATATCCTTTAAGTTCAATTGTTATTCTCTTGAAGAGTTACATATTTGATTCTGGATGCAAATAAAATATAGTATCATGGCACAAACCTAAATTGAGTGAGTATAGTAATTAGGGAGATAAAAAGTATATGGCATTTAAGATGGATTTTGGTAGATTCAAGAGATGTGGTTTTTATGATTGGAAGTTAATTAGAATGACAACTTCTGGTAAATTGCAGAGTCTTCAGAAAATTATGAATTTGGATGAATTGAAAAGCAATGTTGAAATTACAGCACTTCAGATGATGGAAGCCAAACCAATTCAAGGAAGATTTATAGTTCATCCTAGAGATTCTAAGAACTTACAAATTCATGAAATTTATGTTGATTTGTTGGATGCTAAACCAGATAATCAAGGTAAGTTCACAAAGAGGGGAAATTTCAGAAAAGTTCGTGAAAAAATACCTGATTTAGTATAATAAGGAATTAATTGTGTTTATTTAATGGGTACTTTAGAGAGAGATAATGGATTAATGATTGATTAAGACAAACAATAAAAGTTGTTTAAGAGACCAGATGTCAGTCCATTGGCCATTACTTGTAGATTAACACCTAATTAAATGTTGGGAGGCAAAGAGGAGTTCATGCAATTAAATAAGGTTGCTCAATAAAACAAATTAAGAATAATAGTAGATATGGTTACACGTATAAGTAGTGCAAGACCTCATCGAAAATACAGAAAGGATTTGGTATATAGATTGGATGAGTAAGGAAGATCAGTTGCTATGTTTGGTACGGATGGAAGATCTATACATTTTGAAGATACAATCATTTTGAACAATAGAAAAAAGAGAGTTTGGGATGTCTTATTGGAAGAAATGATAGAATTGACAACTCAATACAATATTCAAGGGGTTCATTTGGATAATGGATCTTCATGGCCATAAATATTTTCTCTTGATTTGGATGAGATGTATAGAAAGGACACTGATGGCAATCAAGCATATTCCAATAAATAAATCTTTAGTGGTGAAATCTGTTTATAAAATGAAGATTGTGGTTATTGGGGTTCAAGTGTCAAAAACCTATATCCAAATCCATTTTTAGTAAAGATTTGTAAGTCCTTATGGAGTAAGTTCCCTAACTTTTTGATTGTGGCAGAGGCTTGGGGTGCAATGGGAGAATAAGAAGAAAGAGAGATCAATCTGATTTAAAGTGGTGTGATTCCTAGATTATTCAAGTTACCAATTGCTATTGCATCCATATTTGGAGAAAATTTGAAGAAGGATGGTACTATGGTCAAGATGGAGAGAAAGAATGTTAATGCAATAAAAAAGTGGATTGAATACACAGCCAAATAATATCCAGCAGGCAGTATCATAGTTTAGAGTACAACATATAATTCATGGCCTTATCCTGCTTTAATTTATAAACGAGGTACATGGGCAGCTGTAGATTTGTTCTTTACTTTGTAAGATATTCCTATGACTTTTATGGGAGAGGAAGAAGGGTTCGCATTTCGAGAAAAAACAACTAATGTGTTCAATTATGTGACAAAACATGAGAGTTCAGAAATCAAATTGTAAGATCCAACTTAATAAAAGACACCACAGAGATCACTCAAGAGAGCTGAATCTTATGTTTAAGTTAATGAGGATTATGGATTTGGATACAATACATTAACACATCAAGTTTAATTATAGATTACATAATCACCTGCCAAATCCAGTAATAGTGGCTAACCTGTAAGAGTACAAAGTGGTTCATCATTGTCATAGATGGATATCTCCAACATTGCAACAGCTCAGGAGAATTTTAGAAGAGAAGTGGGACCATAATTTGGATTCGATTTATAACAGATTGGAAAACATTATGTTCACATTAGACAAATGAGAAAACAACATAAAGTGTTAAGAAATGGATAGATGGTATCATTGTCAGCTGAACATATGTATGGATGGCATACACATGTGTTGGCCTTTGCTAGGTATTCTAAAGATGAAATGGCCTTGATTGCTATAAATTTTAATGATGGTGAAATTGATATGTTCATGAATCTTAGAAATTTAAGATATTATTTTCCTAATTCAGAAAGATCTAATATTGTTGTAAGATTACGAAATTGGTCATATCCTAATTTGGAGAATGAAGAGACAAGCTACTTTTATATTGGTAACTTTTTGACATCCAGATTAGAGGTTCATCTGAAGAACTTTTAATCTTAAATTTGGGGAGTTGAAATCTTAGGTAACTCTTAGGAGGTCCAATAAAAAGCTTAGAAAAGTGCATTGATTAGATTGTAATAGAAGATGTCATCAAACATTCCATTAACTATCTATGGAAATGATGCTGCAAATAAGTTGACATTATTAACAGACAACTTGAATTCTTTGTAGTAATTTATCAATGGCTTTTCTCACTATTACACTCGAGTGATTAAACCAAATAACTTTGATTTGAATAGATTGATCAGTTCAATGAAGGATTTCCAATCTAATAAAGTGAGATTGTGTAAACTATTTGCATTCTTCTAATCGATACTTGGAACTCAAGATAAGAATTTGCCTTTCTATGACACACTATAATAATTGATTAATCTTAACAAATTGGGACCCATGTGTTTCTGTACTCCTGAGTTGGGCAAATGGACTACAACTGGTGGATTGGGAGTAATGGTAGATGAATTAACATAAGAATTAGCCAAAATGAATGAAGAAGTCATCCTGATCACTCCTTATTATCATAGAAATAAGAAAGGGGAAACAGGATATATACTCAGTGATGGATTCTAGCACATTAGAAATATCGAAATTTGGTTGTAGGGTGAAAAGATAATAATGGGTGTTTTTGAAGGAGTTTTCAATGGAGTAAGATTGTTTTGGTTACATAATGAACAATATTTCCCATCTGCATATGCAGGGGAAGATGCTAGTTATGTTATGAAATAATTAACAGTTTATGCTAAAGGATGTTTAGAATTATTATGTTAAATCAAACTTATTCCTTCATTAATTGTCACTAACGATTGGTTCTGTGGTTTAATCCCAGGATATCTCAGAGTAAGAAGATATGGCGAAGCCTTTGCTGGTACTAAATCATTTCACATTGTTCACAATTTGGACCCTTTATATGAAGGAAGACTTTATCCAAAACCAAACGAAGGAAAATTGGACTATATTCATGAACTTCCTAACGATTTCTTTGTTGATCCATACTGGCAGAATTTAGTTATAAACCCATCAAGATGTCCATTGATTACATGTGATAATTGGGGAACAGTTTCTTAATCTTATAAATATGAATTGTTAGAGTCCTCCCCATTAGCAAGTGTGTTGAGGAGACATCCTCATCCTTTTGCTTTTCCCAACGGTATCAGAAGAGAATAAAGATTCAAGGTGATTATGGATAAAACTAACAATGATCATTTGAAGGCCAAGGAATAATTGTAAAAGAAATATTTTGGTTGTTCCTAACTTGAAAATCACATTGTTGTACTAGGCTTTGTAGGTAGAGTCACTAAACAAAAGGGAGTTCATCTCATATTGGAAGTTGCTGAAGAACTAATTTAAAGAAGTCAAGGCACTGTTTAGATATTAGTTGGTGGACCTGCTGATATGAAAGAGGAGTACAGTGCATTTTGTGCTTAGAATATGATCAGATTGAAATCTATTTATCCTAGGAACTTTTGGGCTGATCCATCTGCATTCTTTATGGATGGTACTTTAGTGAATGTTGGTTGTGATTTTGGATTAATGCCATCATTATTCGAACCTGGAGGTATAGTTTAACATGAGTTCTTTATTGGAAGCACTCCAGTTATTGCCTTTAAGACTGGTGGGTTAAGGGATACTGTCCATGAATATGATTAGAAACAATAAAAGGGATCTGGATTCATTTTTGATTAATACAATAGAGGAAACTTCTTATATTCTATAGACAGAGCTCTCTAATTATACAAGAATCAAGACTAGTACACTCAGCTAAGAAAAAATGCCTTTGATGCAGCTATTGATGTTGCTGATGTAAGCAGAGCATGGGCTTAAGAATATTACAGATTATTTGAAAAGAACTTTATAGATAAAGAATTAGTTTAGTAAATGGTTGGACAAATTCAATAAGATTATAAAGAATTAAAGGAACAAGAGCTTTTTACAAAAGAAGAAGGAAGAGTAATGATTTTATATCTATATTTAGGTATTTTCTAATTCAGACAAAACCCTTAAGAATTTTGAAAGGATTTTGGCTCATGCAAAGAGATCCAATTTGAGATTACATTAATTTGTGTATCGATCAACTAGACTGTTGCAACCAAGATAAGTAGCTGTGTCTGGTTCATTTGATGAATGGAAGGAGAAACACAAACTCAAATTTGATCATTTCTCCAAGGTCTGGAATGTTACACTGAAACTCCTTCCTGGAGAATATTAGTATTTAATTTATATTATACTAAGTTATAAATTCTATGTTGATGGAGAGTGGATTTGCACAGATGACGATCTTAAAGATAACGACATATATGGTAATATAAATAATTTTGTCATCATTTAATGAGCGATGGATTGATATTAATAAACATATAACAGTAATATCAATTAAATATTTTATTCCTTCAACCTCCCTTTTTTATTTACAATTTCATTACCTATTTTAATAGATCGATTTTAATGAAAATTTGTAAAAAAATCATCTTAGCATTATTCAATTATTTATATTAATATGTAGGATATTTCTTTTGGGCAAAAAGTTAATAAAACCATTGTAATGTACCGAGTAAGCAATCTATAGCATAAAAATTAAAAGAAAATATAATTGTTTTAATAGTATGATAGAATGAGGAGAAGAATGAGAAGATAGATTAAAATATTTTTGTTAATTATAGATGTAATGAATAAAATGCAATATGCTTATTATTATAACGTTTAAAATTAACTGCTATTACAAAATAATTTAATAATTCAATAATCAAAATTTTGTTACAGATATTTAGTAAAAGACGGATCCAATTGAGTTTAATCAGTATAAATAGAAAATGTTAAAAATGTTTTATAATTCGATAAACCTTGTTAGTACTCTTATTAAATTTAGATAGAGCCTTAAGGGCTAAGAATCTTTAAAATGATTCGATTCACAATACATTCAATTTCAAGTGATTTTTAAGAATCTAAACTTATTGATTGATAAAATTATGATTCTATATTTTCAATTTGATCTTTATGCTCAAAAATATAAGAAAACTAAATTATTTAAAGATCTTGATTTGTCTTTTCATTTTTATCATTTATCGAACTCTATTAAACTTGTTTTTTATCAATTGATAATTGAATACAACTCCTAGGTTCAGATAACTTTAAAATCTTATTAAAAATATTTATTAGAAGCTAAGTCAATAATTTGCTGTTTAAAGTAATTAATTGTAATTCTAAATCATATGAGCAATTAAGCAAGAATTACTTTCGATGTTATTGAGTATAATATATAAAATAATCTAACAAAGCTTCGTTTAGTTTTTCAATTGTCAATGTTTCATATTATTACTTTAAAAATGATATTCTACCTTTTTATAGATATATCAAGTGATTTTTTATGTAGTTTAATGAAAATTAAATATTACTGTAAGATTTCCTCAAAATTTCATTTTCAATAATTAAATGATCATTAAGATTTAACAATGTTTTATAGAGCTCTTCAAATTTATTACCAATTACCATAAGAACTGATTTAAAGTTTTCATTTAAATCTTTTATAATATGTTCATATTTTTCAATTTAATGTTTAGCTTGATTTTCTTTAATAGAGAGAAAGAATTGAGTTTTTTGATTTTCAAATTTCAAAATGTCAATTAAATATTTTTCTTTTCCATTATTTGTTTCAATTAAGAATCTATCTTAATTGAAATAATCTAATTTTTGTTAAACCAACTCAAAGAGATATTCTTCTAAATTGATTTGTTTATTTATTTATTTATTATTTAAACTTCGATATGAATTTTAATTATTTCTGTTGATAATTGATTAGCTTCTTAAAAATTCTTTTACATTATTCTCATCTAAATCAGTTTTATATAGAGATTCAAACTTCTTATTAGCAAATGAAAGTTGAAAGCTTCTTGAATTCTCATCATACATTATAGCAAATAAAGAATCATTTGTAAATTCATATAAAATCGACCTAATTTATAAGGCAAAATTTACTTTTGTATTTCTACTGATTTGCTAAGGAAAAATTATGATCTTCTATTATCTTCATATATATATGTCTAAACGCCCAATAAAAAAAACATAGAAAATGAACAAACTATATATTAAATGTATGCAATTTCAAATGGAACAAAGAAACCTATTATTGCGCAATTAGTTATGAGCACATATAAAACTTTCAATCTACTATCACAATGTTACAAAACACAAGAGTGCAGTACGCCGGATGTAATACCAAAATCATAAAGAGGTCTTAAAATCAATAGAAATCTTACACGTAAAATCCAATATAAGCTAGGAATATTCCTCCTGCTACATAACATACATATAAAATTGAAAAAATAGGCTTTAAACAATTTTTAAATTTCTGACTAAAGAATAATATTATGAGGTGCATAAGGAAAAAAACAGCCATCAAAGTAATCAAGTAAGCCGATTAATCTTGAATTATAAATGCCAGCATTCCAAAAAAGCAAGGTAACATAAGAGTAACTAATAATGCTCTAAAAAATAATAATCTTTGATTATTAAGATAGTTGTTATATTCTGTTTCTTAAATAGGGTTAGAAAACGAAAATGTCCATACCTTAAAGAAATTTGTCATCATTATGATATGTTGTTACAATCTTTTTGAAAATAAATTATTATAGGACCTAATTAATTTATAAAACATAAGTACAATAAATTTTAGAGTAAATGATAAAATAATTTTTGAGGATGATTTTGAGTGGTCAAATTTGAATTTTATTAATATAATTATAAATTCAATCCTGCAATTTAAACTTAAATATATCATAACAATATTTCCCTAAATTAAAACCCTACATTTATTGCTAGATAATTTGAGACATTTGTTGTGATAAATACAAAAATATGAATTAATATAAAAGAAATGGTTTGATATGGAAAAAAATAATACGGGTTAAAAAATGTGAAGATAAGTTATTAAACAGGAATTATGTATTTTTATAGCTTTATTAATTAAACTTAATTATCAAAGATTATATAAATCAACATATTTAGTAAAAGATGGATCCAATTGAGTTTAATCAGTATATATATAAAATGTCAAAGTTGTCCTGTGATTTTATAATTTTTCTTAATAAATGGATTAAATTTAAATAGAACTATAAGGGCTAAGTATCTTCAAAATTATTTAATTCACAACACATTCAATTTAAAATGGATATTGAGAATCTAAATTAATAGATTAAGAAAATTAGAATTCTAAATTGTCAATTTGATCTTTATGTACAAAAATGTAAGAAAATTACATTAACTAAAGCTCTTAATTTCTAGTTAAATTATTATCTTTTAATAACTGATATTGTATTAATTTTCTATCAATTTGTAATTGTATAGAACTCTTATCGTTCGATATTATTAGAATTTTATTGAAAATATTGATTAATAGCTAAGTTAATAATCTTGTATTTAAAAAAATTGATTATTATTCGGCTTCACTCAAATAAACAAATTAAAATTATTTATGGTATTATTTACTGTAATGATGAAAGTATTCAGACAATTCTTCAATTAATTTTTGAACTTTAAATTATTCAAATTATTATTTTAAAAATGACATCTTTTCTTTCTATAAATAGATCATATAATTTTTTAAATATATTAGTGAATATTAAATATTGCATTGCAATTCTTTAATGAGATCAGTATTTTCTTGAAGATCATCTTTTAAATTTAGTATTTATTTATATAATCTTTCTAATCTATGAGAAATTAGTAAGAGTACAGAAATAAAAATAGTATTTAAAGATTTTATTTTAGTTTCATATTTTTCAATTTAATGTTTAGCTTGATTTTCTTTAATAGAGAGAAAGAATTGAGTTTTTTGATTTTCAAATTTCAAAATGTTAATTAAATATTTTTCTTTTCCATTATTTGTTTCAATTAAGAATCTATCTTAATTGAAATAATCTAATTTTTGTTAAACCAGCTCAAAGAGATATTCTTCTAAATTGATTTGTTTATGTATCTATTTATTATTTAAACTTCGATTTGAACTTTAATTATTTCTGTTGATAATTGATTAGTTTCTTAAAAATTCCTTAACATTGTTCTCATCTAAATTGGTTTTATATAAAGATTCGAACTTTTTATTAGCAAATGAAAGTTGAAAGCTTCTTGAATTTTCATCATACATTATAGCAAATAAAGAATCATTTGTAAACTCATATAGAATCGATCTAAATTATAAGCAAATTTTACTTTTGTGTTTCTAATTTTTTGGTCAGTAAAAATTAAGACCTTCTATTATATTCAATTAAATATGTCATGATACCCAATAAAATAAACATAGATATTGAAAAGACTAAGTATTATATTTAAGCAAGTTCAAACTGAACAAATAATACTAAAGCCAACCAATTGGCGATAAATAAAAATATCACTTTGAACCTATTGTCGCAATATTATAAGGCACAGCTGAACAATAAACCGCAAGAAAGCCCAAAATCAAAAAGCGGTCTAAAATAAGAAACTTTCTTACACTTTAAATCCAATATAAGCTAAATAAAAAGCAGCTGTTATATAAGAAGCATATAGGATTGTCATAATCAACTTTAAGCAATAAATTAGTTTATAGCTAAAGAATAAAAATACTATATGCAAAATGAATAAAACTGCCATAAAACTCACTAAATAGGCAGATTAATTTTGAACAATAAAGACCAGCATTGCAAAAAAGCAAGAGAGCATTATTGTGATTAATAATGCTCTTAAAAAAAAGAGCCTTTAATTATTGAGAAAATCCTAATATTCTGCTTCATAAATTGGGTTAGTAAACTAAAGTTTCCATTATTTAAATAATGATGCCATTTCCTTTTAACTAATAAAATTTATAAAAACTATTTACTATCATTATTACTAATAAATATGAATAAATTTTCTCTTTTTTTTGATATTGTGTATAATGAAAAAATTTTTGGTTTTCTTTGCTCTAGGTTTAAGGTTTAAAAGAATACTTGAACTTTTTTACTTGATGATCTGAAAAAAATATTTATAATTTTCTATTTTATCATTAAAAAGATTTAATATATATTAAAAATTTCACAATTTTTCGAAGGGTTTTGAACATGAATGGTTAGAAGCCTATGTTTTATTGATATACCTCATATTTACTGTTAATTTAGAACGTGTAGAAAATTTTGTTCTAATTTAATTTAGTTTAATTCTCAATTTTGGTAAAATTAAGACTGTTAAAATTCTGGTAATCTTATTAATCATATACTTATCATTATAAGTTAAGACAACTGTTATTATAAAAGAAAAGGGATTCATTATAAAACTATCTAATTTCTTATAAAATTATAATTCATGAGATTCATATATATCAAGAACTGTGAGTTAAATTAATAGTATATTTTATCCAATTCCCTCTTATCGGAAATTAAGTTAATCGAGAATATTAATTGCTACTATGAAGTAATTAAGTTGCTTATCATTTCATAAATAAATAAGTGCAATTAAAATAGAAATCTATTTACTTGATTATAGAAGTTTTTTTTTCTCAAAAAACAATAGTTACTATTTTTATGCACAAAAAAGAATAAAAATAATAAGTTTTGAAAATTAATAATGAGATTAAGGAAAATTATATTAAATTATGTAAATATAAAGTGAATTACTTAAAATAAGAATAAATCAAATTGATTAAATGGAAATTTAACTTGAGTAAAAGATAAATTTGATAATTTTAATTTTGTAATAAAATGCAATAAAATATATTTCATTTTTGTATATTTTAATATTATAGCTAAAATTTATATATATTACTAAAATAAATCCAAACTTGCAAAATACAAACATTCAAAGTAATCCTAAATCACAATAAACAGATTAAATTAGATTTCATAAATAAAAGGATTTTTAAATAACATGTATAAAATAATAAATTAAATTAATATTTCTTGATCACAAAAAATTAAAACTCATGATTATTGTAATGTTTGCTAGGATTAAAGTTATTGTTGTTATGATTCTGGGCCCTAGTTTAGAAACAGCATTTCATTAAAGGCAAGGAGAAAGTCTTTTAGATCTTCTTATTTTAGAATGGTTGTTTTTTCTGGCTATTTTGTATTAGTATTATTGAGTTTATTGATCTCAAAGTCTCTAAGTTCGCTTTCAACATATTCAAGCCATACTTTATAGGCTTCCTCTTCATTAGTGGTTTGTGGCATATTCAATTAAGGTGGAGGCGACATGTATGGAGTGTATGAAAATTAAGAAGATGCCACTAAAAAAGTGCCTACTAAGATCACCCATGAATGAAACACCAAGGGTGCATAGGTGCGATAGGAATCAAGAATCAAGATTTTGAGAGTGTGAAAAGTGGCTTCTTCAAATTTTTTTGGCACACATTTTTTACAGATTACCTCAATGTAGTCATTGGGTAATTTGATATCGAATTCATATTCAATTACTTTTAAGATTCTACTTTCAGCTATGCAGAGCTTGTTTTATAATGATTACATTAGAGCCTCATTTGCCATTCTTGTTTGTTCAATTGATTACATAATTTTATGAAAGCTGATTAGCAATTTTCTCATTCTTGGATCGCCATCTTTAATTTTTTAAGCTAACAAGAGGGAGGCAGCTGCAACAATCTAAGGTAAATATGAAATCTTACAAATCTGTCATATTGTAAATAGCATTTATAATGAAAGAAATAATTACACAAATGGATCGCTAAGGATACTGTAGAATATGAATTCAGTTCTAGATTAATGGCCAAATCAATAATGAACTGTGCATTTCCATTTAGTAATTTTCTTTGTACTTGTGCAGAAATATCATATTCTGTGTTAATGTTCTGAAAAATGTCTTTCTTCTTAATTAATTTCATATTTATTTTTATATTTATTAAAATCATCATATGTTTTCAAGAATTTTTAATGGATGATGCAGTCTTTTTTAAGATGATCGAGTACTCAGAGGGCCTGGACTTTTTTCAGCCAATTTGAATGTACTCTTTTCAATAAAAATCTCTTTTGGTTTAGGAATCCTTGATGTTCGAGCGGAATTGATTGATTAATTTTCTTCAGAGGGTTCAGATTCTTATTTGAGATAGGTATCATGTGGGGAATCGACAATCATTAATAGGTGTTCATACACTTATTATTCATTATATTATTTAACATTAGTTAATAAAGGAGTCATTCGATCATCTGTTGTTATTAGCAAATCTACAGTCATAAAAGTAGAAACCTTTCAATCTTCCTTTTCTATCTTAACTTATTAGTTAGCGTTTATGCAAAGTGTAGATGCAATAAAACAATCTGCCAAATTCGGTATCGATTAGTTACATGGAAAAAATAAATAATTTATTATTAAATTAAGTATTTTAAGTTATTAATGAATAGAATCAAATTGAACAGTCTCTAACAAAAGGTACATGAAGCGATAATAATGTAGGTGATTCCAGTCATAAGGGATGGGTTGAATACAATTATATCAACTCCTAGTGGAACAGGAAAGACTCTTTGTTACTCAATTCCAATTATTGAATAGAAAAGATCAATCGTTCTCACTCCAACAAAAGAGTTGTCAATCTAAACTTATAAGACTATAAGGGAATTGGATCCTAATATCAGAGTAAGCAGAATAGGGTCTATCGGATTGATTGCTCCAATAGTTGAAATGATTGTAATCTGATTAATTAAAAAAGAGCGATTTAGAAGCAAAAAAATTATAGAATTATGCAAAGGAAAGATTACAAAGAATGAATGATTCTTTGAGAGGCTAATTAAATTGGGATTTGGTTGATATTTGTATATCCACTCCAGGTTAACTAGCTCAATTAGTAAAATTAGGGTGTAGGATCCAAGAAGTAAATTGTTTAGTAATAGACGAGGCAGATTTAACTTGGGGGTATGTTTTTGATGTTAATCATAGGGATGTAAGTTTTCGAGAGAGTATTTACACTATATAAAGATATCTGAATATAAATTAATTTGTGCTTTGCAATTCAGTCAACACAATTAAGGATGAGAAGGAGATGAAAACTGTTGATGGCAGCAAATTCACTTCTTATATTTCTAAAGATTACATGTAAATACCAAAAAGGAAAATAGAATTTATGGATAAACCTCTTCAAGAATATTTAGACAACCAGAAAACAATTATATTTGTAGATGGTGAGAAAGAGTGTTAGGAAGTTTAAAAAATTGTTGGACCTAGTAAGTGTTTCAATTCTGGATAATCAGTAGAGGAAAGAATTAGAAATGTAGAAGAATTTAGAAAAAATGAATGGAAGTATTAAGAATTAATAAAAATAGAACTTTAATATGTACAGGTCTCGGAAGTAGAGGATTAGACTTTCCAGATGTCACTTAAATTATTATGTATGATCTTCCAAGAAATTTTGAGGCATTTCTTCTTTAGTGTGGGAGATTAAGATAGGAGAATGGAAGAAGTAAGTAATATAGTAATTATGTAGTTATTGTGAGATTGAAGGACTCGTTTGAATCAGCAATTTATAGTGAATATGAGAGATACAAATATGTATTCCCGAACAGTTGTGTAAAATTGTGAATATTGAGTGTTAGAAATTATTATTATGTTAATTTTTAGAAAGTTGTATAAATTCTCATCATGTAAAATAATGGCGATTAAATCATAGAATTTAAAGAGTCCACTCTGACTGCTATTTCACCTCTGGATGGAAGATATGCCAGTTAAACAGCTGTAATCAAAGATTATTTTAGTGAATATGCATTAATGAAGTATTATCATTCTTGTCATTCTAGATACCGAATCAAAGTGGAAATTGAATGGTTAAAGTTCTTGCATTCTAAGAATATGATAAAGCAGTCAAATTCAGTTTTGAATTTGACTGCTTTAGATTTGACTTATTTGGATTTGATTTATGATAAATTCGATGTAACAAAGTCATTCAGAGTTAAATAAATAGAAAGTACAACTAATCATGATGTCAAATCCATTGAATATTACATCAAAGAAGAATTGGACAAGAGTATTAAACTGTTATTACATATATATAGATCCAATATTGCATTCAATGAAAGAATATGTCCATTTTTGTTGTACAAGTGAGGACATTAACAATATTGCTTATAGTTTGATGATGACTGATGCCAAAAACAACCTATTAATGAAATCATTAGAAGGAGTCATTAATAAATTAGTACAATTATCGCATGATCATCATAATGTCCCCATGTTGAGTCGAACTCATGGCTAAGTAGCTTCTCCAACTACTGTGGGAAAGGAGTTTGCTAACTTTGCCTATAGAATCAGGAATCATTCAGAATTATTGAGAAATCTTAAATTTGAAGCTAAATTGAATGGTGCTGTTGGAAATTACAATGCTCATTTATTAGCATACCCAAATTATGATTGGCCCATTCTAAGCAAACAATTTATAGAGGAACTCAAACTCAAACACAATCCCTTCACCACTTAGATAGAGCCTCATGATAGCGTCGCCCTCTATTATTCTTATCTCAATATAATCAATAATATCCTGGTTGGATTATCAAGAGATGTTTGGAGTTATATCTCAATTAATTATTTCGAATAAAAAAGTATTAAATCCGAAGTTGGTTCATCCACTATGCCACACAAAGTTAATCCTATTGATTTTGAAAATTGTGAAGGCAATTTAGGACTATCCAATTCCTTGGCTCAACATTTTATGAACAAATTAGTAATCTCACGATATCAAAGAGATCTATCCGATTCTACTGTAATGAGAAATCATGGAGTGTGTTTGGGATATGCAGTGGTTGGATATCGAAGTTTAATCAAAGGACTTGATAAGATATCGCCTAATTATGATACTATTTTAAATGATCTAGAGAATGTACTATAGACTTAGTAATTAAATAGCATTGGGAAGTCTTAGCCGAACCCATCTAATAGATTATGAGATAGTATGGTGTTGCAAATCCATATGAATAACTTAAGGAGTTGACAAGGGGATAAAAAATAACCAAGGATTCTTTGAGAGAGTTCATTTCCAAATTGGCCTTGCCTGAGGATGTTAAAAAGAAGTTGTTGACCTTGGAACCAAAGGATTACATTGGAAATGCTGACAAGATGGCTAGATTGATATGATTGGTTTTTAAAAAGCAATAATATATAAAATATAGTTCTTTTAAGTTCAGCAAGATATTTTTCAAGGTTCTTTAGGAATTTAGAATTTTCGTCTTGGAGTGGGAAACGTAGTTAAAAAAGATTTGTTCATTAATAAATAAATATTTATATAATTATTGATTAGAATATCTTAGCAATTATATATTTCAGATGGGGAATTTGGAAATTTAGATTATTATTAATATCATAAATGGATTAAAAGGATTAGAAGGATTTCATCATTGATACTTAAAGTGAATTCTTCACGAAGAAATTTCAAGTGACTCTTACAAAAAGGGAACCAATCAATCACGATTCCTATATGTTCAGATTCGATTTCAAAAATCACAAAGAGAGATTAGGCATGCAAGCTGTTTAGCATATCAAAATCTAGTAAGTTTTGAATATTAATATTGAGTGGTCTTAACATGAAGGGTGAGATTGTTGACAGAGCATACACTCATGTTTCGGAAGAGGATGGATACTTTTTAATACCTATCAAAATTTATAGACCCAATGTTCACCCTCAATTTCCAAATGGAGGAGAGCTAACACCATGGTTGGAGAATTTAGAAGTACCTCTTTGTAATATCGTAATAGCTTCATTCTGAATTGACAATTAAAAGGTGTGTAGGCAAGTTGCTTTATCATAAAAATCAATTTATTGTTAGGCCAAAACTTAATAAGACTTGGTAACAATTCAGTACAGTATTGCTCATTTGTGGAGGAAGCGGTATCACTCCAGCCTACTAATTAATCCGAACCATTTGCAGTGACCAAAATGATAACACCAAAATGGTCCTTTTGTATGCCAATAAAACTGAATAAGATATTTGGTTAATAAAAGATTTAAATGAATTATCTGACAAGCACAAAGAATAATTTACAGTTCATTACACCTTAGACAAGGTATTTATATATATGATTGTCTTTAAGTCTGAGGAGAATTGGAAGGGTCTCAAGGGATTTGTGAGTTTAGAAATGATGACATCAATATTCCCACAGCCAACTGAAACTACATTAGGAGTATTATGCGGACCTAAACCCATGAACAAGTTAGTCCTATCGCTTTATGAATAATTTGGATTAAAGAAAGAGAACATAGTCAAATTCTGAGTAGGATGTTGTATTAAATAAAAATCTAAATAATTAAGAGTTTTCTCCTTTGAACTCAAATTATCAAATCATGACATAGTCTTAGACTCTTGTTTGAGTATGCCAAGCCTTAAAGTTTCAATAATAAACTCTATAAAAATCGTAAAATAACATTAACAATTTGAATATAATCTCAATACTAATTTTAATCATTTATTTGTTTGGCATTTGATAGCTTTTTCTATTCTATCTTTCAGATTCGAATCAATTAGATTATTCACTTATTTATTTTGACAAATCTATTTCAATCTTTGATGCAATCTAATCATCTCCTCCTCCTCCATAATTTGTTTTCTAAATCTAATTCATTATGTGTACTTATGTTATTCTATTTTCTCCTTTATCAATTATTATTATTATTATTTATACTCGGCTATTCTTTGGTGACTTTCATGTCTAGCATCCTCTTTCTTAATTTGAACATCTATTTTTGACTTAAATTTTTCATTCAACTTAGCTTGCTCTTTTTGTTTTTCCATTTCTTTTGTTTCTTGATTATATTTGACCTTCTAAAAATTAGTTTCATTTATTTCATGCAATCTCTTGACTTAATCTTCAATCATCTTTTTTTATAAATATCTTATTTGATACTTTTCTCTTCCTTTCAGTTCTATCTTCAGTATTTGATCTGATTGTCGGTTTTTTTATTTTTATTAAATTACTGCTAGATTTTATTTAAGGAATGTCCTTCATCTCCTATTTCAAATGAGTGTGTGATTTTGATAACCAATCTTCCTCATTCCAATTCAATCTTCTCATTTCTTCATCCTAAATAAAATAGGCAGGATCTTCCCCAATCTAATAATTTAGATTAATGAGCTAAAATACTTCTAATAATTCTTAATGGGTTAATTACGCTTTCAGTTTTTATTGCATTTCCAAAGGAGTCGGAATATTGATGTTCATCCTTTAACAATGACGCCTCTCTTCCTAAGTAAATTTCATAGGTGGATGAACTGGCAGCATTTATATTAAATTTTGATCTTCTAACTCGAATTCAGTCTTCCTTGTGTCTATTTCTGATTACATTCTCTCTATTTTTAAGAATTTGTTGCAATAATTCTAAAACTAACTGTTCAGTATCTTAACGATCTTCGATCTCAAAATACGTTTCTATAACCTTATAATATTAATGAACTGTACTTTTCATTTATTGAAACTGAAGGAAATTTTGTATTAAACATTATAATTTTAGTTAATAAATTAATAAATAGAATTCTTCCCAATATTATTCATGAAAAAAATCAAATGCATACAACTCCCATTGACTCTTATTATTAGTGACAATCAGATTGATTTTAATTCAAATTTAGTAAATCTATTTGACAATAAAGAAATAAAGCAGTATTTTTAAAAGGAAAAGAAAATAATATTTAATTATCTAAGTATAAAACTTTGAGAAATTATAGTTTATATTTCTAAATTTATAGTTATTTTTTTGTTAAAATTTTGGAACAATAAAATCATTTTTGGTTAAATGAATGGTGAAAAATTTCAGTGTTTAAATTAATATATAGACATAGTCTAGATTTATTTATTTATTTGGAATATGCAAACAATTATAATCATTAAATGATTAATCAATTAGAAAACCCTTCATGAATTTAATACATTAGAAATAATAATAGAAAAAGAACCATAAACTTGAGATTTAAAAATTAGAAAATATTACATATGTCATATTAATTCATCTTCCTTTTGTTGACTCAAATTGTTCTTAAAGATTAAGCTAGATTACAGAAAGGTAAGGATTTTCCAACAGTAGCAGTTTATATTAAAAATGCTAATTTAAAGATTTCTAAAAAAATTAATCTTAAACTCTTTTTAGAAAGTAATTTTAGATGATTTAAATAAAGTCATAAAATTAGAATCTCTTTCTTCAATTTATGATTGGTTGAAACCAACTACTGCGACAACGACAGATTACTAATGGTAAACATGAAACTAACTCATGGTGAAAAAAAATTGGAATTCATGACAGAGTATGATCTTATAATTCACAGGTTGAACATAATCATGTGGTTATAGATAAAAGATGAGAATACTTTATAGGTCGAAATGATCAAATATATTAATATTAAATTAAACTGTTTTATTTATAAAAATTAATCTAATTGAGACTTTTTATTAAAATTTGTAAATTATGATATTTAAATTAACAGTTATTTATTTTTACTCCAAATTAGATATATTTATGTACATAAACATGTTTTTCGTTAATCTCAGTTGTGCGAATTAAAAATTTAAAGAAAATCTGTGTTTTTAAATCATTAATATATTTTTTTCTAAAAACTCTTCTTTCCAAAAATAAATGAATAAATTTATTCAAGATAAAATCTATCAATCCTCACAGCATGAAGAAATTACATCATTAATCTATAAAATAACTGATCGGTAGACGAAATTTGCAGAACTTCATAATTAAGTTGAAGAAAGTATTCAAAAAGTAATAAATGTGAGTTAGAAATAATTTGAAAAAGTTATGAAAAGGAAATAGAAGGAATTCAGGTAAATTCTACAAGATCATGATGAAAGGATAAAAGAAATCACCTAGAAATATCATACTTCTTAAAATAACTAAATATAATACTAAAATCAAAAGAAATCAGAATATATACGGATCTTTGAGTCTCTGTATTATGAATATTAATAGTTTATAGCATTTTTCGATCATGACCAATAGGCTGAAAATAGTAATTATATTATTATGATCTATGAAATATTAACAGAGAGTTAGGTATTTCATGAAGACTAGAGATTGAATGAAACACTTCTAAATGAATATTTAAAGCAACATAAAATGAATAAGATATTATCTCTTCATGCATCTCTTAAGTTGATAATACCCCAATTATAAAAAGTTGAGGAAAACCTTTAATTATCAAAAATCAACAGCAAAAAAGGATAATATTTAAATATTCTTAATGAAAGGTTAAAAGCATTCATAGAAAATCTCAAATATGGTTTGAATTAATTGGATATGTTTTTATCTTAAATTCAAGAGAACAATCAAGTCCAAAAAGAATTAGATACTAGAATTCATTCAAATTTGATACTAATTAACTAATTATTAAAGAATCATCAAGATAGAAAAATGACTGAATACGAAGATTTAAATAAAACGAATGAGAATCTCATCAAAATTATTAATCGACTCTTAGATATTAATTATAAACTTAAATTATAGCAGAAATAGAATTATGAAGATGTGTAATAACTCATGGAATTGTACTACCTTTAAAATGATAAAGCACCTTCCTTATAGCCATTGTCTAGAAAGAGTACTATTAAAATAATTAAACCTATATCATATTAGCGAACTAGAATCTTCTCAGAAACAAAAAAAGAAGTTCATTTTGATTTATCTTCTCGAAATTCAGTAAAAGAGATGAATCTTGAATCACAAATCCTTTATCAATCTCCTCTTATTATTTAACCTCAAATAGTCAATCAACCTACTATAACAGATGTATCTCTCTTTAATTCTGGATAAAGCCTTAACAAAATCAAAACTTAAAAATATTGTGATAAACATTGGACTTCAAAACATCAAACTAATGTGGATAAAAAAACTGCCATTCCTATTAAATGTCAATGTCCTCCCTAGTGTTCATGCTAAGCTTTATTAATTATACATGTCCACACATGCAATAAACAATTGTATGTCAATTCTATAGGTCAGCTTCTATGCTAATAATGCCTTTTCACCTAAAACATATAGGACTATAGTTTCTACTGTCCTCACACAAGAACGAAAAATAAATTTAAATGTAGCAAAGATTTCCTAGAAGCATTTTGGTAACATATTAAAACTTTGACTATGAATTAATAAATTGTTGATTTTTGGAATCGCTTGTAAATAAGCTGTCAATAAATGTTTTAGGCAAATCCATTTTCTACATTAGAAATCCAAAATTCTATGAATTTTATTGCATTCTGTCCAAATTAATGTAAATGTAACCATAAATAGAGCAGATAAAAATATCATTTGTGCGAAAGCTAACTCTAAATAACATCTGATGGACTTGTTCATTGTAAAAAGTGTAATTTTAATGGGGATCCTAAGTAATATATTTGTTACTGTCCAGACACGAAAACATTCAATATTTATAGAAGTGGGGAGGAGTTTGTGTAGTCTTTAGATTTGATTCTTGAGGTAGGAAACTAATAGCAATAATAGCAATTACAAAACTAATTTATTCAATAGTTAAGATAAAAAATTCCTTTTATTTTATGGGAATGATAAACCTTACATTATTATTTTTATTATTTTTTATATAATAGACAATATTCTCTCTCTTTTCTTTCATAAAATTATCTTAATATAAATATATAACTATATATTTAAGTTTTGGATATCTTGTTTTAGTTTTTACAGAAGTATCATACCAATTAAGATCCTCAGTTTACTTGACAATAATATTCTATCATAATTTAAAAAGAGAATAATATTCAAATATTTGAATAAGTTTTAGTCTAGGCTATTGTATAATTTCCCCTTAGTTTTATGTTAATTAACAAGTATCCCATTAAATTATTAAATATTAAATTAATCTCTATCTAGGGTGAAATTAAGAATTTTATAAAATTGCAACATAATCATTTAGTAAATTTTGAGAATTTATTTATTTATTTATCTAGCATTCATAAATAGAAGATATTTACTATTTCAATTACTTCAAAAATAATTAGTTTTATTTTATTTATTCAAGAAAATTTCAAAACTTTTTTCTATAAATAACATTGATACTGAGAGAAATCTTCCACTATAGTTGTAATATTTTTTCCATTAATCAAGTAGCCAAACATCAGATATTAATATTAATACTAAATGCTAATTTTATGAAAAAAATCAATTACATAAAAATAATAATTAAAATGATAGAATTAAGAAAATTCAAATTCTATCATTTAAAAAACTTTAGTTTCTTCTTCCCAAATAAAGGTATTTTAATGAATGATTTTGATTAAATTAATTTAAGATTTGATATATTATTAGTCGTTTGATGTCTTACATTATTATTGGGATCTACATTAGTATTAATTTATTAATTTGTTTATGTTAAACTTATCAAAATAAAATCAAAATAATAATAAAATTACTTAATTAATCAATAATACATCACATTATATTGCAGTCTTCCTATTTTTTATTATCTGAAATATTTATTGATCTTTCTTTATCATTCTATCCATCTTATCCTTTAATTGAGGCTTCTAATCTTAAAGATTATTACTAAGATGAAGCTGAATGGTGATGCATCAACTTTTTATCAGTATAATTTTCAACTTTATCCAAAAGTAATCTCATAGCTTTTTCATGTTAAGCACTCTGAAAATAACAATTATAATATTACTTCTCTAAAAAGTTTATTTAATTATTCTCTTTTTAAAAGTTAATCTATACTTCTGAATTGAATTTCTTTAATTAAATCTTCTATCTTTTTAAATAGTTAGATAGCCAACTATTCTTTTTCTTTATCCTCGTTTTCTTTTAGTGCCTCGAACGCATCAAATTGTCTCTCCAAATCTCTGTTTTTAAATTCTTAAGATATCTTCTCTTGTTCTTCATTCAAATACTTTTATTTTTCGTATTCTTCCTGTAATAATTTGATTAACTATTTTTATTCCTAACACAAATCTTGAGAATCCTTTAAATCTTTCTTCAGTTACTCATTTTCAGTCATCAATTTATCATTCCTCCCATAAACAATTTCTAAACTTTCATTCATTTTCTTGTATTGCATTTCCAGTCTCTCCCTATTTATTTCCACATTTTTCTAATTGATCTACCTTTCATCTTACAATTATTATTCTAAGGAAGTAATCTATAATTGGAGCGTGCTTATTGTAAACTATGCTTCTTATTGGAATCTTTTAGAACGAACTAATTCTAATTCTTATTCACCAGTGGTTAATTTTAATTCATCATAAGTTTCTTATAATGATTCTAAAGACTTTTCTGTTCTCTTTAACTTTTCTTCCATCATTTCATATGATAATTTATCTTCATTTTATGTTCTGGATCTTGTGCTGGTTCTTGACCTTCCGAGATTAGATTCTAATTCATATTATAAATTATGATTTTCAAAGGCTAAATCAGTCAAAGTTTTGCTATTTTCTCTAACATTACTTTACAGCTTTCTAATTTCCACATTCTTATTATAGACTTAAGTTTGTGTTATCTATAATTCTTCTTCTAAGCCTTAGTACTTAGCTCTTAACTCTTAAATTTAGGCTTACAACAGCGCAATAAATTTAGATTAGTCACTTCCACCTGTGTATGATTAATTTGTTTATACATTTTATGGTAAATTTTGGAGATCGAATAATTCAGATTTGATTTTAGACATATCATTTTTTAACTATGAAATTTATTGGTTTTATTATTAATTTTCTGCTAATGTTAATTAATAGATCTTGTTTTGCTCTTCAATTTATTTCTTCAATCCATTTTTTTCATTGTCCAAAATTTCATATTTATATTAGAGTTCTTTGTATTGATCGCTTGACAATATTTTATTTTATAGATATTTATCATCTAGAATAAAATTTGCTTTCTGTTCTTCTTATATGAAAGATTTAATTATCTTATCTTAAATCTTTTAATCGACAATTTCAAACATCTTCAAGGATTCTTGCAATTCCCTAAATTCAACATTTCTTAGAATTTTTACAGCCAGTTTCTCATATGAAACATCTGCATACTTCTTTATTTCTTCAATTCTCAAAGAACAAATTGCTGTCAATCCTTTTGAGAATTCTAAAAAGTTGCCTACCTTAATACAATTATCAATCAAGAGAAAGGTGTTTTCAAAAGTAAGAGAATTAATCGACAAAGTCAATGCTAACTTTTAAAAGTCATGTTTTAAGTAAGATTAAATTTTTTAAACATCCGAAGATTGGAGATGGAACACTGAATCCAACAATGAGAGTATGAGTTTAGAATATTTTTTTATATCGTAATCGTTTGATTTAAGGAAGGTATAGTAAAGTTCTCTAGGGTACACTAATTCATAAAAATAGGACAGACACATAAAGGCTAATGGTTCTGAAGCAAAGCTTAAAAAGAATTATACCACAAGGATGAATTCATCATCAAATCCAAATTTAGGCTAAATCCAATATATATACACTTACATGTTTATTAAGAAATGCTTTGATGATATTGCAAATGGCATTTTAAATCGAAGTAGCATCCTTTTTTTGAGTAATGTGATGATAAAATTCTTGAAAAGAGTAATTGTATGCTTCACAGTAATCAACTAGTTTGCTGTACATATTGCTCATTGCATTTTTATATTTCGTAAATGCCATGCTTTCAGAGGCATCTTAATTCATGAATTTATATTCGAATTGAGGATCGTTTAGATTATCATAATAATCCTTTACAATTTCTTCGTAATTCTTTTTGTTATTCATCTATTTAAGCCATCTCTCGCAAAGGGTGTCTTTACCAAAGGCAAGACTATTGGATTGAATGAATTATCTCATTCTCTAAGATTCTTCGTGACATAAATCACATTGTCTATGAGGTTTCTGATCAACGTTGGAAGCAGATTTATATAATCCGATCTTATAGATTATTTCTTTATTTTGCGAACACGAATAACAAACAGCCCTTTTGCATCTCTTACATTGATGCTCCTTCTACAAGACACTAAAGTCCTTTTAGCATATTTCACAAGCCTTCTTTTTGCCTCTAATGTCTTAAATATTAATTTAGAAGAATGCTTTTTTAAGTGTAAATTATTTGTTCATTATTAATAATATAAAGTGTGAAATTGAAATAGGTAATTTGATATAACATTTCAATTCTAGGTAGGTGAGATAAGAATTACATTGCTTTTTTTGTAATAATATTCTTAATCTGAATAATAAATTAAGATATTTGCTTAATTAAATTTAATAACTTTGTTTTTAGACTTAATTTATTGTCGAACTTCAACTCTGTGCTATGTTGAATCTTTGGTTCAAGCTATACAAGGGAGTGATTAGAGAATCTATCCATTTTCTGAAGTGGCTACTCAGTTACAGGCATGGTAAGGAGGAAAAGAAAAACAGATATCAATTATTTATAAGAATGACGAAAGTGATTTAATTTCAATAATTCTAATAATTTATTTTCTTAAAAATATTAAATAAGCATGAAGGAACAGGTTTAAAGACAAACTAGATTTTAATCCAAGGCTGAATAATGTGGAATATGTTATAATGCAATTGAGAATTAAGTAAGAGATGTTTGAAGGTTTAGGGAGCTCTGGATAGCTGCAATCACTCATTTTGTTCAGATTGCATCAAAAAATGGTCTAATGTATGTAACCTTTTTCATTTTAGATTGAAAATACATGTCCGCTATGCAAATAGAAATTCACTTAAATTGAATTCAAGTGGAAGAGAGTATATTTTTTAAATTTATTCAGGTTCATTACAAAAGTCATAAGATTTCAAAGCCAAAATGTAAACAAAACAAGTATCTGCCATAATATTGTAGGATTTACGTTAAAGATAAAAGTTAGTCGCAAAAGGAAGATCAATTTAGTGTCTTACTAGATCTTCTTATAGATTTCATCCTTGCTGATAGTATAAATATAATTAAACCATTAGTAAATGATTGAAAATTATGTGAAAACCTTTAAATTTTGTATATTATATATATCTTTATTTAACATCATATTGGATAATCATCATCAGCTTCAGGATCAATTATTTTGGCACTTTCTCCTTTCATAATGTGGCTGATGACACTCTGATTATTGGCAATCTTGTCTTCATAAGTTTTCTTAAAATCTGGATAATGATATAATAGTATCTCTTCGTAAATCATGTCTATTAGAATATTATGTAAATCTACCTTTAAGTTACTCATTTGTAAATTCATACATTTCAAACTCAAACTCCATATTAGAAACAGGAACTCTAGTGGGCTATACCGATTACTTTCACAATGTACCTCATCACTTGGGTTGTGGAGTTCCTTTAAATAGGGATGTTTTAGGGCTTCAGCTGCTGTGATTCTCTTCTTGTAATCAATTTCTAATAGCTTCTCTAATAGATCATATCCTTCAGGGGGTAATCCTTTCACTACTCTATCCCATGGAACTTTCTCCAAAGTACCCAATTCCTAAACAAGTTCAACTAATTTTTGTGATACAAATGTATCTTGAACTTACATTATTTTAGTCTTAGAAGGTGTTCCAACGGTTTCAAATATCATTTTAATTTATTGTTTGGCTAGTGATATGAATGAAATGGAGTTTACAATTTTGGCCTCTCCACAAAGTCTTTCCTCTAACAATTTCTGCAAAAATGCATCCGACACTCCAAATATCCACTGCTTGTGTATAGGTTTTGAGACCCAACAATAATTCAGGTGCTCGATAGTACCTGGTTTCAACATAATCTGTCATAATATTGGGATTTTGTTATTGTGTTTTGGTTGTCTGTAACAATGCTCTGGACAATCCGAAGTCACAGACCTTCAACATACAATCTTGCTTATTTAACAATAAATTTGTAGGTTTCTAATGTTTATAGTTTGAGAGTCATACCAAATCTCTATGTAAAATATTTGCAGAATGCATATATTTGAGTGCTCTAAGAATCTGATACAAAAAGAGTTTAAAGTGATCTTAATTCAATTTAGCATGTTCCTTATCAATGACTCGCTTTAGATCTGTGTCCAATAATTCAGTAACACAATATCTATGTAATTTAAGATCTACATTTTACATATCATAAAAATTCTTTCTGGATTTAGGAAGTTGTATAGTGATAAGATTAACTATCTAAATTGTTTGTTTTGATATTTACATTTTCATGTTTTAAATTTCTTAAGATTTTCAACTCTCTCAATGTTCGTTTAGCATAAAATCTATGCTCAAAAGTTCTCTCAATTTTTTTGATTGCTACCATTTTTTATTCTGGTGTTGTTGCTTTTGTATCTTCACAACCAATAACAATACCGTATGCTCCACTTCCCACTGAAAAATTAATATTTAATTTACATTATTATGTTGGCTTGTATCTCTTCTCAATAATAAATTCCGATTCATCAACTTTAAAAACATTGGCTGAATATGCCTTTTGTGCATATTGATCGTAATTATAATTTGAATCCATGAATTAATTTATTAATATAATAAAATATATCTCAATCTAATAACTAATTGGCAATCCTTTCTAATTTATCAATGGCGTCACCCGTATATTTCTTTTTATTTTTACCAGTTTCAATTATCTATTCGATAAATTTAATACTGTTAAGTTCTAACTATTAATTTTAAGTCTTGTATTCATTGGGTGATGAATAACTAAGATTTCTGATTTTACTCCATCTCTTTTATGGAAATTATTAAATTATCTTTTTCGCATCTAATTTTTTCCTCACTTCATTCAATTAAGTTTTTTTCAATTTCCTAGTCGTTTGTACTAAGTCTTAATTGCACTCATACCTTCCATCTCTAGAGAAGAAGCTTCGCTGTTTTCTTGATTCTCAACCTCAACTTTGATTTCCTCATTGTTATGTTGTACTTTATTATAAGTTTCATATTTTGTGATATATTGCTATCTCTCCTATGATCTTGCTAATTGTAATAATCAAATACTTTGACTATGATTGTTGAATTCCTCCTACATTCTAATATAGGCTTGATCAATCAAAGAGTTTATTTTATCCTTATTTTGTTCTTACTTCACATCATTGACAGTTTTTAGTAAGTGATGTTTCTGCTTTAAGCTATGCAAGAAAGACATCATAATTACCTTGAAACTGGAACTGAATCATCGAACACTTTGCCTTTATCAAACAGACCTAAATAATTTGGAGATTTTATTTAAATTGATGCCAATTAATGTCTTTTAACTGTCTGAGGTTTTTCAACAACCATTGATTTTTAAACAGGTTTTTTCCTTCTTTATTGAAAAGCTGCCTATAATTATTGATTATATCGTTGAATATTATTTCTTAACGTTAATAATTCTATTGCTCGATTTGACTTAATTTACTTGGTTTGGACTTTCTCAATTGGATTAGGCACTGAATAATTTCTAACTTATTAAATATGCTTTTCATAAGTCTTGCACTCAAAGTCTAAAAATTCGTTTAAGCTACCTATGTTCATAATAATTAATAATATATATATTTTATATATAAAATTCCAATATAATTTTGATGAATTTCCTACTCTCATTATTGGATAAGAAGTACGTAATTGTATTAATTATTAAGTTAAGTTATTCAAACATTTTATATTAAATAAAGATGATATTACTTTGATATAATATTAGATTTCTTCAATTTTTATTAAATGCTATCATAGTTTTATAATGATATAACATGCTTATGTTATTATGGCCTCATTAAGTTAATATAAAGATTAATGAATTAAATATCAAATAATGATATATGAGATTCTCATCAAATAAGACATCATATGATGATTAATAAGAAAATTTATATTATAATTAAATGCAAGCTAATTGTATTTTGAAGCCACTGTAGTTGCAACCTTAGGTAAGATCACTTATTGTAATATAGAAACCGCTGAAACCTTTGGCTGGAATGCAGCAAAATCTAAATGAGCATTTAAACAACATCAAGAACATAATTCCTTATCAATTTGTTGATAAAAGCAGTCCTCATATTACAATTTGTAAGATAAATGAATAAATTTGAGGTGGATTGACTCCTAAGATAACAGAACAATCATTAAGGCTAGTATGTGCAGAATATGGAAATGTTGTGAGTATCTCTTTACGCGCATACTATAAGGATGTTCAGGCATAGATTGTAGCGAATGTTACATATGAAAATGCCTCATCAGCTTAGCATGCTTATATGGAATTGCAAAAGAAGGTAGAAAATGGATTTCATTTTCAACTTTAGTAAAATTTTAAATTAAGTGTAGTTATGGAGGTCCATGTTATTAGAGTAAATCCAAAATAGTGAAAATAAAGTTACCTAATCCGTAGATAAGAGGAATAATAGATAAATTGGCTAGACAAGTAGTGAAGGAAGGTGCACAATTTGAGTAGATGATTAAGTAAAGGGAGATAAATAATAGCAAATATGCATTTTTATATTTGGTATTTGGTGATAGAGATGATCTTAGTAATCTGAGGAGAATGAGTATTACAAATGGAGAGTGTATTCATTTTAGAATGGTGATGATGAGAAGTAATGGAAGTAGGAACCCTATTATTTCAATTTGAATGAGCGCATTTACATTCCACCTGCAATAGAAGTAGAAGAGGCTCCTTCATTTGCCAAGAAGGAATTGGAAAAAGCTTAAAGTAAATGCAGCAGCATTATAATCATAGTTACGACAAAAAATAAGAAAGCTCAATATTATGTGTTAGAGGATCAAGATAGATTGACATTGAGTCAGATGATAAGGGAATTGAATACTTAGAAGTAATTAAACAATTTTAGGATAGACATACAATAGGAAAGGCTATGGTGTTCTGTATTGACCATCAGAACTGTCCAGCAGATCTGATGCTGATTTTAGAGGATTCACTCTTAAATGATTCTATATGGTCAATGAAAGTATTTAGAACTTATTAATGTTAGCTTGCTCGTTTGTATTTGATTTCAGATATTTTGAATAACTGCAATCAGAATTTCAAGAGCTACATTTAGTGGTGTTTACCTAAGATTTTTAGTAATTTGGATCAGTTGCTGCCTTATAAAGAGAAAGTAATGTGTTGTGTATATGATAAATAAAGATTTTGAAATTGTTGCAATGTTGGCGAGAGTAGAATTTGTTTGACCAAAAGTACTTGAAGGGATTAGAGTTGTCCTTTTTGATGAAAGAACAGTCAATCCAAATTGAGAGCATCTCCTCATAGCTTTATAAAGTCGATGGTTATTTTATTGAAGGAAAAACTCGCTCATGTTGATGATGAGACACTTGATCGTATCTGCCGAATCAAGGGACTGTGTTCTTAGGGTCCTCGAGATACCCTAATCCAACGTTTAGTTCAGCATAAGTTCTACAACCGAGCCAACCATGACGTCTCGCTTGAGCAAGTGTCCAAATTTGTTCAAGTTTATCGCTACATCGTTGAAAAGGTATTTGTGATCTATACTATCATCAAATCAAAGGATCAATAAACTATAATATCATCCTAGAAGCAATCATTTACAACATAAATTCAAATGATGCAGGAGTTTCTTAAACTCTTATAGAAGAGGTTAACATTATATTACCTTTAGATATAAAAATATTATAAGTAGAGACGGAGAGGAAATAGATGCAGTAGATGAAAGAATTTATGAGTTCAACAAACATATTGAGATCTAGAGAGCTGAGCGAAATCTCTATCTAAACATAGACGGCAAGGATCTTACTGAAGAAGACATCAGAACAATTGATGATAAGAAGGTTCAGGTTGTTACCAATTATGAGCTAACCTATCTACAACCTAAACCTCCTTTGCCTCCACCTCCGACAGATCCCATTGAAGTATTTTTTTCACTTACATTCTAGATTGAAGTCTAATAATATCGAGACATTCTCTTTCAAAGTGGTTTGTATGATCCTTTCAAAATTGAAGAATTCTCTAAATCTAAAAGAGCTCAATTGGTTAAGGCTGATTAATTGAAGAAGGAGAGGGAGAGACAATTGTTACTGAAGTAGCAATAAGAGTAGAGAGAGAGAGAAAAAGAAAGAGAGAGGGAAAGGGAAAGAGAGAGAGAGAAAGAAAGGGAAAAAGAAAGGGAAAAGGAAAGAGAAAGAGAGAAGGAACGTGAGAGAGAAAAGGAAAGAGAAAGATAACGACATCATAGTAATATATCTATATTATCATAGATCGTAATAACAAAAGAAGTAGTTCAAGTTCTGGATCAGATAAAAGGAATTAGAAGAAAAGGTTTGATGGAAAATATGATCAAAAATATGATTAGAAATATGATTAGAAACATTATAAGAGAAGATCCAGATCAAGAAGCAATTCAAGAAAAAAGAAAGCTCAAAACAAAAAGAGATGAGTAAAATATAATAAAGCATAAAAAATATAATTACAAAATATATTTGTTCATCAAACCATTAAAGAATTTTGAATTTGTTTTAGAATAGTTGACTCTTGGTAAACGAATAGATGGTCGAGATCCCTTACAATTAAGAATGATCTAATCTCATTTTGGACCTTAGATTACAGGGGCTGTTGAATTAAGTCTGGGTGAAACAAGTGTATCAAGAATGTTAGAAATTAATTAAGGTCACCCAATCCAATAAGACCATCAGAAGGATTCCTTAAATTTCATCTGGATTTATAGGTATTGAGAGATACCGGTTATATGCATAATCCAATTAAATTGGACATGGAAATAGAAAAATACATTGAAAAAGTAATCAAAGGATCCAAGTATCGAATTAATTATATTAAGAGCTCTTGATACTGAATCTTTATGTATTTTGTCTGGCAAAAATGTTTGGTCAATAGATGTTAATGTAGCCTTAATTAATAATGATGGGAATCTCTTAGATGCCATGTATCTCTGCTGTATTTTCTCTTAACAACATTTTCGAAGACCTTAAGTGAGTGTTTCCCTTTAAGGTGTAAAAGTGGAAGTTGAAAAGAGATTGGTACCTTTGAGTATTCATCACATTCCTCTAAGTCTCACTTAAGCAATATTGGAATTGAATGAATAAACCATTCTCTTATAAGACTCATGTGTAAGTTCTTGTATCAATCATTTAGTTGGAAGAGGAAGATTCAGAATGGAAGAATCACTTATGGTGTAAACATTTATAATGATATATGCCATGTGCATAAACCTGGAGGATCTCCTATCAACATTTTGATATTGCAATAATTGACAACAGTCACATTGATGAAATCGAAACCATACACAGAAGAAATAAGAAATCTCCTGATTAACACTAAGGGTCTCCCAATAGAGAAGACAGTTACTCTCTTCAAATTTGAATTACCTAAATAGTCAAGTGATGCCATACCATATAGGTTGATTAATTAGAGTAATTGTATAATTAATGAGTGATTGTTCTTTTTGCTTATATAATAATAATGAATAATTTAAAATTGAATTCCTAAATGAAATTTTAAAAGTATTTTATTCTCTATTTTATTATGTAAGAAGACACTGTATTATGTTAGCATTTATAAATAGAATATATGTACAGTGTTATTGATTGATTTATAAATATAATGTTTGATATGAGACCCTAAGATGATCAATATTTTCGCAAGCTTCATGATACTTAAGAAATAAAAATAATAAAAGATGAAATACCAATAAAAAGCATCAAATTTAGTCTAATTACTTTATTATTAAAAAGATAACAAACATAACCAATCAAAACTCTAACTTTCTTATATACTCAAAATTCTCTTTCAAAAATTACTATTAAAATTTATCAGACCATTTCAGTTCTTTAGCCATAATTTAAAACACCTTTTCATACACTGTAAAAATGGCATTCTAATCTAAAAACCCTAATCTTGTCCTCCTAAATAAAATATCTTCTGGTTTTCTAGCTTATTCATATCTAATCTAGTATAAGATTTCTCCAACTGTGTGAGGGAATTATGGATGTAAACTTTCTTTATTTTCTGGTTTTTCATAAATTAGCTTTAAAACATCATATGCTCTATCTCCATATGTAGTTAAGAAATATGCTGCATAAGATTAAGGTAAGTCAAACATTTTCATCATAATTTAGATTTCTTTTCTGTGATCAAATTATGTCCAATCCCCAACTAACTTTGGCAAGTTCTCTATTCTTTTTTAGTTTTTCCCTATTAACTACTAAACCTTATCTACTGCTTACTCGCCCATCAATCTAAAGATGGTCCATTTACCCCCCATTACTGATATTAAGCCACTCTTTGATACTTCTATTTGATGAGTTCTTGAGACCTCCTTAGTACTAAGAGCATCGCTTTAATATACTAAGGGTCTCACTCCACACCATTTAGATTTTACATCTCTAGCGGCTTCGCTTGCATCAACAGTAAATTCATCGCAAAATGATTTCAACAACCACATATATTCCTCATGACTTACAGTAGGATCATGAGTAGGGCTCTCTAACTTTCGTTCTGTGGTACCCATGATCATATTTCCTTACCAAGGTATCATGTATAGAACTCTGCCATCACTAGTTTTTGGTATCAAATATCCCCAATGACGAGATCCGTATTTTTGGGGCAAAGTTATATGACTACCTGCGACTGAGACTATTCTCTTACTAACAGTTGGATCATCCATCAAACGTAAATTGTCAGCCCATCCACCAGTTGCATTTACAACGCATTTACCTTTGATTTTAATTTGTTTCTACCCAATCTTATCGAATGCTTAAACTCCTGTGATTTTATTTTACTCATCTTTTAATAATCCTTTAACCTCAACATAATTGGCCATGTTCTATCCTATTCAAATAATTCACTAATGTACCTTTGAGACTAGATGTAACAAGTAATTCTTAAACCATCCTGGCGTCATTGAATTATCCATCATAGTATATTACACCATAATTACATTTAGCAAATTTAAAGTGCGATTAAATTTCTTCTTTGCCAACTATTCTTGGAGGCTTAAACGTGTGTCCTCCTGTCTAGTAGTACAAGTAAACACAATGATATACCAAGGACCCCAAATAATAATAGCCCAAATCAAATAAATTATTGCATGGTATTAAAGTTGGGAAATCCTAGGTTAAATAAGAGCACATTGATAAAAAATTAGATCTCTCTCTTAATGATTCTGACACCAAATCCCATTTTTCTATTCTGTTTTTTTCGGACAATTGAAATATTTGTTGCATGTACCTTACACCTCCATGTACTAATTTCGTCGATTTGCTAGATGCACCACTGGCATAATCTTGTGACTCCAAAACTATCGATTTCAATCCCCTGTTGGCACAAGCAAGAGATACACCTGCCCCAGTAGCTCCTCCTCCGACTATAATGACGTCGTATTCACTTTATAGTGCGTCAGCTAAATGCTCCTCTCTGCTCTTCAATTTATAATAGATTTGTTGGGAATCTCCAGCACTCTACAACTATATTTTTCGTTGAGTCAATAACGAAGCTACTGTAACAAAGGCCACTTTATTCATAAATATTATTTTAATAATAGATTTTTTAAATTCAAAAATAACCAAAAATAATCCAATTAATTCTAATCTCATAAATTTATGAATTCACTATTACTTCAATTCTAATTACAATTACACTATTTAATTATCATTCTAATATAGATACATAATTTTATATAATTAAAAATAGTTAAATTCACTTTCGTTAAATTGATATAGATCAAAAACTATTCCATATAAATGTATATCATTTTTTATTAAATGTTTAATAATTCATTTCTATGTTTAAATCCTTTGCATTTTATTAACTGTTATCTTAGATATACTTTTTTTTACAGAGTAATCGAAGAATAAGAATTATGATTGAAAGCAATATAAACAATGCAATTATATAGTATATTATCTGAATCCCTCCCTCTTAAATTTACCTATCTTCTAGAATCAATTCAGTAGTAGGAAAAGGATATGTGAGTTCATATTATTGAATCCCATAATCTATTTCTACTTTGCCAACTATACTTAGATAAATTTTAGATGAATCTGCAATCATTTTTACCTAAGTTGTCTGTTCTTAAGATGATTATTGTACAATTTTAAGATATTGTTAATCGTTAGTTGTTCCATTTTGGTATGAATCATAAATACAAAACATCTCATCTTGTTAGTATGTTTAAACAATAAAGTAGATTGTAAATTTATCTTAGATTTAAAATTATTAATCTTTTATTAAGTTTGGAATCTCAATAATTACTTCATTTGATACAAAATTCCAATTCAAGGAAGCATTCCCAAACCCAAAGGCTGTATAAGGTATTGGGTCAATTCTACGAAATATCTAGTGTCTAATATAAAAATTGGATATTCGATTCTGATTTTCATCTTTGACTTAACTCGAAATCAATTTAACTAAGAAATAATAGATTCCTCCTTCTAGATAAAGGTTAGCATTGAAATATTATTATGGTTTACTCATTACTTGCATTTCAAAAATCTGTTTATTCAAATTAGAGGAATGTTATGTTCCTTGAATTAAAACAGTGCCTCTGCAGGTGAATACTTCTATTTGCAACGTAGCATTACTATCGACAAATATTTGGTAAAAGTTAGGCTATCCTACTTTAGTGATTTAATATTATGGAACGCCTTCCATCAAGCTATTGATATCATCATCTGATAAGAGTACCCTTAGGTGTGAATCGTGTGGTTATGGAGCAATATTTAGATCATACTTACCAAATGCTTCATATAATTTATAATAGATTCCTCTCTTAAATTTTATTACAGATTGCACTATTGGGTTTACACTTGAATGATTAATTGAAATGTTATATTGTTCAATAGGGAAGAAGGGAGTCGAAATTTACAATGTTAGCAACTTTGAAGATGAATTTGCATCGTATAATGTCGATAAAGATTAATAGCGTAATTGATATTATTCTTACATACCCAATTATAGATTTAATATCTTACCCAAAAAAAGAGTATGTATTTTTTAAGTCTTTCGGCTTATTAATATTTAAAAACTTACTTTAGGTGTCAGACATTCAATTTTTATAAAAAATGTTTCAAATTTATCTGCATACTTATTAAATTCAATAGTTGTCCTACTTTAAACGATTTCTACATATTCCGAATAATTATTATGATTTTCTTTAACAGTAACTTAAAATTACCCAAAAATATCACTGAACTTGATAAAAAATTATTTTTAAGATTTAAATATGTATTCGACAATCTCGTTTTATTTCATGACTTCAAATTGAGGTATATTTTCATATAACTCATATAACTAATTTACTTATTAATTTTGTTAGATTTAAACAGCTCCTTAAGTCAGTTAGTCCAAATTAATAAGCTTAATTAGATATTAACATTATTCTTAAGAACAAGCATCAAATTTATACAATTTATATTCTTAAACAATATCATCCAAAATGAAGGATCCTGTAAAGTCAAGTGTGTGTATTCGAGTATGGAAAAGCTAAACTCTGATTTAGAGTCTGCCAGTAAACAATGCTAGTGTAATTTTAAATGCCGACAGTTGTTTATAGAGATATATAGTTGGGAGACCTGCTTCTGATATGTCTAGAGGGAGAATTCCAGACGGAAAGAGTACAAATTCTATGGTTTCTGCTTAATAACTTAATTGAAATTCGCAATCCTCTTCCCCCTGTATGCCTATTATATAGTAATCTTATGCAAAATAGTTTTATTTAGCTTGAAAGATATAGAATTAATCAATCAATAATTATATTTATATGGAGTTATTTAAAATGTTTGGTCTACTATTCTTATCTTATTGGAAAAGCACCACTATGGAATTTTGTCTTCCTAATACTTGAACTTTAATAATTATTGATTTGACGTTCTAATCTATCTTCAACATATAGTATTTTATTTATCCTAATCCCACTTTATCTTGTATTTTATCTATTGGAGTTATAGTCTTAACTGTTTCATAAACTCCAATTGAATATTTATCATCTTCAATATGCTTATCGTAGGGTTGAACTTAAATATACAAAATATATTCTTGGTTATTCTCTGGAATTATGATTGTTTGATACGAATTACTATTATATTATTAAGATCTAAACTATTCTTATTAGTAGATGGAGTTATTGAGGTAGCCCAAATAAGCTAGTAACTCGGCCTGACTACCGCCATAGGAGAACCATTATACTGACACTTCCTTTTCACTTAAGATATAATAGAACAGCATTTGTTATTTGAAGTTTAGAATCAAAGGACATCCTTCATGCAATTAGATCTTATGATATAGGTATTGAGAAGTGATAGTGTAGAAGAGGAGTCCCTTCGCTGAAGTAACAGACATATATATAAAACATTTGGACTTTTTCAGATCTTAACAACTACGACATCTTAGTTCTTATTGAGGTATTGTCAAAGTTGAATCAGTAAAAACATAAGTGTTTAAGTTCTCTTTTGGATATGTATTGGTTTGATTTAAAGATATATAGATGATCAAATTATTTATTTCGTTGTCTATGTAAATATCCTTAGTGAAAAGTTAGTCTCTCTCCGACATCGGCAATTTATAATACTTAACTTAATTTTCATTTACAGAATCAATTATCTTTTCACCAAAATCATAATATTGAATTTTTTAATGTAATGTGTACTCTATTACAAATTCTCCTTCAGAATTCAAACGTTAAACACCTATATAATAAGTACTTGCCTAATTATCCTTGTCTATATTTATGTCAATTTGTATAGAGTCCTTCCATTCAAATGAATTACTATCTGGTATCTCAGCTTTGGATGATTTTGCTTTTACATACATCATGAAATCACCCATATTACTTGATAGATAAATAGAGAAGTTGGCTTAAATTTCCAATTAAATTTTAAAGAAACTATAGAGTTCTTATTATTAATGCAAATGAAAAATTCCGTTTGATAATTAAATGAATTGAGTTTGTTGAATAGTCTATTTTCTTTCCACTGTTACATTTATGTGGTATTTACAGAAAGATATTCCATATACGCTCAAAAAATGGGCTGAAGTTTGGTTAGTTGTTATTTGATGATTGCCTTCAAATTCATAATCCCTCTAACTGGGAAATTTGTTTTATGAACTTGCGTAGAGTATGCAGTTACCAGTTATTTAGCTTAATTGAAATTTTATCTTTTTTATATTTGTTAAATCAGATGTGTTATAGATATAGTAGATCGATGATCCTTGATCCACTTGAAATAAATCATAATGACCTTCTTTTAATTTGATATGAGATTGTTGGTTAAATATTATTATTCTAAAGAATTATTTAAATTCACTTAATAAACCTAGCACATAATAACCGAATAGATTAACAGAGTTCCTAAATGTATAGGTTTCTTTTTCGATAAATATTCCATATTGTGTATTTTTATAATCAAGCTATGTAATGAAGCATTGCTCCCTAGAACACTTTTTAAGATATTTTAATGTTGTATCTGCTTAAATTTCTATAGTAATCTCCTCTTGAAAATAAGTTGGTTGTAGCTTGAACTAATAAATCTCTTTAGGTTACAATTCTCCACTTTATTTAATCAAAGTATAATTACATCAGAGGAAGGTTGTATTCTAAAGAATGAATTCCATCCAAAGGATAAACTATAAATTCGTAGTTGGAAGATGATTCTGAAAGAATTGCTATATAGAAAAGAAGATCTGAACACTCTCTAAAATTTCTTTCTAAATATGAGATATTTAGTTAAAAAGTGTATTCGAATTGCCATTAATATTAATCTAAGAATGTTGGGTGTCTATTGAAAATCAATAAGATTTTTACGTGTCACAATTAATATAGACTTTTAGGGTCTCCTAATGTGAAAATAGAGATAAGGCTAGTTATTGATGCTTCAAATCATCTCTATTGGCAACCTTCAATCTATATACCTTATTAGCAAATTGAAATGTGTTGTCTTGAACAATTTCATTTAAGTTGATTTCCCTCACTCACACAATAATAATATAGGATTACATGTTTCTTGAGTGAATATCACACAAATCATCATCAACATAATCATGTTAATTTTAATAAATTAAAAGGTTTTTGTACGAGATGATTTGCAAATGTAATGATATGCTCCTAACTAATGCTAGTCTTGCGAAAGATAGATATGTTTGGCCAGCCAGTCTCACTTAAATTTAATGGTCATTCTAAGCACCAGACTGAAGTAGGGGGCATCGCTTCTATTGCTACTATAACAGTAGTATTTCTCTTCTTCTCTTCGAATATACTCAGCTTTATTAATAAAGGCGAATTGTCAGCAATAGTTGTGAATAATTTCGAGGAAACCCCTGAGATTATATCACTTACTGGTGAAAGAACATTTGCAGTCGGCTTTGATAATATCACTTAGGCATAGTACTTCAATATTACTTTACAATAAATGTATGATAGACCTTAATATCTACTTAGAACAATCGAAAATCAAATTGTTACAAATGCAACTCTAATTCCCATTGGAAAATGTTTACCTGAGCATTTTTAATTAGCAAATGGGAATACTCTCTAAAATTACTTGAAAGATCACTTTTTCTGTTTGGAGTACTTATTTAAGTAATAAAATTAGATAAAATTAACAATTATACTTCGGATAAAATCAGTCTAGTAAATTATATTATTTAATTTAAGAAAAGTATGAAGTTCATTTAATAATATCAAAATGTTAAAATAATTAATCAGTTTGTATTCCTGATCAATAATTAGATGGTTAAGTTTTTAATGTTTAGTTGATATTCCAAAATCAAGTAAGAACGCCTTTATTCTTAGGTTGTCAATCCAATGGATGTCTCAGAATAATACATTTAAACCTATTTAGATGACACTTACTCAATCAAATTCGTACCCAACACATTATCAAAAGAGCAGGAACTTCTAATCACATAGTATGATCTGAATAATGACGACAGTCTCATCTATTAGAATGTCCATAAAAGCTAGGCTTATGCAGTAGATTCCAGAGATTCCAAATAAATTGTTAACATTGACAACGATGTCTATGCCTCATTCATATTCAAAAAGAATAAACTCAAATACACAGTCAATAGATCATACTAAAAAATTACTGATCTACTTGCTCGTTTAGGAGGATTCCTTAAGATTTCTTTCTTCATTTTGGGATTTGTTATTCAAATCTATAATAGATTGTAATGTATACTTGTGACATGATTAATTAGTGTATCTCATTTTAGCGAATAAGATCTATGAATTTTCATTTGATTCTGTCAAAGAGAGAGAATTTCAAGAAAAGTAATTTGAAGCCTTGAACTCTGCCATTCAATCCAAAATGTCTAAGACCAACATCCAAAACATCAATGAAGAAGGCAGTTAACAAAAATTGCCAATCAGTCGAGTAATGCAGAAAAGCAATTCTATCAAATCAAAATAGAATTCATATTCTCTTCTCCCCTTCTCCAGTTAGCATATACCTGTTTATAGTAATGAAACCAATAAAAAATAAATTATCACTGAGGAGGAATGCATCATTTCAGCAAATCTCATTGATCACCATATCCATTTGGCTAAGAAATTCAACTGTTTAAGTGGTTTGGATTATTTCCAAAAATAAATTAATTAAATAATCAATAGATCTCAACCTTTAAACTTAACAATTAGGATCTTCTTGAATCATTTATGTTGCTCAAAATTATTTAATTCAAACATAAATGTAAAATTATATAGAAAATCTATGAAAGAAATTTCTAATCATCTTGATGTCTATTATATTCTATAGAAATTAGAAGAATTAAATAAACTTAAGACTATTTTACTTAGTCCTTAATAACTCTTAGTATTTAATTTTACTCCCAAATAAATGATTGCTCCTGATAAAACTGAATTAAAATTCAACAGAAATTTCTTAGAGGAAAAAGCCAGAATCAGACATACTACTCTTTTTAGTGAACCCCAAAATTCTATTACTGCTGCAGTTCTTCAACACAAAAAGAGACCCAGTCAAGAAAATGAGAATCTAATTTACTAACGGATTTATAATGCATATGATGATATTTTGAAATAATATGAAGGCGAAAGCCCCAAATAGGATCAAGATATTAATAAATAGTTAATTGAAAAATTGGGTGCAGAACTCAAATCAATCTTTAGAGCATCCAAAATGATAGACTTCCAGTAACTTCAATCCTCAAAACAACCGAGAAAAGTTAATAGAAGACATGCATAAATTGATAACGAAATTCAAGTAACTAAAATGATGTAGTAGTTTTATTAATAATGATAATTTTTGAGTCTTTCTATAAATAAATTATTTACCTTAATACTTAAGAGTTAGATTTAAATAAATCTTTAAAATTGATAACAATTTAATTTAAACTTTTCTAATTGACTTTCTTAAAATTTAATAGTGGAGAGTATCCAAAGAATCTAAATCATTTTTCTGAAGAATAGAGTGATATTCAAAATAGAAATCTTTAATTTATTTGGTTTTAATTTTTCATAATATGAAATTTAACTCTCTTTTAGACAGTCCCTTCCAAATTTTATTGAAAAAAAGAAATATAAATTCTATTCCACTACTCCACCCCACCAAGCAATTTTCATTTATATAACAAATACTAAACTTTTCTCTATTAAATTATCGAATTTTTTGAGCTTCTTAAATATTTTCAATTGTTCACTTAATGTATCCCCTCTGCTTTTCAATAATTAGTCATTTTTATAGTAATACACTATAAAATTATTAAATAAAAGACTTTTATAGGAGAGAAAAAAGAAGTTTAACCAATATACTCTAAAAAAGAGCATTTAAAAAAACTACAGATTACTATGATCTGAACATTTCTTCATAAATACCTTAACTTCATTTATAATTCAGATTTGATGTATTCAATTTCAAATATTCATCTATCTATACTGTTAAAAACTAAAAATAAAATGAAAATCTAATTTTTGCACATCCGGCTTCAAAAGATGTTCTAATATTATTATTGACATATCTGAGATATGAGGAGGACAATAATGTAGTTACAACATAATTACAGACAATCCAAACGCTAATTAAATAACTCTTAACATAAGATTACAGATATCAACTTTAACATCTACTGCTTTTAAAGATGAGCCAGGAACTTTTTGATAATAAAACCTATTTCAATATCAACTAAATGATCTTGAGCGACTAAAAGGGAATTTAAGTTAATATATGATATACTATAATTGGTCCATTCAGACAACAATAACTAAAAAATATACTAATTGAAGCAAGGTAATCATGCTAATAATAGATTCAGCAATGTGGCATTTTTAACTATGCAATTTTTGGTCAAGAACGTTTGCTTTCTGTCATGATATAACATTAGACAAATAAGGGGCTCCAGATTAATGTTCTAACATTAAAATTAATGGGCAATAACTGTACCTGTTGGAAATACGACTTGCAAAGTCAAATAGAACAAGAAAAAAGATCGAAACCGAAATGGTAGAGCTTAGAGTTCTTGAAGTCGTAGGAGCATAAAATAGTTAAAATGCAGTCTTGGATTCGTGGGTGGTAAGCGCGTTAACGAGTTTGGAAGATTCAATTGCAGAAATACAACGACAGCGTCAATGAATAGTTGAGAACGTAGCCTCACTTTTAACAGTAGATATTCCGTCAGCGTGATCAATGTGGGATCAAAACAACTACCTCCATTTGATTTTGGAATTGACGATATTAATGATTCTCTAGTTCATTAAAAAGTACTCAAAGCACCAATGAAATTAGAAAACGGGGCCACCTATTTTGGGGAATGGATCAATGAGTTAAGACATGGCAAAGGAATCCTGATCTGTGATGTAAATTCCATTTAATTATAATAGGATGGTTCAAAATATGAAGGCTATTTTTACCAAGGAAATGCCCATGGGAGAGGCAGGTTAATACATTCCAATGGGGAAATATATGAGGGACTATGGGAAAATGATGAGGCACATGGTTTAGGAACATACATTCACGAAGACGGAGCAACTTATGTAGGATAGTGGGAACACGATTTATAACAAGGAAAGGGAAGTGAGAAATGGCCAGATGGAAGGTTAGGTTCACTTTTAACTTTAGTTATTTTGAGGGAGCTTATAAGCAAGGGAAAAAGGAGGGATTGGGAAAGTTTGTTTGGGCAGACGGAGCAATCTACGATGGAGAATTCAGAAGCAATAATATAGATGGGTATGGAAAATACTCTTGGCCAGATGGAAAGTAATATATTGGTTATTGGTAAAATAACAAAAAGTAATTTAAATAGTAAATTAATAGAAATGGCAAAGGGAAGTACATCTGGCCTGATGGAAAGGTTTATGATGGAGATTTTGTGTTTGATTAAAAGCATGGTTAGGGAATATTGAGATTCCCAGATGGAAGAGCATATGAAGGAGAATGGTAATAAGATAAACAACATGGAAGAGCCATATTAAAATTGCCTAATGGCAAAACATCCTTTGGAGAATGGAAGAATGGTATACGTATCAATTGAAATACTTTTAATCATTGGTTAAAAATTATTCCCAAGTTTATCTTCTCAATTAAGAAATGTTTGGCCTTGGTGTGCTTGCCATTCTTGATTAAATATTAGATCTATAATCGTCTTCCTTGTATAATTATTAATACACAAGCTTTTTATTCTTAATAACATCTTCAACAATTTGAAGTGGACTTCGTATATTAAAGGTATTCCTTCTTGCTGATCTCACCCTTTTTACTTAATATGTGAGATCTCTCTTTCTTACATATTTCATGTCTATGATTAAGTTCTCATCCTGAGATACTTATTTTTATTGTCTATCTGATCTCACTTATTCTTTTTATAGACAAATATTTTTCAATTGATCATATAAATGCATTTCATTTGTTGTTTGCAATCTCTAAATCAAACAACTTAATTAAATTTTAAGAGCTACTCCATTCTCAGAGTTGCAAAATACACTTTATTATCTCTTATCAATACTATTGAAACTCTCAAGGTCACCAAATATCTGCCCTTTTTATAACAAAGCTATTTGAGAAGTCTGCTTTTTTGGGCTGTAAAATCCGTCATTGCTTTAACAAATCACAAATTCACCACTCTAGACTAAATAAATCTCTTGTTTGCTTAATTGTCCCTAATAATAAACAGCTTGTCTAAATTGATAATGCGAACTCTAAAAAGCTAAAAACAAGATATCTAATAATTTCGGGGATATCTAGTGTTATTTTAAGCAAGAGTGAAAGTCCTTTATTTATTGTCTTAGTTTATTTTCTTATGCCTTTTAAAGGACCTCTTTGTAATCCTTTTTACTAAGAACTGCTAGTATGCATTCGCTATCACAAATTATACTGGCAGATCTAACATTATCATTCAAAAATGCAAGTTCTCCAAAGCTCTACCCCATGGAAATTTTCTTTATAAAAAATGATCTCTCTTATAAAAACACTGAATTTACCTCCTCTTTATTTTTTCTGTCTTACTCAATTCCAATTCTTTATGTTCGACTAATGGGGTCTTCAATATATAGACTGAAACACCTCCGCTTAATATAATATAAAAAGATTATGGTTTATCTCCTTACTCGAAAACAACGTCATCCTAAATATAGCCTGATACATACTTCATCAAACATTTCTATACACATTCTCTTTAAGCACTCTTTAAGCATCAATTCCCCCTACTCATTATAAACTTATTAGAAGAATTCGATGTCTTTAGTAGCGGCTTAAATAATCTATTAATCTAACAAAAATTCACCTAGATATCTTCTAATTTTCTTTATTCAGGATTTTTCTATAGAATTTCTATGCAGATTGGCATCAGTTACTCTTTTGACAATCCATTAATTAATGAAACAATGTCAGATTTTTTTCTTTTATTTTCGATAAATTGTTTATTTGGAGATGTAATCATAAAATAAAAATAAATATTTTATAATCTTTACACGTTCAGATCATTCTTAACAGCCCTTTTAAATGCTTAAAACACAACAAATTATATAAAATTTCTCGTCTTGTTTTTTTAATAATTTCACTAATTAAATAAATTTTCACTTAATTTTAGACAATTATAGAGCTGTTGAAAATTTCTCTATTCAAGACTTTCTTATACTCAGCTTTCATAATAGAAATGATGTGTTAATAAAATGTAAAATCTCTTGATACAAAATAAAATTGTGATTTTAAATTATATAATCAAATAGTAATTTGCACAAATTCTCTATCTTAAATGTAATCAATCAATAGTTCCTCTGCCATTAAATGTTTTATGATGTTGTACAATAGATTAAAGCTTTTCATACTTCTCTGAAGGGGCCAATCTCATAAAACCACCCATTTGATTTGGCATTTCTCCATATCTTCTAATATGCTGTCCATTTAAAATATAATTAAGATCTCTTTGTAATTATAATTTAGAATTGTTTTGAGGTTTATTACTTTGTTCCTCTTATATTCGTCTTTCTAAGACTTCGCATAATCTTTATCTATCATATTTTGGAGTATCTAGTAAATCAAAAATGTCGTCAATCAATTATTATTTTATTAATTCGTCTAATAAATAATCTCTCTCCAATGATGGCGAAGCATTCACTTCCAAAAGCCAACACTTTAGGTTAGTATCAATAATTATATCATAGCCAAATAATTCAAAACTATTAGGGTTATTTGGTATTTCTATCTAACAAGCCACTAATGATTTGAGTATTATGTCTTAAACCTACTCCCAAATTTGATTCCAATTTATATTTTTTGCTTCTAATTTCTCCTTTAATTGCTTTAGTGAAATCTTGCAACCTCCTAATTATTATTCTAAATCCTAAATTTATACATGAGTCTTTTAGACTGCAAAATTTGTCAAATGGATTAATTAGTTTTTAAGATCATTTATTTCTAAACTAAACTATTAAGTTGTTAGACGAGCAAACCCTTCCTTATATAAATAGACTTCCAATGGATTAAATGAAGTAACCAACACATAAATTCTCATATCAAATTTACGTCCATTCAACAATAGAGGATTTTTCAAATATTTTTATAATACCACAGGTTCAGCATACATTACTTCAGATATGTCATTGAGCACTGTTATTCCTCTTCCTCTGGATTTCCCTGTTGGTTTCATAATCCAAATATTTTATTGACCCTCTGTTTCAGAATCCTTATAGAACTTTTCCATGAACTAAACATACTCTTTCGGCAATAGATAAGTAGCAGGAATAATGTCAAAAGTTTAATATGCCTTTCCTCCTTGTCGCTAGCATCTTTCTATATTCTTTTTTAATAAATCTTTTCTTCCAAGATTTTTATTAAATGGAAAATGGTTTACTTTCTAAAAGTAGAACAATTTATTCAAGTCAATTTATGGTTTAGACCAGGTCCACAATATATTCCAAGAAGTTCGAAGACCAATTCCATGCGGTAATTCACTCCATCCTTGCTTTCTCATAAATGATCTAGTAATGATATCTATATTATCAAATTTGTATACCATATACCTCTTCTTTTGTTTTCACTACTCTAAAGTATCGTTCGTCTTTCCCTGATAGTGCACCGTCATTTTAAAGTCGTTTATTGAAAACCATTTGTCTTTAAATATACTGTTGCATATCCACACCTGTAGTAGTTGAAAATTAAATCAAACGTTATGGATCGTTAATATAGACTAATTCATTTGGATTTATAACTAAGGAACTAGATTTATACTTGCCTAAAAGTGAATCAACATTGTCAACCTTTTCAATATGTTGACTAAAAACACTATGAATCTCTTTCATAATCTCAAGATGATTATAATGAGATTAATTATTAAAGAATCCACTGAATAAGTTTTAAAATGCAGGAACTATGTCTGAATAATCTACTAATTTTTTATCATCAATAAATTTAAGCATTCTTTAAATTTATTTTGATTAGATAGTTTTAGTTTTATTATCTTATTATTTTAAGATTTATTTTTATTATTGCTACTATTATTATTATTATTATTATTATTATTATTATTATTATTATTACTATTATTATTATTATTGCTACTATTATTATTACTATTATTATTATTACTATTATTATTATTATTGCTACTATTATTATTACTACTATTGATGCTATTATTATTACTACTATTATTTATCTTTAAATTCATCTAAGCCCATCTATTTACAAAGATTATTTATTTCCTCTAATTTTTCTTGATCAGTTAAGGCTGGCTTTTACTTAATCTCTATCACACCTTTATATTTAGGCTAATCTACTCTCCCAATAACCTTACCAACCAATTCTTTAAGAGGTTTGTGCTTAATTGGCACAGAAGCCTCATTATCACTTTCTACTTCAATAAAATCTTCAATTATTTCTAAATAATATTAATAATATTACCTTCATCTCCCTTAATTTATTCTACAACCTTATAATTGGATTAGGTGTTAGGAATTTTTTAAATTTATTATTTTTGAGGCACACTTTTATTTATCTTTTCGTTCTGTTTTAATTTCTAATCTTTTTATTACACTGATTAAACCGGCTTTATAGACTTTTTAACCATTTACTATTATTCATGCTTAGTAAATTGTTCCTAAGTTTGAGGGATAACTTATTAATTGTTATTTGAATTTTAATTTTAAATTCTTTTACCATCATCTTTTTATCTTACTTCATCATCTGACTAAAAGCTATCCTCGTTATAATAATCTTAAGAATCTCCATTATTCTTAATTTAATCCTCTGAATTTGGTTTAAAATTTTATTCAAATATTTAGCTATTTTTTTCCTCTAACTTTTTTTTTTAGGCTTCAATTTAATATTATGTCTATTTTTGAGTATTAATAACAGCATCTAAGTCTTCTTAGGTCTTCTTAGTTTAATGAGATTAAATGCTCGTCCTTTTTTAAGCATTTATTTCTTTATTTTAGGTTAGACTATTTTTGCTTGAATCTGGCAAATTAGTTTGAATTAAGGTTTAAGTAGTATTATTTTATTCAATCTAAGTAATTTATTATTGTGATTTGTTTTATTGACATTTTATCCTTTCCTAAGATTAATTTTTAGTAATGAAAGTTATTTTTTATGATTAATCATTATTAGCATCATCTATTATATCTAAGGGATCAGATTTGTGTTATAATTCTTTATATTCTCTTACATCATTATTAGAATTTGTATTTTGGCTCACTTGATCTTATTGAATATTAACATTAGTATTATATTATTAATTTTCCAAGAACTCATTCTCTTCTAATAATTTAGATTTATCTTGATAATCAATTTATTATTTTTTAGCTGATTTTTAAGACACTTAAGAATTATTATTTGTTTATTATTTTACATTGTGGAATTCTTTTATTTATTAGCTTTCTTTGTACCCTTCCTCATTCTAACTTATATTTTTATTTTCAATCGCACTTTTAAAGATATCGGGGGTTTATGAATGTAAATTTGATGCTTCAAGCCTCTATTATGTTGATTATTTAGGGATGTTCTTTTGAAGATTGATTTCAGGTAAATGATCTTAGGAGGATTTATTATTTTCTAATTTGGTTTTCTTCTTTTTCTTCTTCCTTAATAATTTCTCTTGTTTAATTTTTTCAACAGTAGATAACTATGGTTTTGGAGGTGGAGGTACATACCTATGGTTGATAGCTGCTCCGATAATAAATTATTGATTTGTAACTTCTGTCTTTTTTAGCACTTCCTTCATCATTTCCAACATTTGATTGGGCTTCTTGGCTTATAATCGAGTGTTAGCATTGCTGCTTCTGGTTACAGTGCTTAAAGACATAGCATCAGATTAGCAGGATTTCTATTGTGAAACTTTCTAACAACTCTATTAATATAACTATTTAGATTGCTACGGTTGCTGTTCTTATTTTGATTATTCATATCTTGGAAGTGGTGGTTTAGAATACTATTAATCCAAATAATTTGCAGGTCTCGATTTAATATCGTTTAATATAGATTAAAGCGCATTGTTCTGATAGATAGGTTATTAAATAAAGTCCTGAAATTAAATGTTAGATGCAAAGTTTTGAATAGTCAATCTTTCTTTAAGTTCTACATCTATCAAATCGAGTATTTTTTTTGCCTTTTTATTCCACTAGACATCATCTGTGTTTTGTGACCTAATATTAGTCTATATCTCTTCCAATTTCTCTACATCCAAATCATATATCTCTTCATATCGTATTAATGATGGAAGTTATTGCATTAATTAAATTTATAATAAATTTATTTTAAACAAAATGCTTCAAATGTCTTGTAAATAATTAACCTAATCTGAGAATTAATAAGAGTAAATATATAGATTTATATGATAATGCTATTTTTTAACAGTATCTATTTAAATATATGGTTTGAAATGTATAATTACATTAAAAAAAATGAGTATTCATATTAAATTACAAAGGTTCTATTTGATCCTTAGAAATTTAATTCTGTTTATTTATAGATGATTTAGAACAAAAAGTGATGGAAATTTGATGTTTAATGTGAGTTTTTATTAAGAAAACAATATGTGTAATTGATTTCAAATTAAAGTTCATGAATAAGAATATTTATAAAATACTCAGTTATCAAATATGAAAACGGATTAATAAAAATATTATAATGAAAAAGCTTAGTCTTTTATTATTGGCACTCATTTTTGTCAATGCCATTGATCCTAGCATGGTTTAATTAGGGGCATAAAAGTTAGATGAATTGAATTCAAGCAATTTGGGCAAAATGATTTTAGAATTGGCATAAACTCATGCAGAAATGAGAGGACCCTTGGGTAATGTTCATTAATTGTATTAGGAAATTAGACGATTTAGTGACAGCAATCGGTGATTTGGAAAATGAATTAACTGCTGAATTACAATAATTAGATGATGATTACACCAGATCAACCAATTAACATGCTGCTACACAAGAGAACTTAGATATTCAAATCGGACAAACAGAAATTAATATCTTTAATCAAAAAGACTTTATTGATGCAATTCTTATACCAAGCATTGATCAAACAAATTAAAAGATTGATAGATTGAATGGATACATAAATGACAATAGAGATAATTTATCAAAAGAAACGTTAAGTAGATAAAAACAACATCAACAATTTTTAGATAGAGGTAAAAATACATCCTAATCTTCAAAGTAAGTGAACATCAAAGTGCCATAAGCGCAGTTGATGAGGCTATTTAATTGATTAATGCTCTCATAAATGGAAACATTTCATTTGCTGAAAAGGGAACCATTAATCAAGCTATCGAAAGAATCAATACTAAAACACAAAAGACCAATACAGTTCATCCTATAGTTGAGGCACTCATGTCATTAACTTAAAACTTTTCAGATTAAGAATAAGCTAAAAAAATCAGAGACTTATTGTCAGATACAAGAAACCAATTGGTAGCAAGCTTAAACTAAGAAACTGCAGATGAAAATTAGATTGAGTAGACTTGGGTTGAAAGATAAAAAACCTTAAATACAGAATATTAAGAATTCAAAAGATCTGTATTGGAAGCTACTTATGTTTTAGCCACTTATTAGAGTAATCAATTATTTAATCTAGGTAAATTAAAATCAACAAGAGAAGCATTGGCTGAGAATGAGAACGATCTCTAAAGTTACAAAGATTCTTTATGTAAATAATATTGAGATAATTTTACTTAGAATAAGACAAAGATGCTTAAGCTTAAGAAACCCAAATATACAATGAATTAAAGAGCCAATACTAAATACAATTGCAAACAACTAGAAATGCCAAGGAATTTGTTAATTCTGCTGAGTTCAGTAATGTTATAAGACAAAAGTTAAACTAAGGTGGATTAATCTGATATAAATATGCATTTAATATCATTATTTTAATATTAAACAAGGATATATTCCTAAATAAGTTATTTTTAATGCTAAAAGTTATATACTGTTTTTTAACTTTCTGTAGTTATCTTTAATTATAATTATATATTAAAATAATTAAATATAATTATGATTCATTACACATCGCCTTCATTTTACACAGGGATTATAACACTGAATTTATAAGATTTTCTTGGAGTCTCCCACTTTCTAACCAAGTCATTGATTTTTGATTATTTCTTTTTCATATTTTGGAATGATCGTTTTCTTTTTTGATTTAGCAATTTTAATTTTTGAGTTTTAATCCTTTAAAATTTCATAATAAATTCATAAGGAAAGTACATGAATTTTATTAATTAAGTTATAGGGTTTTTTAATAATAAATGTTGCTTCTATTCTAACGACTAGACTATATTTTCAATATTGTTTTAAGTCATATAAAAAGTAAAATTCTTAACAATTTCAAATTATTCTATTTCTTATTATGCCTTTTATTGATAGTATAGGATTTATAATTGCTAAACTGATTAATCTTATTTTGAGGTCACATTATTTTCATCATTAAAGATCCTATTATACAATTATTCTAAATTTTGAAAATAATACTCCTATAAATCAAATTTGAATGATTCCAAAGAATCGTTTTGATTAACCTTAGAAACCTATTATTAATACAACTTCTTATATTTGGATAATTTTGCAGTCATAAATTTATTTGTATTTAGCATCTGCTATTATCTTGTTGATAACTTCAAATTTTGAATAGAATTGTTTTCACTAGAAATAACTGAATCATTAAGACAAAGTTGTTTATTCATTGAAAGACATTCACAACTCTATTAAGAATATCTAGGAATTGGAACTGGAACTGAATCTTGTCTTCTGAATTTGAAGTTCTTAGTTAACTGAGATTAATCATTAAGTTCAGATTTTACTTCCTCACCTTCTTGTTCTTAAGCTAACTATTTACCTAATTGAATCTAAACTAACTTTGGCTGTTCATTCTGAAAATAAATAACAAATTATTCAATAATTTCTCTATCACATAGAGTAGAAAAGGAGGCCTTCCCTCTTTTATTAGATCTAGTATGACTCTATCTCTTTTGTTCAATAGTGTATTAATGTCTTTTGATTATTAGTTCTCTGTCTAATGTAATGGATAGATTCGAACACTCCTTCAATCCATGAGTATTATTGCCACAAGCAATACAAAACTAACTGTATGGCAAATGTTTTTATCTCACTGATAGTATGTATTGATCTTTTATGTGGCAGTACTTTTAGTAATCTTTTGGATATTAACGAATAATATTCATAAAATCAGTCTAAAAATTAAATGGATTAACTTACTTTGCTTAGAACCAACAGACTAACATAACCTATTGCTTTAAACGTTTACACATTATCATTTTCTTCAATGAATTCTGATGCATCTACGAATTAACCTTAGGATTAAACACTTTTCAAGGAAACTTTTAAGAAATTCTAATATTGCAATTATCCTTATTCAACAAAACATAAGTGTGGTTAATAGGTATCACTTAGGGTGTAAATTGAAAAAGAATTTTAGGGTTAGATAATCTTTCGTTTGATATAAGGAGAGAGTGAGTTTTGCAATTCTAGGCTGAAATTTTTAAATAAGAAATCACAATGTTTGAAAAATACATTGTTTGCTTATTTTTTTAATTCTTGTTTCAATTCTTCTGATAGCTCATTTAATAATGTTTCTTCTTATTGAAGATCTATTTCAGATTCTTCTTTCCATCTAAATGTTAGATATTCTCGGATTTTATATTGCAAACTGTAAGGAATATTTCTTTAATGCATGTATCTATTTATTACTCTAATCTTTTTGCTTCTTTCTACTAAGTTCAAATTTATCTCTTTAATTATGGTTCCTATTTTATTAATACTATAGGAGAACCATAGACAAGCACTTAAAATAAAGAATATTGCTATTATTTTCTCATTCCAGGATTTTGGCACATTATCCCCGTATCCAATAGTCAACATAGTTACAATAGCAAAGTAAAATGCTTCTAAATATTGGACCTACCAAGTTTAATGGTCTAACTCCTTAAAAATGATCCATGAGTTTTATGTGTTTATGGAACTATTGTAAAACCATATACATGCGAATAGATGTAATACGTATATTAAGTAAATTAAAAGTTTGAATAAACTAATGAAAGCTTTTTATTTTTTAGTAAAGTATGAGGATTCTTCGCTTTTTTCTAAGGTGATATTAATTTAATAATGTTATGTCAAAGATATCAAAAGCACTAAATATTAAAATTGATTTCCATCAAATTAAATAAAATATATTAATAATAAAATTAAAGCAATATCTGATATAAATTAGAAACGCAAATTTTGTTGAATGATCTTCCATCTATCAAAAACTGCATGCCCATGCTAATAGAAGATTGTATTTAATCTCAAAATATTATCAATAATTAAAATGATTATGATTGTAATTGTTAAACCAACTAATTGGTCAAATAAAATCTTTGGGTTATACGATATTTCTAATGGTATAAGTATTAATAAGATTAATCTAAACACAATTGTCCAATAATCCCAGACTATTTTCTTAGGTGTTTCTGGATGAATTTGAGGTATTTTAGAAACTAGTTCATGAATATATTTTCTGAATTGCTGACTTTTTTCCTTTAGATATATTTTGAATCTGTTTTCTTCTTTACTAATCGTGTTGTGTCTAAAGAGCATAGTAACATTTCGTATTTAGAATTTGGGATGACTATTAAATTTTAGAAATGACATCATAACTTAACTAAATCAATTAAATGATACCTATCACTAGAATTGTCATTCACTAATTTTATGTGATTTTCATTAACATTCGTCAACTTTGTTCGATTGTTTCTGATTCTTTGAATAAATCTCTTCAAATAAAAATATTTCATAAAATTGACCCCAGTTGTTTTCTTTGCAATCTTATTACTTTCTTCCTTGACAATAATTAATGGCTTTATAGTGAGTAATGCATTACTTCACAATTTCTATGTGTATCAATTTGGATAGTTGATTTATGTGTAAAATTGTTTGAACTTGGATTTCTTGTTCTTACTCTCGAACCTAAATCAGCCTCCAAATATTCTCTTTCATATTCATTTTATTATTCTGCCTATAATTCCATTTAAAGATTTTCTGGCTATGAACTTAGTGCTGAAAATAGCATATCAGTTCCTTTCATTAAATATTTATATTATCATTTAAATGCAAATTTCTCCATTTTCCTCTTTTTACTATACTTCTCTAACTCCACGTTCATTTTAAATATACCCTCTCAAATTCATTTAGCTTCAATTAAATGTGCCAAAACTTGGAAACTTACTTAACTGTAGTTATTTATCTTTTGATTTAAGAATGAGAAAATAATGTTTCTAGAAAGACAGAGTAAAATAATAAAGAAACAAAACTAACTATTACTATTTTTGAACATACAATTAAGAATCCAATAAAGTTATTTATATAAATTATAATCGCAAAGCAAAACGATTGAAGTTATTTTAATGCATAAATACTATATCCTTATTCTTGATAACCTTGCTCTTAAATAGCATTCATGACTGATGGAATTGCTGGAGGAATTCAATTGATTTTGAATTATGTATTTTTTATATTTCTTTCTAGACTATCTACCTAATAAAGTTAATATTTTTATTTAAAATATTTAAATTTGCTAATTTGTGGATTTTGTACATCCCACGTATATTGTCTTTTTTTTGGTTAGGAACTTATTAAATAATTTATAATATAAATGTTAAATTAAATAAAAGACAAACCACTTTCTTAACTCATAGCTGAATTATAATAAAAGTATTAAGAGGACAATGACTAATCGAATATATTTTAATAAATTTATCAGAAGCAATTGGAACAAGAGAGTTCAACAGATTCATCTCACTTTTTGCCTGCCTTGCTTTCAGGTTCTACAGGTTCATAATCATCAAACTCTCAAGAAGATAATCAAGAACAAGCATGTTCAAAGGTCTAAAAGAATATCAAAAAAGAAAAAAAAAATAAAAAGACAGGAAAAGTGTCTTAAGATGATAAATAAGAGTTCACTTAAATCCCTGATAAAAAAGCTATGCAAATGATCAGAAATAGAATATCAGCTTAGAATTCTAGAGATAGAAAAAAGGCGTACTTATAGAAATTAGAGGAAGACTTTGTTAATCAATCAGCTCAATTATCTGAAATGCATGGATAAGTCATTTAATTATAATAATAACTAGAAGAAGCCCAAAAAATTAATTAGCAATTACAACAATAATACACTTTTCTAACATGTTTAAATTGTGGTAGTAAGCATTTTGGATATGATGATGAAAATCCAATCTCTGTCTCAAAGAACAAAAGTCTTGGAAAATTGGGGCTTTCGTTTTTATTTATCATTGCAATTATAGGATGCATTGCAATCGATTTAAATCCTTAAACATAAAAATTAAATACTATTCAATCATATTAACTACATGGAAACTAAATTCGAAATCTAAATGCAAGCGATGATCAATTTAGGTTATTCGATCATGTTTCATAGAGTAGAATTAAAGGCATGACTGATATAATGGAATACAATTCAGAATATAATTATAAATTTTTTGATACAACATATAGGGCTATATTAAATAGTGAAGAGAGTCTAGTTAATGGATTGATTAATTTTAACAAAGAACGGGCTAAGACTAATAACGGCAAAGCGTTGGCTCCACTTAATTATCATCAACCATAAGTTGACTCTCTCTTTTGTCCTTCGATTTACAAATATGAAAATTAAACTTAAGGGTATGACTCATATTAATATTTATTAGAATTCGAGTTCATTATCAGGATAATCAATGGTTGCACTTGATCATTCCAAAAAATAAAGTTAATATATTCTATTAAACAACTGATAATTCAATTGTTTTGAAAGAGAGCTTTGCTGATTCAAAAACTGAACATAGATAAGTTTATTAAGAAATTTGGTGCTAAATAAAGAGCGTTAGTGATTTCTATATTTGATAATGTATCCTTTTCTTTAGTTTATTACCTTATCTTATTTATTGTAATCATCATAAGTTTAATAATATAAAATTAGCATATATAAAGTATTATTCAATCAAATTTTAACTAATAGCAATTATTGTTTAAGTTCTGATATAAGACCATCAATCTCAAATTCATTTTGATTAATTTCGAAAATAGCCATGGAAAGTGATGTTTATAATTTTTCCAATTGTCTAAAATTGGAGTTCATTGCTAAGATTTGTGTTCTGATTTTGCTTTCCTACTTAATGCTTTCAAGTTTCTACTTTTACTTTTTGCGTTCTTCTAATTTTTCATTCTTTATTTCTTCATATATTTATTAATGAAATCTCCCATAAAATAAATCAATCTTATTTATATCAATTTTTTCTTTCTTCTGTACTTTTGTAATATTTCTAATTATATGTACTAATTTCTTTCTCATTATTCTATCTATAGATTCTTACTTGCTTTTCAATATGAAAGACTTAATATTTTCCTCATCATCGCAAACTTTGACAAAATTACTTAATAGTTTTCTGCCAAACTTTTTTGATATTTATTTGCTCCAAGTACTATTAACAACCCTACTATTTATTAAGCTATGTATGATTCGATAATCTGGATCATCAACAGAAATATTTTTAAATTTCTATGATTTTTAGACATAATATCTAACTTTAGATATGGCCTAATTTATATTAATTGGCAATTACATTAACAAACTTTTCGCGTATAATTTTAATTCTCGCTTACTTTTAACCCACAACTTGTAACATTAAATCTTATTAAACACTTTAGTATGGACGATTATCAAACTTTTATTTCAAATTGTCTAATTGTAAAGCTAATGTATTTTTCCTGTTCAGTTACTAAGCCTCATTAACTGCATGTCCTCTTCTAATTTTGTTTAATTTTTCTTTTTATTAATGAAAATTTACATCTTTTCAATTTTGCTTATTGAAATAATATTATTTTTCTTCTCTTGTACATTTATTGTAACTCAAAAAATTAAGGGGACTCGTTTTGTAGATATTATGAAAAGAAATGAGCAGAACACATTAAGACGATGCTCTCCTGCAAAGCCAAAGCACTCCAACATCTTTGAGTATATTCAATAGATTCAATTTCACCAAAACATGTTCCTTCCATAACTCTTATTATCGATTCACCACTGGCATCACATAATCTTACATCTCCTTTAATGAGAAAATAAAAATCATTTGCATTCTATCCTATATGATATATAGTTTCAAATTGTTTATAACAGCCTAAAGTGCAATATGGTAGAATAGCTGCAGAAAAGTTGATGTCATTGGAGATAAAAGGAATGGTTCTGAATATATCTTTATGGACTGATGCCATCATATTCAAGATTAATGGATGTGGTAATTCAAATAGGATCCTTTTTGCATCATCAGCCCAGAAAGGATTATTTTGAATATTATACTTGGTAAATCTAAATAGATCATCTTGTATCCATTCTGGCATATTAGAACTTATGTCTTCCAAATTAAAAAGGTAATCATCGAATTCTTGATTTGGATTGGATTGAATCAAAATAAAAGTTATATTACCAATAGTGAATGAATAATATCCAACACCTATTAGCATCCAAATTATTACAAGCAAGTATTCGTCAGAATTATGAGCTTCTATATCACCATAACCAATCACTGTTATTGTTTAATATGCCCAATAGAATGCACATACTAATTGTGTGAATTAATCCTTTTCATTAATTTTATAGTAATCTAACCAATTGGTATCCTAGTTAAATCTACAAACCCACAACCATAAACAAGCAAATAAATGATTGAGCACGATCATTTCTAAAAATATTTTCATTAACTTCTTTAATCTTAAATCAAAATTATATTCATTCCTCACTACCAACTCATCTTTAATTGCCTTTTGCTACTTTAATAAATCAAGTGATTGATTATATGCAACTCTTCTTTCAAATAGAAAAAATCTTAATAATCTAATTAGTTTTAAAATTTTGAGTCCAGTTATACCAAAATCTGGTATAACTGAAATCAAATCAAATATAAACCAGCTTCCTACATAATGATATGCAATATCATGAAAGTTGTAGATCAAATCTAGTTATTTGTTGACATGACAAATCAAAAAATTCATGATCAGATCCAACCAAAATATTATTTAAATTATCAAGGTCAATTGACTTCCAACTCCCTCTATTATACTTTATAAATTGTACTTCAAAATCAAATGCAATTTGCAAAGGAAATAAAATCGCTGCGAAATCAGTGCATAAATTTATAATTAATCCCCAAAGAATATAGGGGATATCATCTGGAAATAAAGGTAACAAATTCCTCCTTTTGTAAGCATAACGAACATTCTAGCTTCTTAACTAATCGGCATAATTTCTGAGCTCTTCTATAAAGTGCTGAGCATTAATAATCTTTCTGACTAACTTAGAAAATTATAGCTTTTTATCTATCCTTTAAGAATTCGTTGGAGAGATAGTTGTTGTTGAGGCCATTTGTATACTTTTAAATAGGATTGATATGCTTACAAATTTTTTACTGTTTTAGCTCTATATTTTCTCTTGCTATTTTTTATTGGCTATTAAAACCCACTGTTCCCATGAGTTAAAACAACCTAAGATCCCATCTCAGTAATTTGTCTCTAACTACTCCAAGTATGCAAAGTCTCAAAATCCTCCTTATGTTTAAAGGGATGAATTTTCATTAAATTAGGTTTTAGAAAATACTTATTTAATATAATAAAAGCGTAGTAATTTAAAAAATCCTTAATTTTTTAATGTCATTATGATACTAAGAAGGAATAAGACATAAGTATTATAAAATTACACTAAAAGATAAAATCAAAGTAATTGCCACTTTATAAATTATTTCATTTAGATGGTGAAATTTATTTAATTTAGTTGAATTTTCATTAAATTGATTCGTGAAGTACATATATCAACTTCTGAATTTTAAAAAATCCTCAAAATCATAAATATTCATTATAATTTAAATAGAAATTAACATAATTAAAAAATCCACAGAATTTTATTATAGTTTACATTCTTAGAAGAGCAAGTAACTTACACTTTTCATATCTATTTTCATTAGTTTTTATGAATTTTCATATGTAAAACATTATTTTTAATTATCCTTGGAGATATAAATTAGGTTTTTCTTTTGATCTTAATTTTGCACTTCCTTCTCATAGCAAAATCAACTCATTTAATCCCTTTAAAATAACATTTAGATTATTATAATTTCTAATCATTCTCTATAAGCAAAGAATTCTTGAAAAAGGTGTATTTTTCCACTATTTTTCGATCAAACAGAGTTGATTCATTTTGGATTTCAAAATTCTTTAATTTTTGATTTCAAACTCACTTACCTCATTTACCTATCTGTGCTCAAATCATTAAATGTATTATTTTATTTATATATTACACTATTTTCATAATTACATAAAATAATATTGAAAGGCTTTATTACGTTTACTTTAATTCTAAATTTTCGTATAAGTAAGAATGTGATTAATATAGACATTGAAATTGTATCAGAAAAGAATTTTGAAAGAAACTTAATTTACGCTAGAACTTCTTTTGAAATTCTGTCTATATTTCTGCATATAGTATTGATATTGAATTTAATTTGTTTACAGGTTTTATTCAATTTAAGATTTATTATATATTAAATGTAAAAAATTGAACAACAACATATTTAGAATTTTGATTTAGATCTTGAGTTAAGAGCAGTTCAAAATGAAGATTCGAA